GACTCCTAGTTAGTTCAACTTGTCTTTAAACTTCATCGGGTTGCACAGATACAGGGATTAGAAAATGAGACCAATATTATCTATATGTGATAAAATTTTACCCAGAAGAACTAGCCCACATGATGAAAGTGTTTTGCTCTATTTTCACTGAAACCCTTGAAATGAGTTGATGTGATTTGACACTTTTGTCAACACAAAGATTATCAATCACGAAACCTCGTTACAGAAAACCCCCCAATACCTTCCACTCTTAGTACATTATATTATTTAATCTTTTTTGTATGGTTTTAAAATTTTGTGACGTATTAGTTTATAATTTTCAAATATTGATTTGAAACTATTTCTGTTAAAGAGTAGATAGATAGGAAAGGAAAGGAGACACAGGGATCTGAAGATTTTTATCAGAGCTTCAAGTCTTAATACAACATTTACCCACTCAACTCTCACTTCTACCAGTCATTTATCTAGAATAAAGGGACTGTACGCTAACCTACCCACTCAACTCTCACTTCTACCAGTCATTTATCTAGAATAAAGGGACTGTATGNATTATGTTGATAGATAGATAAACCCGTGTACTGCCCAGAAATCTACCTGGACCCACAATTCAGTCGCTGTTCGGCGCGCAAGGGTGAGAGAGCGTGAACGTTACGCCCAGAATTCAAACTTTTAACTTGTTGCGCTTTTTTGAATAACTTATAAGTGACTGTTATCATTGTAATAATAGAAGTGTGGTAGCGTAAAGTGAATAAATGATAAAATAAAGCTGAAGATGTTCAGCTGTTGTTCTATGTAGAGTTGAAGTCTTGGAAAGGAATTTGTTTAAGGGGTTAGAGGATTTGGCAGAGGGTGTATTTAGAAGGATGAAAAGGGGATAAAATAAGATCAATTAAAGTAGCTCTATATAATACCAATGCTCAAATATTATAATATTTAAACGCAAGTAAAAAAATTAAATTAGAGTTTGTTTAATCATTGCTTTAACAAAAGGAAAAACTAAAAGACAAATACAAAATAAAAATATATTTTTTTTTACAAAGCTGTTTGGATTGAGAATTGAGATTATATTTAGGTGAGTATTTAATTCTTGCAACTCTCTCTTTATCTAAATGTATGTATTGTGTCTGTATGTAGAATTAAACTCTAATTTATTGGTTGAAATATCCTTTTATTTTTGCTTATTCACGACAGAACAGGAACCAACGGCGTAATTAGAATAAATCATTGGCCTGTTCTCAGCACACCTCTAGATATATTTCTATCTTTTGAAATAAGACATTTTTGCACAGATATGCACCATATCTTATGAGATGTATTTGTTAGTAGAAGGACGTTTTTTAAAACAAAGGAGAGTTTTGAAAAAGGGTTTATCATTTTTTGAGACGTGACAGGACTCTCGAAACCACTTTTTCAGAAAGTACAAAAATTTTTTTTCGTTTTACGTTTAATTCTAATTTGTCAAAAATGAGAATACCAAAAGAATGATTTAATATATGCAAGATTCACCCTTTTTTACTCACCATATATAATAGAATTTGAAGATTTTTTTAACGCGTATTTTTATGTGAATTTTCCGAAAGGCGAAATATCGAATTTTTTGAAGAAAATGGAGAGTAGTTGCAACATAAATCTGACTCCCACTATTCAAGCGTAATGTCGTCTTTCTATCCTCCATCTTTGATCAGATCGGTTTAAAAACCCGAGAATGCACTCCGGCATAGCTCCGTCCCTGACAGAGAAAACATGTTAAATAGAAAAACGGGTTAACTAGTGAACACTTAAATCATACGATCCGTGAATATTTCTGCAATCCGTAGAAATTCTACTTAAACAACCGTGGTTTTTAATTTAGAAGTAATAACAAAATGTTTTAAAACTGAACCAATCAACTCCCTCTGAGAACAAATTACTCCTTGATCACCTCAGACACACTCCAACAGTAAGTTACTCAATCCTATTAACAACATTAAACAATTTTACCATCATAAAATAAAACAAGACATTCGTATATATATATATATGTTGTGTATGGCCGGCTAAATGGCTGGACCGATTGGGCTGATTTTTTTTGTGGACACTCATGGGTGCCCGTGGAGTGTTATATGCTATAAAAAACCAAATTTGTTTTCAAAAAAATTTTTTACATTTCTTTTATGGGCAACGCCGGGCCCTTCAGCTAGTTATTACTAAAACTGTATTTTGTAGGTTTGAAATATATACATATTTGCAACTTGTGTTTGTGGTTAAGAGAAGTTTCTACAAACTTATATTTTCAACCTCCGTGCATGATTTGTGTCAACATGAGTAGTCGACGAAATTTCATTTAGCCCCCCTATTTCATATTATTTGCCTGGTTCGCAATGTTACCCTGAGTAACAGGAAGACTGCGTCGTTTGGATCATCTGGACATTAGATAAACTCTGTCAATTTCGTTCATTGTCTCTGCTAAATAAAACCGCTAGTAGATCACATTAATTTCATAAAGATACATGTTGTTGAAAATTATCGTTTAAAAGGATACTATTGTGAATCGGACAAGTGACGTTTTTAAACTAAAGGTCTCTTAAAATGACGCTTACAGTCCCTTAAGAGTTTAAAGCATATTTGAAATATGCTCAAACAAAGACCAAACCCTTGAGTGTTGAGAGCATATTTGAAATATGCTCAAACAAAGACCAAACCCTTGAGTGTTGAGAGCATATTTGAAATATGCTGACACAAAGACCAACTCCTTGAGCTAAGAAAACCCACTTCACTAGAAAAAAGAAGATAATAATGCAATAATGTATTTTATAATGATTAATTAGTTATCTAAATGAAACAAGAAGAAGAACATGTTAGTACCTAAAAAGCATATGCATGGGGGGTTGAGAAGGGGAAGATAAAAGATGAGAAGGGGTGGGTTGTAAAGTTTAAATGGGGAGGGGATATGGAGGTAAGGTGGTGAGGAGGTGGGGGGAGGGAGGAGGTTAACCATGGCAGAGATTGTTTTCCAGGCTTTTATTTGCTGTGATTTCACCCAAATGAGATTTAAATTGGGTAGGTGAGAGATAGATAGAGAGATAGATACTGTGTAAGCTCCCTAACTTTTAACTGAAATATTAAAATATTCTTGCTTTGGAACTTTTTTAAGTGTGGCATTTATGAAACAAAATATGTAAATATTTGATCCAATCAGACAGAAATTTGTGATAATTCAATAATTATAAGAAAGAAAGAAAGAAAGAAAGAAAGAAAGAAAGAAAGAAAGAAAGAAAGAAAGAAAGAAAGAAAGAAGATGGGTCAATCGATTAATACATAGATAGATAGATAGATAGATAGATAGATAGATAGATAGATAGATAGATAGATAGATAGATAGATAGATAGATAGATAGATAGATAGATAGATAGAAAGATAGATAGACAGGTTAACATATAGATAGATAGAAAGATAGATAAATTATAGATAGAAACATAGATAGATGGTTAAATAGATAGATAGATTCCGTGATATTAAACCCAAGCAGAACTACCCTGGAGCTGTAAAGGGGTGGAGACAGATAGATCAACAGGAGTCAGATAGATAGAAAGATAGATAGATCAACGACTGAAAGCATATTTCTAACTCTTTGTTGTACTTTCCTGACACTAAATATTGCTTAGCTCAAAACCTATGAATGATAATTTCTATTTGTGAATGTACGTGAGTTTCCTCTGATCTCAATAGTTTGGATATTATTAAAGATTGTTAGCTTTTGATATATTTAAAAGGATGCTCTTTAAACAGCTTACAACATATGCACAACTGCTCGCTTATAAAAGCTTCTTCGTGATTTTTTCATCAAAGAAGAGTGAGGAAATTGCCGAAATGTATCTGATGCCTTATGAAAAATCCCGTCCAAAATATTAAATAAAATTTCTTAATTAAAGGTCGTTTAAAATTGCCTTGCAAGTCCCTATTAATTTGAACATTTTGAAAATAAAGAAAATACGTATATTATCCCTTTAATATATTATAAATAAGAAGTCTAAGCATTGTCTATAAAGGGGGATGAAATTTAACGTGATTATCTGCATTGACATACATTAGCTTATCTAGACGTTGACTAAGGTATAGAATTAAAATAGTTTGTAAAAATAAACATTAATCTACCCAGGCCCCTTGATAGCAAACTATTGCAAGGTTTATCAAGAAAATCACATAAAAATAAAATCCTTGATTTTCAGCTTCTGGCACAGTTTAAGCCTTATACTAAAATAAAACTAATAATATATATATTGTAAAGTTTTATTTAAACACTAGCTTGGAAACCTAGCTGTGTCTGGAAACTAAACTTTCTTAATTAAAGTCAACCTACTCTACTTAGAACTTTTAAACCAAGAACATTCCCCAATCAAAAACTGGTGCAAAAGGGGTAAAGAGTTCATGAGTTATGATTAGACGTACATACAAACAAACAAACAGAGATTACTACTTTAAATACTTATAGATACATAGTGCATACATTTTACAATGTACAATGCATGAATACAATATACATGGATATATTGATATATTGATAGATTGATAGATTGATAGATTGATAGATTTCCTAATAATTTCCAAGTTTGTCACACACGAAGTAAGTTCTTGGAGTTTCTAAAGTCGTAATCTTGAAGTCATGCATTCAGCTTGATATAGGACAATTATTCTTTGATCTAACACTTAGTCCTAGCACCCCTTCACACACACACACACACGCCTTTACACACCCCCATGCACCCCCATCAACTTCACACACACCTTTCCCCTTCTATTTGAGAAATTCCAGGCGAAATTTGCCTCATTAGGCGGGGACTGGGTAGTTTCTGTGCCCAGACTTGAAATTGAGCAGGTTGTGTTGGTCCATTCCTAGATAGATAGATAGATGGGTAGACATATATAGATAGGTGAGTAGATAGATTATGTTGATAGATAGATAAACCCGTGTACTGCCCAGAAATCTACCTGGACCCACAATTCAGTCGCTGTTCGGCGCGCAAGGGTGAGAGAGCGTGAACGTTACGCCCAGAATTCAAACTTTTAACTTGTTGCGCTTTTTTGAATAACTTATAAGTGACTGTTATCATTGTAATAATAGAAGTGTGGTAGCGTAAAGTGAATAAATGATAAAATAAAGCTGAAGATGTTCAGCTGTTGTTCTATGTAGAGTTGAAGTCTCCAGAAGTTGAAATCTCCAGCTGAGAAACAATACACAGGATCCCCGGCCAAATAGTAATTAGGGGGGAGCTAGGACCGGTACACAGGTCAATATACAGGGGAGCATACTCATCCCTTACCTATTTCCCCATTCTATAGAAACAGACTGGAGAAATATTTCGTCAAACCATGGTTTCGAAAAAAAGAGATTTTTTGAGATTTAGTGAAACACTGGTGGCTTTTTACTGGTGAAGAACTAAGAAAGATTGCGTGCCCGAGAAGTTTACCCAATGGTAAAACAGAGACTGGAGTTATGGGGAAAAGAAGAACACAAAATACCTGAAAAATGTTAAATCAAGGAATAACTATTATTTTATCTAACTTATCTCTGTTATAAAACATAAATTATTTGCATTTATACACATCTTTAAAGAAAGGGTTTATCTACATAAACCTTGTTAATATGGAATGTAAGCAGTAAACATAAATTCAAATTGAATACTCATAAAAAATGTTGAATGTCATCTTTATTTTTAAGTTTACCATTAGTTTACATTACATTTAGTTTAAGTATATATATAAAACTCATTCCCGTTTGCTACCCAATGCGACATAAAAGAGAATGACAAACGAAATTTACGTTAGGAATTGCAGCTTGGATAAAACATAAGATAAATAGATTAACTGTATAGATAGATAGTTAATCTATCCAAATATACAAATAGAGGATAGATATGTATATGATTGACATAATATCAGATAGACAGATATGTAACCTACATGGATAGGTAGTTAATCTATCCAAATATACAAATAGAAAATAGATATGTATATGATTGACATAATATCAGATAGACAGATATGTAACCTACATGGATAGGTAGATAATCTATCTAAATAGATTATCAGATATGTGACCGATATAGATAGAAAATCGAATATAGTTGAAAAGGAGAAGGAAGGATAATTAAAAATTTCTATTTATTCTGATAAAAGAATAACAAGTTTACTTCAGCAAAGTATCTTAAACTTCAGAAAGAATACTTGACGCGTATTGAAAATTAAATTCATAATTCTAGGATATGTTAGGATAAGGTTGCAAATTGGGAAAAATAAAGTGGGCCCTGGAAAGGTACTGTTTTCTCATCCTATATTTTTCCAACCTAAGAAAGTAACCTTTGAAATATTTGAATTATGAATTCTGTTGGATAAAATAGCCTAAAGGAATTGAGTCTGTGCAACAAACTCTGATTCTCTAATCCCTATATCTTTGAAACCCCATGTTGTAGACCTTTGATATTTAATATTATCAAATATTCTAAGTTTGAAATTTCAAAGGTTTCCACCATCAGGTTTCAAAGATATAGGGATGACAAAATTTGAGTTTGTGGCTGAGACTCAATTCCTTTGGCATATTGAAGTATAAGCATAAGGTTGAAAAGATACAGAGTTTGAGCTCTGCTATTTGACAACCAAACCTAAGATCAAAAAAATGTAGGTTTTCCAAATAATATTAATAAATGCATTGGGACTAGAACAGAGCTTTTTCTCCCTCTCTCAATAATATGTAAATTAGACTGAACTGATTAAAGAACTGATTGTTATTATGAATTCAGCTTCTATGCATGTTCTTTGTCCCAGTTTTTATTGAACTAGTTGTAATCAGAGGAAATTCCGCTTCAAACCCAAATATTAGAGGCTCAACCCCTTTCTCTGAATTAGAATTAAATATTTTGAATAAAATCTGAGAAGAATAATTGGTTCGGAGAAATAAAAAGTTTCGTGTCTACTCTGTACTAGCTCTAACAGCCTTCAGGGCTTGCTAACCAAATACAAAGCGGTCAAAATTCTCGGACAGAACATGGAATAATTGTAGATAATTATAATAATAATCAGATTATTATCTATACATGCATATTGACATCTTTTCAATTATTATTTTTAAACCTACCTACCATGAAAGAATGTTAATTGAGGTTCGTTCTTATCCAAACGTCCATCTTTCTATCCATTTATCTATCTCGCTTTCAACCCCTATTATTTATCACTATTAGTATTGAGCTAAGGTTCAGTTAGTGCATTAGCTTCGTGTGCATCTTACACAGTTTTTCGAGGATTTTATCCACTTGAACCAACCCGTCCATCTACCTAGATTTGTTTTCATGGAGTTGAAAGTTCATTTTTAAATGAAAATTATACAGGTAGCTGGTAGATTATAGCTCTTCCTTTCTAGTAGATTTTATTACTGAATATACCTTTCTATTTATCTATCTATCAAATACTTCTATCTTGTCGTCTATCTATCTATCTATCTATCTAGTTCTCTCCAGGTCGTGAATTGGTGTTATAAAACAATATAATAGTATTAGCAGGCAGTCTACCGAGCTGCTATAGCAGTTCTTCGAGCTGTAACAGCCACGACAGCTGTAACAGACATAATAATTCCAAACTCAGCAATAGCCATCACAGTCGTGTTGGATACTATAGGAGTAAGAAAAGACTGACCCTAAGGCCCCTAGATGGGCTGAGAACATTATTACCCCTAAGCCTAGGATCTACTTGGAGAATGTTTATCCTTCTCCTACTATTCTCTAGCCTTACTTTTTCAACTGCTGAATATGTGAAGAACTTTAAAATTACGGAGGGAGTTCAAATCGGCAGTAGAATAGGCTTTATCGGCGAAACCGAGCCCGGTCGACCGAAACCACCATCACCACCCTATCTAGTTGTCCCGTCGGCCGATTCGCCGATCGACGAGGATCTTGACATCGACCAGAACACCGGAGAGGTTCGGACGAATGTTGAGTTAGATCGAGAGAAACGTGCTCGGTATAGATTTAGTGCAATCCCACTTAGTGGAGAAGGAGAAAATATCAAGGTATTCTTATTAATTTGAACAATTTTATCTTTTAGAATTAAATACGAAATACGAAATAAATCCGATATTTTTATGCTTTTACAGCTGTCGTTTTTGCACCTCATATGCCCTCATATAAGAGTTATGATTTTATTAAGTTTGTTTTAAGATTTGTAAAATAGAGGAACGTTAAGAAATAACAACGGAATTAGTTGATTTACTGAAACCGTCCGAATTTGATTTTTCCAACTCATTTTATTCTAGTTTTTCGGAGAACTTCAAGTTACAGATCATTAGATCTACATTATACACAAACTGTGTTAATGAGGAGATGTCGCTAATTAGATCATTTTCTAATTTTATTTAAATGATACAAAGGGGAAAATTTTTATGTCTAGACATGAAACAAGTTTCAATATTAGTTTAAATATAATGTAAAAATTATTTTTTTGTTTATAAATTTGTAAATTTTGAAGGGCAACACTTTAAATAAAATCATTTTCAGTGGTTGCTTCCAGTTAATTGTCAATAATATTTCAGAATTTTTATATCCAGCTGATAAAATTCAGACTTTTGAAGGTTTATGACTTTGGAATTTTTGGTAGGAAAACTCTACTGGTATATATTGCACCTGGTTGGTGGACGGCAACCTTACAACATTTTTCTTTATTGTCGGATCTTTTATAACGTTTTTGTAATACCCATGGCAGTTAATTAATTCTGAAATCAATTCAAGTAAAAAAGGCCGAAATTTAAGGCTTTCTTATATCAAAGCCTTAACGACCTTTCTACTATTAATTAGTGAACCCAAAATCTGATTTTACACTGGATAAAGGTTATATTCTAGATATTTAGCAAATTAATCTATTGAGGTTCAAAACTTTAGAATACAAAAATCAAACTGTTCTCTGCAAGAGTAAATTAAACAGAGAAGATTTTGCTTTTTTATATTTGAATTTTTTTATTATTTCTAAAAGCACTTTTTAAACAACGTCTTCGTACTTTGGTTAAAAAGCGTAATCCCAAACTTTTCAAACATCACGGGACAACCTGTATAATAAATTTTCATTTCTAGGTTAATATTACGGGACAACCTGTATAATAAATATTCATTTCTAGGTTAATATTGAAGTAGAAGATCAGAATGACAACAGTCCTACCTTCTCTCAATCCAAGATTACGATAGGTCTTCCAGAAAATTCTCCTAAGGACTCAAAAAGACGATTACCACCGGCCGTCGACGCCGATCTTGGTATTTTCAACACCCAGCGTTATGAAATCATCTCCGGGAACCGTCAAAACTCGTTCCGGTTGTCGACCCAGCGGGACAAGGACGGTAGGTTGATGCTGGACCTGATCGTGAACGGGTTCCTGGACAGGGAGGTGATCAGCTCCTATACTCTGAGTATTGAGGCCCAGGATGGAGGGAATCCAACTAGAAAAGGTTAATTTTAGATCATTTTTTAACAGAATCCGGCAATTTTATTAGTTTTGAGTATTTTATTTAAATAGGAAAGAAAGATTAAGAAAACATTTAATAGAAAGGTTTCGAAAATTGTTCGGATCAATTTTTTTCGGAAATTTATTACCAAATCTCTTCCTAAGCTATAAATGCAAAAAACGTTAAGAAATTAAGGGCGTTATCTTTGGTGACTAAAACAAGTTAGTATCTCAAGGAGCTAAAACTGATTTGGTGTCCGTGTTAAGAAAACTTTTAGAAACATTTTTCCGAATTTATTTTTTTTAATTTAAATTTTTTTTGTTGAATCAGAAAAATCATGAGCAGAAAGGGTACCTTTACGGAACTAAATGGATTGTAAATAAATTGAAAATATTATACTTGTAAAGTATTGTTTGAAGAAACTAATAAAGTGCATAAATGAAAATATTTAGGACTGTTGACTGTAGAAATAAATATTCTGGATTTAAACGACAATGCTCCAGTATTCAAGGTAGAATATAATTCTTCAGATAATTCATTTAATATCTAACTTTTATAATATGCAAATACTCTTCTACAGTGCATGCAATTACTTAGAAAGTTGACTATTGTTAAAATGAAGATTGGCGGCAGTAAAAAGAAATTGAACTATTTACTTTTAACAGTTACTGCCGCTCAGTTTCTTCTTTACCTCTACATTTCCTTGAATAACTCTTAAATATTGTAAAGATAAAAAAATTAATTTTTTTTTTTCAATCGTTTATCTTAATCTTATTCTTAATCATAATCTTAATCTTAATCTTATTCTTAATCATAATCTTAATCTTTTTCTTTTTCTTATTCTTATTCTTATTTTTATTCATATTCTTATTCTTATTCTTAGTCTTATTCTTAGTCTTATTCTTAGTCTTAGTCTTAGTCTTAGTCTTAGTCTTAGTCTTAGTCTTAGTCTTAGTCTTAGTCTTAGTCTTAGTCTTAGTCTTAGTCTTAGACTTAGTCTTAGTCTTAGTATTAGTCTTAGTCTTAGTCGTAGTCGTAGTCTTAGTCGTAGTCTTAATTCTTTTTCTTACCCCAGGAGCAACGGTACTACGCGTCTATTCCTGAGAATTCCACTGTAGGATCTGAAATCATCACTGTATCCGCCCTAGACCCAGACGAAGGTATTTAATCTAAAATTTGTTTAAAGGATCAGTTCACAAAATTGAAACATGTTCGAATGTTTGTGGGTATGTGTTGTAAACCTGTAATTTGTTGCATATGTAGTGGGTATTTATAAATATATATATATATACAAGTCTAGAGGTTTCACATTGCATGACATTTATTCTTTAACTGTAGTTTAATTATACTCCAAACTGTTTCTGTAATAATAATAAAAATATATTCTTTCAATTTCCATGAAGTGGTCTCAACTAGAGAGATAATAGCTCCCTGTCTCCATATTCATACTTTCAACGTCTGTTCACGTATCTTCATCTATATCTATCTATCCAGGCTTCTTCTAATCTAACTATCTGTCTACCCACGCTTTCATTATTAAATTTCAACCGATATATTTCTCGATCTCTACTCTCGGACTTTTCTCTCATATTATATTGAACAAACAGTTTCTCTACACAAAGAAACTGATTGCTTGCCACATATTCTTATGTTCTAATTCCGTTATCTGTACATCCTAATAATTTAAAACTGTGAAATTTCAATTTGAACAGAATTCAGATTTTAAAATATCGAAAGGCTATGACAATAATTAGCAAAGATACAAGGATTAAAAGATTAGAGTTTTATGCAAGTAATCAGTTCCAGTGCAAAAACTAAGCTTTAGAAAATCATATTTATTTGGTGATCCTGTACCTATAAAAATATTCATCTTCTTTAGATCTACAATTTGCAACGTTTGTTGATTATCCTGCTTTTACTAATTTAAGTTTCGTTTTAGGGCCCAATGGCGACGTAACCTATTCCATCAACCGTCGACAATCTGACAATCAAGAGCTCTTTGCTATTGACACACTAAGTGGACTCCTGACCGTGAACAAGCGGCTCGACTTTGAGTCGAAAGATCAACATGAACTTGTTGTTGTTGCGAAGGATAACGGTGACGTACCTCAAGAAACGACAGCTTTTATCACCGTTAAGATAACAGATATTAACGACAATCAACCGAAGATAAACGCTGTTTACAGGACGCCGACAGGCAGGCCCGAGCTCCGGGAGGACGCGCTGATTGGTCAGAAAATCGCCGATATTACGGTAACCGATCCTGACGAACCAACACAGATTGCGGATTTTGACGTTACTTTAAGCGGCTCGGATATGGGATATTTCAGCCTAGAACGACAACGATCCGGATACAGCCTAGTTCTTGCAAGGTTAGAAAATTAATATTTTACGAATTAGATTGTTAGCATGATACGATACTTCCCTTTTTTTTCGTTGAACTTTCTTTCTCTCGATTTAATAAAATAAACAATTTTAAATTTTAGACGGATAGACAGGGAGGAAACAGATAAGATATCTTTAACCCTTGAAGCTTTGGACGACGGATTCCCCCCTCTCAGAGCAAACCTGGAGCTAACACTCAGGTAAGACAGAGATGAGAAGTACTTTGAACTTCTAATGTTGAGGAAATGGTTGAATATTCTGTGCCTGTTTTAAATACAAAATGGTAATAAAAGGTTGAAATTGTCCGAATCCTGCTTCATTAATTAAACGGTAAAGGTCTTGGTTAAAACTTCGACTTTAAAACTTTCAAATAAGAACGAAGTTTATTCCGAAAAAATTAGAATTTCGAATATTTCTTGTCTAGAATTCTGGATGTGAATGATAACAGTCCTGTGTTTGACTCTGTTGAGTATGAAGGTAGTATCCAAGAGACTGCTACGCCTGGGACTAGTATTCTCCGGGTTCTAGCAGAAGACCAGGATACAGGGGAGAATAGCAGGTAAACCACGCTCAGTTAAGTACAGACGCACAACTTCGTACCTAACAATTTACATAAAATTGGGGTTTGATCTATTTCTATTTACATCTCTAAAAATCTAAAAAAAGGCTTAACAAAAAAACAGAAAATGATTGCTGTAATGGGTTTAACTAAAAGGAACGCAAAGAAAATGAAGCTAAAAAAGGCATAATTTGTCTACATTTTTCTTTGACTAATGAATAACATACATTACAAGGGAACAACGAAGAAAAAGGGGACAATTTAAAGGCAGAGGAATGAGTGTTGGGTGCATGTTGCAGTAGAATAGATATTCTGTAAATATTAAAGAGAAATAATTTCTAGGGCGTAAAGAGTAAAGTTGTAAAAGTAAAGAATCGTAATAAATCGTTTTCTCGGGAAGAATGTAAACTGCAAAACTGGAAAAATGTTAAACTGCATTTTTAACATTTTTACAATTGTTTTATTCCTAAGTTTAAACATTTCAAATACTAACTTTAAAGTACTGCAAAGGGAGGGGGTGTTGGGTAAGGGGGGGGGTTATTTGGGGACAGGAAGTTCTTAATTGGAGTCATAGGATGTAAATCTGATCAGTTTTATCCGTGAGATACACCTGCCTCATTATTGTTGAAATCTAAACTGTTTTTAAAACTTTAGTTAAATTGTAAGTAGGGCTAGACTAGTTATGACTAGGGCTAGACTAGTTATAGACTAGTTATAGACTAGTTATGACTAGTTATAGACTAGTTATAGACTAGGGCTAGACTAGTTATAGACTAGTTATAGACTAGTTATGACTAGTCTGAAAGAAAACTTTGTTTCTTAATTACAAAAGTTTTTCAATGGGTTCAAACTGGTCTACAGGGTTTAATTTACCCCGTAAAATAAAGAGTGGTCTACAGGGTTTAATTTACCCCACAAGATAAAGAGTGGTCTACAGGGTTTAATTTACCCCCCAAAATAAAGAGTGGTCTACAGGGTTTAATTTACCCCCTAAAATAAAGAGTGGTCTAAAGGGTTTAATTTATCCCCCAAAATAAAGAGTGGTCTAAAGGGTTTAATTTATCCCCTAAAATAAAGAGTGGTCTAAAGGGTTTAATTTATCCCCTAAAATAAAGAGTGGTCCAAAGGGTTTAATTTATCCCCCAAAATAAAGAGTGGTCTACAGGGTTTAATTTACCCCACAAGATAAAGAGTGGTCTACAGGGTTTAATTTACCCCACAAAATAAAGAGTGGTCCAAAGGGTTTAATTTACCCCCCAAAATAAAGAGTGGTCTAAAGGGTTTAATTTACCCCCCAAATTAAAGAGTGGTCCAAAGGGTTTAATTTACCCCCCAAAATAAAGAGTGGTCTACAGGGTTTAATTTAACCCCCAAAATAAAGAGTGGTCCAAAGGGTTTAATTTACTTCCCAAAATTAAGAATGGCCCAAAGGGTTTAATTTACCCCCTAAGATAAATAGTGGTCTACAGGGTTTAAATTACCCCCCAAAATAAAGAGTGGTCCAAAGGGTTTAATTTATCCCCCAAAATAAAGAGTGGTCCAAAGGGTTTAATTTACCCCCCAAAATAAAGAGTGGTCCAAAGGGTTTAATTTACCCCCTAAAATAAAGAGTGGTCCAAAGGGTTTAATTTACCCCCTAAAATAAAGAGTGGTCCAAAGGGTTTAATTTACCCCCTAAAATAAAGAGTGGTCTAAAGGGTTTAATTTACCCCCCAAATTAAAGAGTGGTCTTTCCCATTTACAACGGCTTCCTTTAAACCTTTCTCTGATTTAGGAAGGAAAAATGAGATTCTTTATTAATCAGAATTTTTTTGGAATGAAGACAATTTTCAGAAATAGAAAATAATCAGATATGATACTTTTTAAGAGTCACTAAAATGCACGTCCATTGGTCCTATACAAGTTTAAATAAATAGACAGTAAAGTGACAAAAGAGAGTAAAAGGTGGAAAGGATTAGAAATCAAATTGAAAGTTAATTGTAAGGTCAAATATAAAGTAGAATGTATGAAGGAGGCAAAATGTTAAACCCATCTTTTACATTTTTTAGAAGAAAAATGCAGGACTTATTTTCAGGAGAAAATACAGAGCTTATTTTCATTTTAATTCAGATACGTCATACATACAATTTGGGTTTTAGTAATACTGAAATTCTTCTCTATTTCTTCATTTCAAGCCAGTCTACTAATGTCTTCTATAATAAACTACTCCTGTATTCTAGGATAACCTACTCCTGTATTCTAGGATAACCTACTCTTGTATTCTAGGATAACCTACTCCTGTATTCTAGGATTACCTACTCCTGTATTCTAGATTAACCTACTCCTGTATTCTAAGATAACCTACTCCTGTATTTGAGGATAACCTACTCCTGTATTCTAGGATAACCTACTCCTGTATTCTAGGATAACCTACTCCTGTATTCTAGGATAACCTACTCCTTTATTCTAGGATAACCTACTCCTGTATTTTAGGATAACCTACTTCTGTATTTTAGGATAACCTACTCCTGTATTCTAGGATAACCTACTCCTGTATTCTAGAATCTAGGATAACCTACTCCTGTATTCTAAGATAACCTACTCCTGTATTATAGGATAACCTACTCCTGTATTATAGGATAACCTACTCCTGTATTCTAGGATAACCTACTACTGTATTCTAGGATAACCTACTCCTGTATTCTAGGATAAACTACTCCTGTATTCTAGCATAACCTACTCCTGTATTCTAGGATAACCTACTCCTGTATTATAGGATAACCTACTCCTGTATTCTAGGATAACCTACTCCTGTATTCTAGGATAAACTACCGACTAGAGAATAGTGCATTGACCCACTCTGACTGGTTTACTATAGATTCTGAGACTGGCCTAATATCCACTAGAACTAAGGTATATTCATTCGAAAAATATCTTATAGTCATTTTTCAAGATGTAGTTTTTTTATTATCAAACATTCTTTTGGCGGACTGAGTTGCATTTCTACAGTTGCAGTTGGCTGAAGTAGTAGACATGATACGAGTTGTGTATTCAAACAGTAACCATTGTGCCTTTATGCACCGTTCAACAATTTTTCTTTCAACTCTTCACTCGTTTTCATTTTATTTTTGGTGTTTTCTGTTCACGGAGTTCGACCTTAGCTGCACCCATATTCTTTGTAGAACCAATCATTTAAAACTTTTGGTTTAAAGGATTTTTTTATGAAAAAAGACGGGCATTTATTTTTCTTTCCAAAAAACGTCATTTAAAGATGAAAGTGGAATCATATTGTGCCATCACTCTTTGAATTGGAAATGTACATTATCACTTATAAAAGTTTTTTTTTTTAATTTGTTTATTTTTTGTGTTTAAGATCGACTGTGAGATAGACCCTGAACCTATTCTTGTCGTTGTCGCTACAGACAACGGAAACCCTCGTCGCAGTTCTAGCGCGACCGTGAGAATCGGCGTAGAGGATGTGAACGACAACGAGCCAAGGTTCGACAGTGTGTTCTACAACGTATCCCTGAAGGAGTCTGTGGAGTCGGGCACCTGTTTTATCAGGTAAAAGTTGTTTATAAAAGAGTTAAAGGAATTGAGTCTTTGTCACAAACAATGATTTTCTAATCTCAATATCTTTGCAACCCAATGCCGTAGACCTTAGATATTTCAAACTTTGAATTCTGTTGGATAAAAGAATCTAAGTTTAAAATATCAAGTTTTGCACCATCAGGTGGAAAAAATATAGGTATTAGAAAATCAGAATTTGTTACAAAGACTCAATTCCTTTAAGAGAGAACAAATAAGATGGTGTAGTTAGGTTTAAAAGTTTCCTTATATCAATACGATTTGTTGTCAAAATCAGGGTTCCTAGGTATAAATCCCTGTTCCTAGCTTAGGAAAGTTAGGTTCCTTAGATATTTTAGAGGGTTTCGGGCTGTATTGGAACAACTCAGTGTTCTTGAATAACACTAATCGTTTCTGAGGGAAAAGACAACAAAGATAATAATAAACATTATCTTTATTTTTTGCTTCTAGATTTTAATGAAACATCTATTTAGGGTAAATGCTGAAGATTCAGACTGTGGAGTAACATCAAAGGTACAGAAACTCAATTTATTAACTGTCAATTTTTATTTTAGTTCTATTTCCAGTTTTAATCATTTAAGAATCCTTTTTAGCGAATACTTTTTTACAAATGAAGATTTTAATTAAATAAAATTGTTAAACCCAGTTTTGCCCTTAATTGATATTTGTTTTCTACTGCAGGTGTCCTATCGGCTGGGTGAGGTTGAGCCAAGGTTCCGGGTAGACCAGGATACTGGAGAGATTTGTCTCCAGACAAACCTGGATTTTGAGACGGATACATTCCATCATCTAACCATTGTCGCTGTAGACAGGGTGAGTACTTCTATACTAGCCTAGATATATTCATATTTCATCAAGCTCAGAGTTTTTACCTGATATGCATCTGTTATCTGTATGCATCTGTTATCTGTATGTGTGAAAAACTTAACTTTTCATCTGTCATATGTATAAACGACGTCTTGTGTTGTTTATAGTATATATTCATCTCATCTGTTAATTCAACTTATTTCATATCTTTCAAAATTACTTTTCTGTTTGGGTGTTCACATACAAAGATGTTTAATTGTTATCTGCACAATTAGAGTAAAAACGTCTGTTCACTTTTTGTACCAAGCTTGTATAGTTCACCTTTAGTTTATTCTAATTTTCGATTATGTCATTTTTTTTTGTCTGACATAATTCTTTCTATTTATCTGTTAGATAATTTATTTATTTATCAACTTTTCAAAGTGTCTGTATGAATGTGTCTATGCATAAGTTTTACCTTCCCTCCAATCCATCAATATAAACAATTGGCCCATTGTCTCATTTTATTGTTTTCTTTTTAAAACTTTCTACTTTGCGTTTTATTTTCACCTCTTTTATTGATCTGATCTTTTCAACCTTTCTCACAATATTCGGTTTTCTCTCCTTCCTTCCTCCATACCACTATTCTAATCAATCTTTCTATTCTAATTGATCTTTCTATTCTCATCTATCTTTCTGTTCTTATATATCTTTCTATTCTAGCCTATCTCTCTATTCTAATCCATCTTTCTATTCTAATCTCTCTTTCTATTCTAATCCATCTTTCTATCCTCATCTATCTTTCTATTCTCATCTTTCTATTCAAACCCATCTTTCTATTCTAATCTATCTTTCTAATCTAACCTATCTTTCTATTCTAATCTATCTTTCTATCCTCATCTATCTTTCTATCCTCATCTATCTAATTTATCTTCACCTTCTAACCTCGTCTATCTTTCTATCATAATCTATCTCTCTATCTTCGTCTTTCTACTCTCATCTCTATCTTTCTATCTTCGTCTTTCTACTCTCATCTCTATCTTTCTATCTTCGTCTTTCTACTTTCATCTCTATCTTTCTATCTTCATCTCTATCTTTCTATCTTCGTCTTTCTACTCTCATCTCTATCTTTCTATCTTCGTCTTTATACTCTCAATTCTATTTTTCTATCTTCGTCTTTCTACTCTCAACTATATCTTTCTACTCTCAATTCTATCTTTCTATCTTTGCCTTTCTACTCTCATCTCTATCTTTCTATCTTTCTCTTTCTACTCTCATCTCTATCTTTCTAACTTCGTCTTTCTACTCTGGAATAGAAAGACAACTTTTAGAATCAAGTTAATGCTTTAAAATGTCCAATATGCATGAGCCACAGCAATTGAGCAGTGTAAACAGACCCATTTTGCTAAATTATTGATTTTATAATTGTCTAGTAAAACTTTGTAAAAGTATCAAATACACTTTAGTATTGCTGTAATGGCATCTTCTTATTCCATTGTTTTCTGATTATCACTGTTTTATCTTTCATCATTCTTTTCTTATCTATATTTCTCCTGTTACGATTTCTACCGATTTATCGTTTTTTTTATTTTTTTTTGAATAATATTATTTTAAAAGCTGGAAATAACAGTTTTCTGTTTATTATATTACTAACTCGATGAAAAGCTCGAATTTATTTTACGGGATTTGTTTGCGGTGGTCCTAGACTCAAGGTCGGACGGATATAATTTTAGTCTAAATTTATAAAATGAATGGATTCAGTTTTCTTGTATTTTTCTCCAAATCTATAAACGCCTTGATATACCCTTTATTCCACATGCCTATATCAAGTCAATACTCTAACTATTTCTCTGTATTTTCCGATGTCTGTATCCTGTATAGCTTCCTTCCTATCCCCCCTGTATTTTCCAATGCCTGTATCCCCCCAGTATCCCCCTGTATTTCCCTATGCTTGTATCCCCCTGTATTTCCCCATGTCTGTATCCCCCCTGCATTTCCCCATTCCTGTATTCCCCTGTATTTTCCGATGCCTGTATCCCCCTGTATTTCCCCATGCCTGTATCCCCCTTTGCATTTCCCCATGCCTGTATCCCCTCTCTGCATTTCCCCATGCCTGTATCCCCCTGTATTTCACCATGTCTGTATCCCCCCTGTATTTCCCTCTGCCTGTATCCCCCTGTATTTCCCCTTGTCTGTATCCCCCTGTATTCCCCATGCCTGTATCCCCCCTGCATTTCCTCATGTCTGTATCCCCTTTGAATGCCGATAAATAATTATCTATCAATATGACTACATGTATACTGTATACTCAGCGAAACATCTATATTTTATTCAAGGACCTAGTATGAATAATTCCCCCATTATTATATGGTTTTAGGCATAATTATTTTCTTAACTTTTATCAATCAATCATCATCCAGCCCCATCCGCATATACACACATACGGCTTCATTCTTATCTTTAAAAATTCCCCCTTTCTTCCAACATATTCACCTTTTATCCTTATTTTTTTATTGTGTAATTTTCTTTTTATATTTGCCCCTTAAAGAAGAGGCTGTAATACGATCATTTAGTTTTAAGTGTGGGATCACTTTTAGCCTTTAGAACCAAATGCATTATGTCTGTATATATACATATATATATATATATTTATATTTGCTAATCCCATTCTTTATGAATAGAAAGTACTACTTTATTTAATTACACTAATATCTGGTCTGGTCTGGTCCCGGTCTAGTCTGATGATCTGGTCTGGATTATCAAGTATAGTAGTTGGTAATAAGGTATATAAACGTGTTCTTCAGTGCAATCTATTGTATTTTCTAATCTATTTGGAGTGTACTGTGTATACCAAAAACATATGAGGTTAAGGATACATTTTGGTTGAATTAGACCTAGACTGCGGTTTCACGAATCCATCCATCCATCTAGTGTTTCTTAAACATGTCCCTACTTTTTGTCCTTATACTACCTGTAACTATCTATATCTATCTATCTAAATAAGTATACAATTCTTAAAAATAAATTTGAGCATTCATTTAACCAGATTTTGGGTTATAATTTCATTTTAATTCAGCAAAAAAATTATATTTTAATGTTTATTTGGCGGACCTTAATTTGCTAAATAAAACTCTAAAACTTAATTTGTCGATATGTTGTACTGATTATATTTTCCTATATACTTCCCCCCCCCATCCCTCCCTGAATTGTTAGGTTCCAAGTGTAATCTATCTGGACTCGGATCAAGGAAATGTGGTCTGACTTGAAATTAGGACACACAACCCCAAATTCAGGGTTTACCAAGCTTTAAAACTTAATCTTTAGCTTGGGTTTTGGGCATAACCACCTCTTTCTTTCAAGGATTAATGCCCAAGCTATTTTATCCAGTTGAATTGACGCGGCATTGTTACGCTGTCTGTTCATGTATCGTTGATGTTTCTAGATTTGTGAATTTTCTCATCTTTTTCCAATCTCGAATTTCATGTTCTGAAAGGGATTGTAGACGTATTTTCAAGTGCCTTAACGACGCTTAAAAAAGAGTCATGTCCGATTCAGAGAAGTACCATTTCAACCTTTTTTTGCGTAAAAAGGGTAATTGTGAATCATACATGCCACCCTGTAAATAGAGAGTCACTTGAAATAACGTCCACAGTTCCTTAAAGTACACATTTATTTACTCTTTTCTTCTTTTTTTTTAAGAAGTATTATTATTTTATTTATTTATTTCATACTCTTCATTTACTGTTTCCTTTATATTCCCCCAACCATGGATTGCATTATCTGCATATCTATCTCTAGTATCTGTCTATCTCCCCTCTAGCAGCAATCCAAATATTATCATTATCTCTCCGTTCAAATATTTGGTGTGCAAAATATGAATTTTTAGCGGCAAGCGCGCCGACTCTCTCTCTCTCGTAAGTTCAAATCTCCGGCCAGAAAAGTTCCCTCTCTCAATTTCCCGGAAAAAATTCAGAATTTTAAATCTTGGATTTCAAAAGTTCAACCTGCAACCCAAACTTAATTTTCCACGCATTCAAAATTCCATTTTGCGTATGGCCATTTTGAAGGCTTTACTGTTCTAAAAACGCATTCCCTCTTTTCTCGAATCTCTAAAAAGCAGCGAAACTTCAGCAAAAATTGTAATTCTAATAATAGTTACCTCTCCCCTCCCCCCCTGCGGCGCTTATCAATTGGGTTGACCTGAAAACAATCTACATATGTATGTGAAGGTGCCACTGTTAAAGGGGGACAAACTAATGGGGGGGGGGGGTGATCTTGTTTTGTAAATATTAAAAATAAATTTTTAACTTAATTTTATTATTTTCTTAAAGATTAAAATTAGAGGACTAACAATAATAAATAATTTTCTAAATCTTCAGAATCCCCCCCCCCCATGGCAGGTTTATGCATAGGGTGTCTGGTCCCCCACTGATAGTAACTCAACAGGTTCATAATATACCTGTTCCGATACAAATATATTTCTATCTATCTATCATCTGCTCCGATACAAATATATTGCTATCTGTCTATCATCTGTTTCGATACAAATATATTCCTAACTATCATTTGTTCCGATACAAATATATTTCTATCTTTTCATTACCTGCTCCGATACAAATATATTGATATCTATCATCTGTTCCGATACAAATATATTGATATCTATCATCTTTTCCGATACAAATATATTGATATCTATTTGTCATCTGTTCCGATACAAATATATTCCTCCTGTCTATCAATTGTTCTGAAACAAATGTGTTTCTATCTATCTATCATTTGTTCCGATACAAATATATTTCTATCTATCTATTATCTGTTCCGGTACAAATATATTTCTATATATCTATCATCTGTTCCGGTACAAATATATTTCTATATATCTATCATCTGTTCCGATACAAATATATTTCTATATATCTATCATCTGTTCCTATACAAATATATTTCTATATATCTATCATCTGTTCCGATACAAATATATTTCTATCTATCTATCATCTGTTCCGATACAAATATATTGCTATCTATCTATCTTCTGTTTCGATCGATACAAATATATTCCTATTTATCATTTGTTCCGATACAAATATATTTCTATCTATTATCTGTTCCGATACAAATATATTCCTGTCTATCATTTGTTCTGAAACAAATGTGTTTCTATCTATCTATCATTTGTTCCGATACAAATACATTTCTATCTATCTTTCATCTGTTCCGATACAAATATATTCCAGTCTATCATCTGTTCTGAAACAAATATATTGATATCTATCTATCTATCATCTGTTCCGATACAAATATATTTCTATCTATCATCTGTTCAGATACAAATATATTTCTATCTATCATCTGTTCCGATACAAATATATTCCTGTCCATCATTTGTTCTAAAACAAAGGTATTTATATCTATCTATCATTTGTTCCAATACAAATTTATTCCTGTCTATCATCTGTTCCGATACAAATATATTTCAATATATCATCTGTTCCGATACAAATATATTTATATCTGTCTGTCATCTGTTTCGATACAAATATATTTCTATATATCTATCATCTGTTCCTATACAAATATATTTCTATATATCTATCATCTGTTCCGATACAAATATATTTCTATATATCTATTATCTGTTCCGATACACATATATTTCTATCTATCTATTATCTGTTCCGATAAAAATATATTTCTATCTATCTATCATCTGTTCCGATACAAATATATTTCTATCTATCTATTATCTGTTCCGATACAAATATATTTCTATCCATCTATCATCTGTTCCGATACAAATATATTTCTATCTATCTATTATCTGTTCCTATTCAAACATATTTCTATCATATTTCTATCTATCATCTGTTCCGATACAAATATATTTCTATATATCTATCATCTGTTCATATACAAATATATTTCTATCATCTGTTCCGATAATGTGCCGGTACTGTTCTTATACGTTTCAATAAATGTTTACAAATTTTGTGTCTCTGGCTAAATGTTATGTCATCGAATTCATGAATCAACTGATAGCGCATAAAAGGCTGATAAAGTAAAAAAGCAAGGGTTTTATCCACAGGTTTTATCTCAGATAAAACTTTATTGTTCCTCATTTATTTCCAAATCTATTTCAAACTCAGCCTAAAAACAACCAATGCAATTCAGACTGGAATTTTAGATTGGAAGGGAGGGGAGGGGGGGCATGGAAATTTTAAAAACACGATACCAATTTTAGAACGCGCCAAGTGTATTCTGGTAAAAAAGCGGATTAGTCCTGAAACAGGTTGATTAAGCGCTGAGTGTCCCAGGACCTGTTTATGCATTTAAACTTTAAATAGTTAAGATTGTTCCATTGAAAGAAGATAAGAATGAAAATTAATTATTAGTTAGCACACAACACTTTTTATTCTAGACAAACATTGTTGAAATCATCTTAAAATATTGAAATACCGGAGTATACCTGAAATCGGCCTTTTTATGTTATATGTCATTAAATAAAGCTAAATCTATACGTTTTTTATTTCTGTAAAAAGATGTCCAAGTTCCGTCATCTAGCCTGTCCTAGCCGCAGCACTCTCAAGGTCTAACCTAACCTAACCCTAACAGCTGCATATTTTTTAAAGTTATCGTAACTTTAAGTACAAATTGTATTGTACGGTTTTTATTAATTACATGTACCAAGTGTACAACATTGTTCAATGCACCCGTTTCAAAATTGTATTGTACGGTATTTATTAATTACAAGTACATGTACCAAGTGTACAACATTGTTCAATGTACCCGTTTCAAAATTGTATTGTACGGTATTTATCAATTACATGTACCAAGTGTACAACATTGCTCAATGTACCCGTTTCAGTTTTTATCCCTCCTGTTAGTGCTTTAATAGTTATTTGTATACTCGTAATTAAAATAGAATCCGACCTTGCTCCGTATACAAGGATTCAAGGCTACAAACTAGCACAGTTTATTGGTATTGAAACCAGATCCTAATCTAGACAGTGTTCCGAGCTCATAAATATACTGGAGAAATATATCTTTATATCCTTAAAACTATCTAGCTGTCCGTCTGTCTGTCTGTCTATCTATCTGTCTAATAGTCATTACACAAATCTCAGCTATACATTATTCTTATTCACTAATGAACCAAGTGAAAATTTAGAACATAGTATATGTTGATTGTCTAAATATGGTCTGAAAATTTAACTACTACATATTTAAACATCTATATAATTCTTATAGTTAGATCTTATTCATCTATCTCCGATACTATACATGCAATTACTATCAAGCTTGTTATAATTTAGAACAATAAATGTTATGTCAGCAAAAAAAAATAAAAAAATTGTAAAAAAACATGTTTTATCAAGATAAAGATACATGACTTTTTATCTATCTATTTTATCTATATATATCTATCTATCTATCTATCTATCTATCTATCTATCTATCTATCTATCTATCTATCTATCTATCTATCTATCTATCTATATCTAATATTATTCATCTATCTATTAAATATATATATATTTAGGGTGGATTGTCCTCTACGTCAATGGTTGGAATAACAGTTGAGGATGATAATGATAATAGTCCTCAGTTCAACCCTAGGGTAAGAAATACAAGTTTATCATCTCTTTAGTTAGCAGTAGTAGTTTCACTTTACATCAACATAAGACCAAGATAGGAGTGTAAAGGGGACTATAGACGGTAGTATAGGTGGCCACCATTTTAATAAGACGTATTTCCGATGCTGAAAGGTACCCTATAAACCTCAGGGGCAATGAGAAAAAAATTGTCATTTTTTGTATTGAATCGTGTTCATTTTTCACCCTTTTCTTCATTGTCTGTGAAGCATAAATCTGCAACTTACTTTTACAGAGAAACCACAATTCAAAATAATTAATTTTCATCAATAAAAAGATCTTTAGTTTATCATTGATCAGACAAAGGATTAAATGGTATCGTAGTGAATCGAAAATATCGAGTGGACGGTCACTTGAAATCTCGTTGACAGTCCCATTAATCAAGAATAAATATCAGAACAAATAAGAAAAGGTAACTAGTGACTGAAACAATAAGTATAAGAAAATAAAAAATAAAATAAAATACGATCAACCTACGGATAAATCAGAGATACGAGCGTAGCAGAGATCAATTGAAACCATTGATATGGGATATTTTCCACAGCAGGTTCTATTGTGTACAAATATTGTACACAACCAATCAGCAGGCATGGATATTTAAAGATCCTTTGGATACGAAATGTTTTGTTTCATGTTAAAAATTGGAGTATTTCTATGCTACTTATCCCCTAAATTGGTATCATATGCAACAAGAGGCCATTAGATGGCAGTCAAATAACCTTTCATGAAACTGTAGCATGGCATGCCGGGACACTTTAGGCCTGCTTAGCCTATCCAGGTAGAGCATATGCGCAGTCTGGTTAGTCTGTGGATATAACGTTGAAGAAATGTGAAAATTAATAAATCTTGATTAGATAAAGTTTGTATACATAACAAAGTGAAGAATGAATAAATGAATTTATTAAATGATGAAAAATAAATGAGAGGATAAGTGAATAAAAGGATAATTAAAAATGAATGAATATATTTAACAGGAATATAGCGGGAGTGTTGAAGGAGAAGGCCAGGCTGGTGATCATATTCTCAGAGTATCAGCTGTAGATAGAGATTCAGGAGACTGGGGACAGGTATTTTTATAATTACATAATTATTATTGTCATCTAGCCTGTCCTAGCCGCAGCACTATCAAGGTCTAACCTAACCTAACCCTAACAGCTGCATATTTTTTAAAGTTATCGTAACTTTAAGTACAAATTGTATTGTACGGTTTTTATTAATTACATGTACCAAGTGTACAACATTGTTCAATGCACCCGTTTCAAAATTGTATTGTACGGTATTTATTAATTACAAGTACATGTACCAAGTGTACAACATTGTTCAATGAATTATTATAATTTTTATTCTTATTTTTATGTCTTCTGTATTGATAATAATGTTTTTTCTTCTTGTACTAAAATTAAATAGTATCATTATGATTGTTATTATCAGGTGACCTACTCTATCAGCAAGGGTAACCAAGAAGGCCTATTCCTGCTGGATGAAAAGGGAGGTGTTCTATCTCTAGCACGTTCTCTTAAGGATGCTCAAGGTAATAAGATCTATAAACAACCATCCATCCATCCATACATTTGCTAACATTCATTTCCAAACTTTCAAATTTTTGTGTGAGTTTGTTTCCTTTTACCTGTCGTTTATATTCTTCATTTAGCCTATTCACGCTACACAGACCCCACCCTAACCTAACATTATTTTAGGAACATTTAAACTTGAAGTGTCAGCTGTAGACGGGGGCGGGACATCAGCCCCACAACCAGCTCTTTTATCAATCAACATAGCGCCTCAAGACACACCCTCAACTCCACCCTTATGTATCGAAAAATTGCACCAGTTTTCTATTGAGGAGGACGCAATAATTCGCTCGGATGTCGGTAAAGTTCGCACAAACGTAAAAAATCCGCGAATATTTTTCTATTCAGAAAACGCGCAAAGTTATTTTGACATAGATTCTCAGTCTGGCCTGATCTCAACTAAGATGGAGCTTGATCACGAGACAAATCCAAGATTTCTTCTAAATATCGGAGTCGAAGATGATGTCTCCGGTATGACCGGATACTGCCAGGTCCTTGTTAACATAATCGACATTAACGACAACGCTCCCAGCTTTGGTCCCACCCTGGGCTTGATCACCATTCCTGAAAATTCTCCTGCCCACACTCTGGTGTTCGCTAAGCAGGCTCGGGACAGAGACTCCGGTGAGAACGGAAGAGTTAACTATAGGATAATCAAGGATACAGGGGTATTCACTGTGGATGAGAATACAGGGGTGGTTACAACCCTACAGGAGCTAGATTATGAACAGGTTAGATGATAAACTATATGCACAATTCACGTGACTTTCTGTTGAAAAAATGCAAGTCAGATTTTAAATTGTTCAATATACTCGTAACTGTAATCTGACTTCCCTTAACCAAATATAAAGAATCCAAGAACTGTCAAAAAAACTTCATTTTTAATTTAAACAAACGTAAAAAGCTATTATTTAACAACAGCTTTTTTAAGAGTTGGAATAATGTCTTACTTCTTATGAACATATTGTCTGCATATGTTGTCCAAAAAACAATTGGTGTGTTATTTGTTTGATGTGTATGTTTGTTTGTTTGTTCACATGTTCGATCTTGGTTTAAATTTATGCATGTTAATGCGTAACTGTCTGGTTATCTGCATATTTTGGTTCATGTTTATTTGTATTTGTGTTTATACTTGAATTCAGTCGTGCACCTTAGTCAAGGTTTCTAGTCGGAATATAATTCATCAACAGTCTTAACCCTAGACTGTCATTACAATATTAACCCTAGACTGTCATTACAATATTAACCCTAGACTGTCATTACAATATTAACCCAATATTAAAACTCTGTCGTTGTAATTTGTAATACTCGGTTCGAAACGGTTACTTTTACTCTTGTCTGATCAGACATGTGGAAGAGATCGTCGGTTTTCTTGCTTGAAAATCATACAATTTTTCAAAGATAAGTCATGGATATCTCATTCATTTTTAATAAGTCAAAGGTTTTGAAAGCTGTAAACGAAGTAACGTGCACACTCCCTTTTAACCAAATATATGTTCTGTTGACAATTCTGAATCTTTTTAAAGATACGTTAACATTAATTATCCCTATATTTGGAGGCTTCTGATATTTTTGTTGATAATCCAGATAGTTTTGGTGGGCGGGGTTTCTTGTTCACTCCCTCCCATCTAGTTCTCAACAGTCAGGTCCAAATCTGGATTAATTAGCCCTAATATTAAGGCATAAATCAATCAATCAATTAGGCTAATTAGGGTGTGACAAACACTGACAAGTTAGGATTCAAAAATTAATCTTGTATTTGCAAATTTGTAGTTGTTGTTATGTCGTCATGCTCTTAATCCTTTGCATTAGCTAAATATGGTATTCTATCCACTATTCTTGTATTGCTTCAGTGTTGCTATCTTATATAATTTTAACTATACTATTCCAAAACTTTGAATTGAAGTGGTGTATACTGTACAAAGTATTTTTGTATTGCTTCAATGTTGCTATCTTATATAATTTTAACTATACTATTCCAAAACTATGAATAGAAGTGGTGTATACTATACAAAGTATTTTTGTATTGCTTCAATGTTGCTATCTTATATAATTCTAACTATACTATTCCAAAACTTTGAATTGTAGTGGTGTATACTATACAAAGTATTTTTGTATTGCTTCAATGTTGCTATCTTATATAATTCTAACTATACTATTCCAAAACTTTGAATTGTAGTGGTGTATACTATACAAAGTATTTTTGTATTGCTTCAGTGTTGCTATCTCATATAATTTTAACTATACTATTCCAAAACTATTAATAGAAGTGGTGTATACTACACAAAGTATTTTTACTATTGCTTCGATGTTGCTATCTCATATAATTTTAACTATACTATTCCAAAACTTTGAATTGAAGTGGTGTATACTATACAAAGTAATTTGTATTGCTTCAATGTTGCTATCGCATATAATTTTAACTATACTATTACAAAACTTTGAATTGAAGTGGTGTATACTATACAAAGTATTTTTGTATTGCTTCGTTGCTATCGCATATAATTTTAACTATACTATTCCAAAACTTTGAATTGAAGTGGTGTATACTATACAAAGTATTTTTGTATTGCTTCAATGTTGCTATCTCATATAATTTTAACTATACTATTCCAAAACTATGAATAGAAGTGGTGTATACTATACAAAGTATTTTTACTATTGCTTCAGTGTTGCTATCGCATATTATTTTAACTATACTATTCCAAAACTATGAATAGAAGTGGTGTATACTATACAAAGTAGTGAACAGTAAAGTTTAATGGAACTGATTACTTACCAAAAATTTAATTTCCTAATCCCTATGCCTATACCTTGGCAATCTTATGATGAAAACCGTTTATATTTCAAACTTTGACTATTTGATCTAGTTTGAAATATCATAGGTTTAAGCCATCATATTGTATAACGATATAAGGATTAGAAAGTTTGTGTTTATGACGAGTTTTTTGGTCTTTAATTTGTTAAAAACTGAGACAGTGGCTATCTTATTGGTGTTGAGATCTGATTGTGTGGACAGTTGAAACTGAGTTAACTATCAAAATAATATAATTATCTCACTACACAATCTTCCAACCAACATAACTATTAAACATAGTTAAATAACAAACGATCTTACCAACTTTACATTTAGCTAACTTTAGCTTGGTCCGGTTCTCAAGTAAACCTGAGTTTACAGTGACTAATTATCTAATTTATAAACTATAAAAAAATCTAACTATTTATTTACCTATCTTTTTACTTTACTATCTATCTATGTAGCTATCTATTTATCTACCTATCCATCTATCTAGATGGAACAGCATGAGGTTCAGCTGGTGGCCTACGACAATGGTTCCCCCTCCCTCTCCTCCAGCTTTTCTATCAATATTCTCGTTCAGGTAAACTTAGTTTATCCAATAATAATTTGGCAAAGAATAATTTCTTAAATAACCCCTTAAAACAAGTACTCTTAGTACTGTACAATGAGATTATAAAAGGTTCCAGAAAAATCTGGAAGTTTTACAATTTCAAAATTGTTTCTTTCTAAACATTTCGTTTTTCTAGCACTATCTTAAACAAGGTTGTATATTATATTATGAAACCTTATAATACCTATACAAGTTTAATTAGATGTTACTTTTTAATGAAAAGTACCCTATCAAACAGAAACTGAAAAACAAGGAAAAATTAGAGTAATTCCATAACACAGCAAAATAAATTTTAGTTTGCCGCAAAAAAACATAATTATCTATTCACTTATTAAAAAGCTACAGATATATACAGCAGGAGACGGCCAATGGCAAATTAATGAGTAATTCGGTCACCAGTCAAAATTCATGCTGATTTGCAAATTATAGAGCAAGATATAGTGTTTGCCGATTGGTATATTGCTCTACAAGAGCATGATCAATGATTAATTGCCAATCTTAGAGAAAATATGAATTAGTTTTGACCAGTTAACGTGCAAATGCAATGCATCATTTAATTGGCAAATGGTGAATCATGAATAGATTAAGATTCATTAGCATCCCTCAAGCTTAGAATAAAATACCACGATATTGAGCCAATTATGGTGGTCCATGGGCGTATACAGGGGTGCTTGGTCACTAAACCCGGTAAAGTGAAATCAGGGTTGAAGCGCCCCCCCCCCCATCGCCTCCCATCCAACAAATTACTGTACATTGTCAGGGCCCTATGTATATCGCATAAGCCCCCCATGTAAAATATCTCATAGCTAAACTAAGAATGACTCCAGGATGAAAACGACCACGCCCCTGTGTTCTCTAAGCCCTCCTACCAGCTGACAGTCGAGGAAACCCTGCCAAAGGATTCTCAGCTCCTTCCCCTTGACGCTGAAGACCTGGATGGAGGAAAAAATGGTCGACTACGATTTTCTATAATTGGTAAAATTTAATTAATTCAATTGTAAACAGTTTTACAAACATTTCCCTAATTGAATTCAGAAAAGTAACGAAATAGGCGTTGAGTTTGATTCGTAAACAACATAAAATTTAGATATTTTCTCAATTCATTCTTTTTGTTTCACCCTTTGTACGTCAACATAGTGTAAGGAAACAACTATTTCTTAGATGTGCAGTTTTCAATTGTGCATGTTTATAGTTCAACATATTCATAAGAGATGCACAATGCAAATTGATGTTTTATTAAGCCAATTATGGGACTAAATGCAATGTTTAATAGTATTGTTAAATCTTGCAAAAATACTTTAAATCTATTTTATCTCAATGACTAAGTAAACATGAATATATACATCACGCTAAACTATCAAGTTCTGACTGAAAAACGTAGGATTTTTATCGAGAAAACCTGAATGTTTTCTGACCTCGGATTTTCCGACCAAACGATCAGTTGTTTTCAAAGACGATGGATTTTTTAAAACTTAAAAAAGGAAAAACGAAAACGAAATTTTAAAAAATTATCGTTTTGTTTTTCCTTTTTTCTTCGTCGTTTTTAAAACGAAACGATCGTTTGCATTAAAGTGTAAACGATCTATCCCTAGATGTACCATACATTTACTAAATATACTTGATGTTTCATTTTTTGAGGAATCTTAGGTGCATAAATTATAATCGTTCAGCTAGAAGTAAAAATTCTAATTTTGTTACTACAATGTTACAATTAACTTGTTCCTAGCAAGTTTCATTAAGCTTGTTACTACAATGTAAGTTGTAATTTACTTGTTGCTCCAATATTGTATTCTACTAGTTGCTCCAATGTTGTATTCTACTAGTTGCTCCAATGTTGTATTCTGCTTGTTGCTCCAATGTTGTATTCTACTAGTTGCTCCAATATTGTATTCTACTTGTAGCTCCAATGTTGTATTCTAGCTGTAGCTCCAATGTTGTATTCTACTAGTTGCTCCAATGTTGTATTCTACTTGTTGCTCCAATGTTGTATTCTACTTGTTGCTCCAATGTTGTATTCTTCTTGCTGCTCCAATGTTGTATTCCTACTTGTTGCTCCAATGTTGCATTCTTCTTGTAGCTCCAATGTTGTGTTCTACTTGTTGCTCCAAAGTTGTATTCTACTAGTTGCTCCAATGTTGTATTCTACTAGTTGCTCCAATGTTGTATTCTACTAGTAGCTCTAATGTTGTATTCTACTTGTTGCTCCAGTGTTGCTCCAGTGTTGCATTCTTCTTGTAGCTCCAATGTTGTATTCTACTAGTTGCTCCAATGTTGTATTCTACTTGTAGCTCCAATGTTGTATTCTACTAGTTGCTCCAATGTTGTATTCTACTTGTAGCTCAAATGTTGTATTCCTTCTTGTTGCTCCAATGTTGTATTCTACTTGTTGCTCCAATGTTGTATTCCTACTTGTTGCTCCATTGTTGTATTCTACTTGTAGCTCCAATGTTGTATTCTACTAGTTGCTCCAATGTTGTATTCTACTAGTTGCTCCAATGTTGTATTCCTACTTGTTGCTCTAATGTTGTATTCTACTAGTTGCTCTAATGTTGTATTCTACTAGTTGCTCCAATGTTGTATTCCTACTAGTTGCTCTAATGTTGTATTCTTCTTGTAGCTCAAATGTTGTATTCTACTAGTTGCTCCAATGTTGTATTCTACTTGTAGCTCCAATGTTGTATTCTACTAGTTGCTCCAATGTTGTATTTTTCTTGTTGCTCTAATGTTGTATTCTAGCTGTTGCTCCAATGTTGTATTCTAGCTGTTGCTCCAATGTTGTATTCTAGCTGTTGCTCCAATGTTGTATTCTTCTTGTTGCTCTAATATTGTATTCTAGCTGTTGCTCCAATGTTGTATTCTACTTGTAGCTCCAATATTGCATTCTAGCTGTAGCTTTAATGTTGTATATTCTAGATGAGTCTGAGTATATCTCTATCCTACCAACCAGTGGTATTCTATACCTGAGTAAAGAACTGGATTATGAAACCATCAACTCTATCTCCTTCACTGTAAAGGTAAATATATATCTCATGGAAACTGATTAAAAAAGATCAAATCTGATCAGAATTTCATATGGATTCTAGATCTCACANATCAACCTTTGAATAAAAAAGCACTAGCACAAATAGTTTTGTAGAAGAAATGGATATAAATATGAGCGCTTTGTTTACATCACAAATAAGGTTTAAGTTATGTAAACATGAATAACAGGAAAAGAAAAAAATTGCCCAGAATCGAGATGGGTTCATTATTGTCTAATTCAAGGAAAGAAAAGATATACAAGAATGCGCAATATAATGAGATACAACAGTAGCCTCCATACAAGCACGCTTTAACTTTTTAGTTATATGAGAATATAGAACTCTTAATAAATACCTCGTTTCTTGAAAACAAACAGGGCCGGGTTATAGGGATGAAAAACAAGACATTTCTGGCTTTAAAAAAAAAGGAAAAATTTGGATTAGAAAAATTTCAGAAATTGTCTTATGGCTTGTTTTCATGTACACAGCCTCTCATGCAATTAGATAAACTGATCCTTAATAATATTTTCATGCACACAGTCTCTCATGCAATTATGGTAGTTATGGTATTTATTTTCAAACACAAAATACAAAATAATATTGCATGATGGTTCAGCTTAAAATGTAACACAAAAGAAAATTTATTATTAAAAATTAAATTAGATTAAAAATATATTGTTTGATAATTTTGTTTTGATCGTATTTGTTGAAACAAAGTATAAATATTGAAAACTCAACTAAGAATACATTCATTGTGCATTTACAAGTAGATAATTAGTCAGCACTCAAATAATCAAAACATTTTCAGGAATGCATTAATTGAACTTATGAATACATATTGATTCAACAAAAGCAATGTATTCTCGTTGACTGTAGTAGACTTTGACATCCACCATTAGCAGAGGGTGTGAGCCCATTCATGTTGACTGTAGTAGACTTTGACATCTACCATTAGCAAAGGGTGTGAACCCATACGCGTTGACTGTAGTAGACTTTGACATCTACCATTAGCAAAGGGTGTGAACCCATACTCGTTGACTGTAGTAGACTTTGACATCTACCATTAGCAAAGGGTGTGAACCCATACTCGTTGTCTGTAGTAGACTTTGACATCTACTATTAGCAAAGGGTGTGAACCCATTCTTGTTGACAGTAAAAAGGGCTGCGGCCCTAGTCCTGAATATATTTGCAAGCCTGTTGCATGCTTTCTCTCAGAGAGAGGAGGTGTTGACACCTCAACTGCTTTCTACTAACTATTAGATAAACTGATCCTTAATAATATTTTCATGCACACAGTCTCTCATGCAATTAGATAAACTGATCCTTAATAATATTTTCATGTACACAGCCTCTCATGCAGTTAGATAAACTGGTCCTTAACAATATTGCCATAAACGTACGCAGATGCAGAGAAAATAGTATAAAGATAACGTTTATTTTGAAGCTAGCTGCAGCGCAATGATGATATTTTTAAATTTACTATCGGAGAGTCATCAGATTGAAGCTACTGAGTTTAATGACGGGTTTATCATTACATATTACACACACTTACAATATATAATAGATTAGGGATGATATGCAAATTTATCTATCTATATCTATTCATCTATCCATCCATCTGTATTATCTATCCATCAATTAATGCTTCTAGGTAGCGGGTCTTTTTTTAATGAACTAGTTCCATAATTTTTTTTCTATCTATCTATCTATGTATGTATCTATCTATCTATCTATCTATCTATCTATCTATCTATCTATCTATCTATCTATCTATCTATCTATCTAGGTTGAAGATGAAGGTACCCCCCCTCTATCTGATGTTTGCAGTGTAGACATCAGGGTGGTGGACTCCAATGATAATGCTCCTATATTCTCTAAGGAGGAGTACTCCTATATAGTTGAGGAGAATACAGGAGTTGGATATAAAATAGGAGTTATTCAGGCAACAGATGCAGATAGTGGACAAAACGGTCAGTTATTATTATATTTTTTTTTATTAATGATTAGCATAAGCACCATTTTCATCAGTATTACTATTTTTTTTGATATATTCATTATATATATTATTATATATTTATTTATGTCATTTTTTATAGTACTAGGCTTTTAGGGCACTTCGCGCCCATCTTCTATTGTGAACATGTTCTTTTTGTTTACATTTTAAAACAAAGAAGAAAAAAATTTCGCGGATTTTTAAAAAAAATTCCCAGATTTTCAAGAATTTAAATTTTTTACAAAAATTTAAAAACTTTTAAAACACATTTTTTAAAATTTTTATCATTCGTAAACCTTCCCTGTGGTCACGTGATGTCCCACAAAAAATTTGGTTCAGCCGTTCTGACGTTTATTGGATACAAACAAACAGACAGACAGACAAACACCAGACAAGCCAAATTTATATATAGATTATTGTCATTATTATAATTATTATTGTTTTTATTTTGATTATTTATTAATCTTCTTTTTCAGGAGATATTTCTTATAAGTTTAAGAGAAGCACAGATGTATTTCAAATTGACGAAAAGAATGGTAAGTTATCCCTTCAAATTAGATGTATCTAGACATATTCTTTAAAATAGAACAGATCAGAGACCAGATTTAATGAGAAGTAGTTGAACCACCTAATGCCGGTTCAACAGATTCTCTTGTGCGCTGGGTTTAGCTTAAGAGTAATTTCAGTGGTCTATTTTTGTTTAAGTAGTTCAACTACTTTCCCTCTTCATTAAACCTGGTCTCAGAACTTCAGTTTTTCCAATTAATACTGTAGTTAGATGTTGTAAATATAAACATATTATATATAACCTATTATGCATATATATACTTATTGCTTATTGGAAGCTGTTTCTGTGTACGTGCTAGTGTAGTTGAGACCCTGTGTAGTGTGCATATAAGTAGAATATTCAATTATGCTCAGCTAAAGAATCAGAAACAAATCTTTAAGCGCTGTCAGGCGTATACTAGTATTATATCTATTATATAGCACAGCTCTGAGTTTTGAGCTTCCTATCTATCTATCTATCTACATATCTAGATATGTATATATGTATATATAATTCTGAACTAAAAAATATATTTTTTCCCCGTCAAAGTTTTTGTTTTTATGCCCTTTTACAACGCGTCAAAAATCCTCCAATTCTGGGGTTGAGGTCTTTACAAATATAAACAGATTTTTTAATTGCAAATTCCGAAAAAAATGTTTATAAGTTAAAATGTTTAACATTTTTCTGTCACAATTTAAAAAATAATTTTATATATTTGTATTCTTGTTTCACTAACTAACTGAGCAACCAACTGTAATCTCTGAATAGGATTATTTATAATTCTTGGATGACTAGTCTCATCCTCTCCATCCTTTATCCAGACAACAGTTTAATCCTCATTCATTCATTCATTCATCAGCTTATCAGTCCTTCCATCTATCCATTCTTCATGCCATACATTCTTTCATTCTCTTTCTGAGTCCTCTTTTTCTCCGTTTTTCCATCTTTGTATTCTGTTTTTATATAATTATTCCCTCTAGCTTTTAATTTCAAAGTAATTCTCAATGATATGTCATGAAAATAGAATTAATGTTTCTTGTTAATGGTAAAGGTTCACGGCGACAGGCGAAAAAGTGATAAGGAGTAGTACGTTAGGGTATGAGAAGAGTAATCAGTCAATATTTGACTAAGATTTTTCGATGATATTCACATTAATCTATAATTACAATATTGTTTCTTCATTTAGAACTTTCCTGGTTTTCCTTATTTTCCCCAATTTTCAATTCTCTTCACTGTTCATCCATAATTGTTCGTGCCTTCATACCTTCTTCTGTTCCTTCATCTTCTTCTTCTTCTCCTCCTTTATATCTTCCTGTGTTAAAGAAATCCCTCCTAATCCTACCTAAACTAAGATATGTTGGTATGAGTGACATCGTGATAGTCGGATAACCCATGAACACATGAAGATCCGACTTTTATTCAGTTTCTTGTTTCCGGTTCTTTTAAAGGGATAATGTCGTTCAAATTCAAGTGATCCCCAATTTAAAAAAACCTGAGCTGAGAACTTTTGAATGGTGGATTTCGGGATTAATGCTTGATCCACTCTTTTTCTTCAGCTCGAGTAATGCTGGTTCTCCTCTTGTTATTAATCTTCAGATTTATTAACCGATCGGGATTAAGGATATCTCATTCTAAAGCTACATGGTTAAATTCCAAAGATACCCTTTAAACCATTATCTGATTAACAATATGTGGAATATATCGCAATCTTTCGAACTTGAAAAATGTTTAATTCTCACAATTTCCTCTTTCGTTTCTTCAGGAGGTCACTATGGCACTCTGTAAATGGAGGTCACTATGGCACTCTTTAAATGGAGGGTCACTTATATTTATATCTACAGTTCCTTCTATCCTTTTCCTTTATCTTTGGCTAAGCTTGTCCGATGTTTTGACCATCCATGTTTAAAAATAATTAAGAATAATAATCATATCATGAAAAGCACTACTCCACGAAGTAATGGTGCGCTTGGTTAGTTTGAGAGGTTGGTTTTTAATCTTGATATAAGCCTTAAATCTAAAATACATGTTAATGTGAAGCTTTGCCATGGAAATTGTAATTAACCAAGCGCAATTTATAATTATATTTAAAATCAAGATTTATGTTTTCTTAGGTGAGATCCGAACTGTTGTGAACCTGGACCGAGAAGTGGAAGATGAATATATTCTTGAGGTTGAAGCTGTAGATTCAGGAATACCTAGATTAACCAGCTCAGCTACTCTTCATATACAGGTTCAGTTGACGAGGAGTTTAATTTATCTAAATATGAAATATTAACTTCAAAAATGTTTTGTTTACTAAAAATATACGATGCCAGTCAAAACGTACGAAAATGAAAATATCAGTAATTTATCATATTGGAGTATGATCTTTTAAAAGGAGAGGGAGGAAATCTATATATTTAATTACCTATTTATTTAATTATCTATTTATCTATTTTTCTATATATCAAGCTATCTATCTATCTATTTATCTATCTATCTACATATTTAATTATGTAGGTTGAGGATCTGAATGACAATGCTCCCGTGATAGTTGATCCAGTAGTGACTGTTCTATCCGTGCAAGGTAGAGCTCCTCCTGATACTCCTATAGCTCGGATACTAGCTACAGATCCAGATCTAGGAGACGGAGGGAACCTAGTTTATACCATAGACAACGGTAGGATACATGTTTATACAAATATATCTCCCTAACCATATTTCTAAATATCCATCTAAACACCTTTTTTTCTATTTATCTATTTCTATATTCATCTTTTTCTATATTCATCTTATTATAGATGTATCTAACTATTTTCTAACTATCCATATATATATAAAGATCTATGCTTATATTCTTCTATCTATCTAGCTATTTGTTCAAATTGTATAATATATAAAAATCTATCTAACTATATATCTTTCTGTCTATTTATTTATTTATCTATTAATTTGTCTATATATTTAATCTATTTTGATTTCTTGAATCTATATATTTCATCATTTATCAATCTATCTACCTTTCTATCTATCTTTCCTTCTGTGTATCAATCTGTGGAACTTTTAATTTCACTTCTGATTTGACATAGATTTCCCGGGTTGATGTCCTTTATCATCTTTTTCTATCCCACCATCTATATATCTTTCTGTCAATGTATCTATTTATCTTTCATTTATATCTAGCTACTCAACTATTTGACAGCCCTATATTTATATATATACTTGAACCTTCCTGTCACTTTTCATATTTTCCTTTCAATATAGTTTTTAGAAAATATATATTTTAAAATGAAACTCTCTTGTTGTTCAGGTCCTTTCAATTCTCAATAATGTTAATATACATTATACAACATCTGCCCTGCCCAATATTATATATATATATATATGATATTATTTTGAATGTTAGGCTCCCATCTTCAATTTTAACTTTTAATTGTTGCTCTATCTGCATAATTTTCTCTTCTTAAATTATCCAACAAAAACAACAAAATTCTCGGATTCATAATTTTTTTCGTGGATTTTAAAAAACAAATGTTGACCAGCCACGTTGATAGGTTACAGAAAAGCCAAGTATGTATATAGATTGAAACGTTTGGTTATCGCCCTAAACATGCTTTCGCTTCGTGAGTACTTTTCGGGATTGTCTCATTAAAGGATATATGTAAAGATTTGGTCACATTGAATATGGTTTTGGTTGGTTTCTGAGTTAGTAATTTGTGGCAGTAGTTGGTCAGTTGCTTTTAGTTGATTGGTTTCTCGTTGGTTAAGTATGAAGTTGGATAGTTTGATGCTTGGTTGGTTAGTTGGCTGGTTTGGTTGCCTATATATATATATATTTCAGTTTTTAACTTCACATTCTTATTAAAAAAAGAATTATACTAAACATAATGTTTCACGTTTATCATGACGATCCTCAGTAGTATATATATATAATAGTGAATTTGTTTGTTGGTTAATGTTTGAACTGGAAGTTCTGAACGCTGAACTAAAATCAGTTTACAAGGTTTAGTTTTGCGTGAGAAATCCTGGTATAAGAAGCTTGGAAGACCTCCAGAACTATTAGCCATGATTTCACGCTATCTATCTATCTCTCTTTCTATCTATTTATCTATCTATTTATCTATCTATTTATCTATCTATTTATCTTATAAAGTTTTATTCTTCTTCCCACATAATCTATATTTCTATCATCTTTCCACGTACATTCCTACATATCAATATATCGTTCTTTCTCAAAATAATTTCATCTTTCTACTTCTTTCTAAAATGAAAATTGATAACTCGCCTCAAACACCACCTATCTCTTTCCAACCTGACTATGTAAACCTTTGATATGGACGTTTTATTTGTCAGAATTTATATTTTAATAGGTTTAGAAATATGGCGCAAAGTTTGGATTGAAAAATTAAAGTTTGTGACTCGAAATAACGGAATTGAGTTTTTGCCACAAACTCTATTTTTTTAATAAATTTATCTTTGCAATCCAAAGTCGTTGACCTTTCATATTTCAAACTATGAAATATGAAAATGCAAAAACTCGGTTGGTTTTTTAAACATATTTCCTAGTTTTTAAAACATTTTTGATCAATAAGATTTTGTATATAAAATATATTTATATTTATTATCTGTATAGTTATTAATAAGCTGGGTGTTGGCTGCGAAGGCAAATGTCCAGTTTTAATCCTAATCCCCGTTCTACACCCATGGTTCAGTATCCATGAGTATAGTGAGATATGAGACCGATTATCCTATATATCTATCATATCTTTTCATCTAGGATATTTATCCTATCTATCAATCTTGGATATCTATTCATATCTTTTCACCTAAGATATATATATATCATATCTATCCATCTAGGATATATATCCTATCTTTTCATTTAGGATATATATCCTATCTTTTCACCTAGGATATATATCCTATCTAGCAGTCTAGGATATATCATATCTATCAATCTTGGATATCTATTCGTATCTTTTCATCTAGGATATATATCATATCTAGGAATCTAGGATATATATCCTATCTGTTGATCTTGGGTATCTAATATATCTATACATCTAGGATATCTATCATATATTTTTTCTTTCGAGGATATCATCTTATTTATCTATTCATCACGAATATCAAGCCTATCGTCCATCTAGGATATTTATCATATTTTTATCGAGATTATCTTTCCTATCTATATAGGATGCATCTATCTTATCTGATCATTTCTAGGATATATATTCTTTTATTTATCTTTCCATCTAGGATTAATCTAGGATTCATCAATTTAAAGTATACATATGTATACATCTAGGATCTATATCCTGTCTCTCCATTTAGGATATCTATCACCATATAGGATATCTATATCAACTATACCTCTTGGATATCTATCCAATTAGGAAAAATATCTTATCCATTTATTGTTAAACTCTATCTAGCTGATTTGTCCATCTAGGATAGCTAAACTATATCTATATAATCTATCAGTGTGGGATAGATATAAACCCTATAAATCAATCCAACCAGTAATTAAATATACCCGTTTATGATATCTCTGAGTATCTTTATTCCTTGTGTATCCAGATGGTGGAGCTGGTCATGATGTTCTGAGTATACATCCAACCACTGGTCTTCTATCTACATCTTCCCTTCTAGAGTATAATCCTCATAATATAACAGTTACAGTCAGAGTTCAGGATCAAGGTATACATATATTTATTTCTTTACGTTTCTTAATTTATCGTTAATATGTTTTCATATTCCTTCGCTTTCAATATTTAGCCTTTCATTATTTAAAAATACTTTTTAAACACACCTTTTTTCTCATTAAATTATGTATATTTGCTATAATTTGTTAGTTTGTTTGATATCAAAAGGTATTGTTAACGTACACATATGTCCTACTCTTGTAAAAGTAACTAAATTATTGTAATTATTATTATTATTGTTATTATTGTAATTATTGTAAAGTAACAAATTATTTTCGCACATAATCAGTTTTTATCTTATTTTAAGTTTCAAGAATTTGTATTCATTTTGTTCATCTAAATTATTATGTTTCTTAATTAGGTTCTCCTAGTTTGAGTTCTAAGGTTTGGTATACTGTCAATATCTTAAGAGAAAGAGATACAAGTCTACCCTTTGCTCAAACAAACCTTATTCTACAGGTAAAAAAAAACAATTGAAATATTCAGAATATTTTGGTGAAATTAGTTTTGAACTTGTCAATGTCGATAAATATGAATCAATGATATTAAGATTAATTAAAGTCCTGTGATGGTCCCCTAGTGCCTCAATGCAGGACCAATTTAAACCATGGATAATGCAATATCAATTTCTCCTTTCAGTTCAACAAAAGAGCTCGGAGTTGGACCCTCATGTATTGACTCCCCCCCCCCCCCCCCCATCCCCATTATCATTGAAATATTTTACCAAGAGTTAATTTTAATGTTTAACTGACGCCATGGGACTAGTTTGTGGAGAGAAAGTGTACATAATAAGATTATTTCTATAGAGAATTGAAGGAGGGGGTTAAGGGAAGATGTAAAAGAAATTGCTTATCATTTTCAGTTGAGTCTATTTACTACCGGTTTTATGAGTTTGCTGGAGGGTATGGGAGGGCAGTTTGTATGTTTTGACTGGCTTGTATTTATTTTAATAATGCTTCCCCCCAGGATATGTGATTGACATGAGGTGGCATGAGGTGACACAATTTCCGTTTTTAGGTGTCAGAGACTGCTACGCCTGGGAGCAGGGTGGGAAGTGTGAAACCTAATCCAACCAACCTGGATCTAAGCACAGCATGGTTTTCTATATCAGGAGGAAACGAGGACGGAATGTTTGATATTGATAATTACAACGGTATCCTAGTTGTTCTTAAACCCCTAAGGTTCAGCTCCAGGAAGGAGTTTAACCTAAGAGTGTCTTTAAACGACGAGGTGTACGGAATGTCCCGTGAAATCATCAAGGTTAAGATTATCATCACTGATGTCAACGGTATCAGCCCTATATTCTCAACTAGCCCCCTGGAGCTTAATGTGCCTGAAAACACGGCTATTGGCACTCCCATACAGACAATTAAAGCCAAGGGTATGGACAGTGCTGGTAATGGGACTATTCGCTACTCACTGTTGGAACAATTCCCGCAGAATTTTTTCCGGATTGATTCGCTGTCTGGAGAACTGTATCTGATTCATGAACTAGATTTTGAATCTACTGAGAAAGTGTTTATGACCTTGCGTGCCACCGACAGTTCATTTGCCGTGGAGGGGAGAAAAACGTCTGATGTATCAGTTATTGTTCATGTTGAGGATACTAATGATCATGTACCCACGTTTGTTTCAACAAAACGGAAGGAGATTCAAGAAGGAATTGAAATTGGAGTTCCGTTCCATCGCGTTCTAGCTGTAGATGGTGACTCCAAGGATGCCGGAGACGTGAGTTATCTGATTGAAGGAGGGAACAGTGATAACGTCTTTCATCTTGATGCATCCACTGGACTACTATCCATCAAAGAACGTCCTACCCGGTCTAGCTACCAGTTAACTATTAAAGCTGAGGATAGCGGTGTACCGAGAAAGTATAGCAGTCAGATTCTCCAGATAGGTGTAGTAGAGCAGAGTAATGGTCCGCCTAAATTCACACAAACTGTTTACAGAGCAGAGGTAATGGAGCATTCCGAGCCCGGGACCCTGGTTATTGCTGTACAGGCGGAAAAACAGGGTTCAGGATCAGACATTATCTACTCCATGGATACCAGCGTGTCCAGGGGATTGTTTAGGATTGATGAAAGATCTGGAGATATAGTCACTATGGGAGATCTTGATAGGGAGGAAAGGAATGAATATATAGTTACCGTATACGTACATGATTCCAACACCCAACCTAATTTCGACACTGCCACAGTTCTCATCAAGATCTCAGATGAGAATGATAAAACCCCAAGATTTGTGGATTCCTGCAATCCGCTTTTTGTTCCTGAGAACACAGATCTGTCAGCATTACATTATTTCATAGCGGTAGATGAGGATGAAGGGCCAAATGGAGAAATAACCTACAGCATCGTGGGCGGGGACGAGGGAAATAAATTCTCTCTGGATGCACACACTGGACAACTGTCTGCAGCTCCACTCGACCATGAGGAGCATTCATCATATTCTCTCACCATCAAGGCGGAAGATCAAGGAAACCCAAGAAGATCCAGCACATGTGAAACAACCATCAGAGTTATTGACAGGAATGACAATGATCCTGTGTTTCTTGAAACTAAATACAAGGCAAGAATCAGTGAAAATGTAGATGTTGGAACTCCAGTTATGAGTGTAACTGCTACAGATGCAGACTCAGGACAGAATGCTAAGATCTCTTATTCTATACAGAATGGTACGGAGTGGATCTTTGGTATCGACAAGGACACCGGAGAGATCTACACCACGGCCAGGTTGGACAGGGAGAAAAATGAGGAGTATAATCTGCTGATTATGGCGGTGGATGAAGGTATTGAGGATACAAGGATGGCATCTACTACTGTCAGTATAACTCTGCAGGATGAGAATGACAATGAACCTGAGTTTGACGAATATCCCTTCATGGCCCAGATACTCCCGGAGCATCCTGTGGGTTCGCAAATAACTAAAGTAACTGCTAAGGACAAGGACAAGGGACAGAATGCCAATCTTAAATACTCATTTTTAAACCAGGAGGATGCGGAAAAGTTTTCAATTGACGCAGTGACTGGGATAATTTCCTCCCAGCAAAATCTTGTAACAGATGATGGAGGGATGTTTCATATCGAGATCCTGGTAACGGATGGTGGTACTCCTAGTCTCAGTTCTACAGGGCTGGTGGAGATAAAGATTGGACAGCAACCTAGCGTACAACTCAACTTCCAGCAGAAACTTTACGAATCCCAAATCTCGGAAGAATCTAAAATCGGCGAAGATATTTTGCAAGTGCAGGCAGTTCGTTCAGATGGACGAATTCAGAGGGTTATCTACACTTTCGGCCAGGGGAACCAGGACGGAATATTTGAAATCAATTCAAACAATGGGTTGATCCGGCTCAAAAATCCTCAGTTCATTGACTATGAGAGAAAACAGGAGTACAAAGTGACAGTACTGGGACATGCTGCAGGACAAGAGCAGCTGTACGCCTACGCCGAGTGCAAAATACGAGTAAAGGATGTGAATGACAATGAACCAAGGTTTACACAAAATGTCTACTTTGCTCGTGCCTGGGAAGGAAATAACAAGGGAACCTTTGTTACCCAAGTAATGGCCGTGGATGGAGACAGTATTGAGAATGAACGTCTATATTATCAGATTATTGATGGAAATCATGATGGGGCGTTCACAATTGATCAACAATACTCTGGAATCATTAAAACCAATATTGTTCTGGATCGAGAGATTAGAGATTCCTACGAGTTAAAAGTGACTGCAACGGACGAGGGTTCTCCGCCCAAGACAGGATATACCAAGGTTATCGTGAAAATAATTGACATCAACGATAACCAGCCGCAGTTCCCTCCAAGCACACCCATTACGATATCTGAAGGTAAGATCTTTATATTGGATTCTCAGGGCTAAAATATCTTCGCTAATATCTCTTCACACTTATTTATATCTGTGCGTTCTACTGGTCCTAACTCTTAAGTCCTTCAATCCGTCTCTTTTTATCCGTCGTCCATTTATTAACTGTCAAAGGAAATGCTTGTTTTACATTCTTTATTGCATTCATCTCTTCTCAACCATAAAAACAGATTTTTAGCTTCTTGTATCATGAAGTTTTATGCAGCTTCTAGTATCATGAAGTTTGTGCAGTTTCTTGTATCCTGAAGTTTGTGAAGCTTCTTGTATCATGAAGTTTGTGAAGCTTCTTGTATCATGAAGTTTGTGCAGCTTCTTGTTTCATGAAGTTTATGCAGATTCTTGTATCATTAAGTTTATGTAGCTTCTTGTATCTTTAAGTTTATGCAGCTTCTAGTATCATGAAATTTGTGAAGCTTCTTGTATCATGAATTTTATGCAGCTTCTAGTATCATGAAGTTTATGCAGCTTCTTGTATCATGAAGTTTGTTGAGCTTCTTGTATCATGAAGTTTATGCAGCTTCTTGTATCATGAAGTTTGTGCAGCTTTTTGTATAATGAAGTTTATGCAGCTTCTTGTATCATGAAATTTATGCAAATTCTTCTATCATGAAGTTTGTGAAGCTTCTTGTATCATGAAGTTTATGCAGCTTCTAGTATCATGAAGTTTGTGCAGTTTCTTGTATCATGAAGTTTGTTCAGCTTCTTGTATCATGAAGTTTATGCAGCTTCTTGTATCATGAAGTTTATGCAGCTTCTTGGATCATGAAGTTTGTGCAGCTTCTCGTATCATGAAGTTTGTGCAGCTTCTTGTATCATGAAGTTTATGCAGCTTCTTTTATCATGAAGTTTGTGCAGCTTCTTGTATCATGTAGTTTATGCAGCTTCTTTTATCATGAAGTTTGTGCAACTTCTTGTATCATAAAGTTTATGCAGCTTCTTGTATCATGAAGTTTATGCAGCTTCTAGTATCATAAAGTTTATGCAGCTTCTTGTATCATGAAGCTTTTAATGTGTATGTCCATGTTCCCCAGCGTCTTCCTAAAAACAAACTTTTAACATATTTGTATATAAATATTAATGAATCAAATATCTTTTTGAGCACACATGATATCTTTTGTATTCTGAAACGAAGGTGGTGAGGAATTGTGTGCAAGTTATTTATCGAAGTTAGAACATATCTGCACCCCACCCAATCTATATAGTTCTACTTTAACACAGAGAAACAAAATAACAGAGTTCTCAGTAAAAACCTCTCAGAAATCTGATGCTCCGTGAGCCGTAAGAATTTAAAACTTTTTCTAATAACAACAGTTGACTGTGAATCCTTAAGCATTGAACTATGTAATGAATTTCCTTTCTAACTCTGTAATATTATATACTCTGTGTATTGCACACTGAGTATACTCCGACCCCCTGACAGTTCATGGTTAAACCAACTTGTTCTAATAATAAGACCTAGATTCAACAATCAAAACAATGCAGCCAGAAATAGGGGGAGGAGCTGGGGAGGGGTAAAAAAATGGAAGAAAAAAGTTAAACAAAACTAGTTTTGATAACACTAACCATTTCTTGACTAAGACGGTCTACGGATCAAGAAGTAAATTTTTAAGGGATTAAAGGAATTGGCTCTTTGCAACAAACTCTGATTTTCTAATCACTATATCTTTGGATTCCAACGTCGTAAACCTTTGAAATTTCAAACTATGACTTTTGTTAGATCAAAAAATATAAGTTTGAAATATCAAAGGTTTACGACATTGGGTTCCAAAGATATTGGGATTAGAAAATCAGAGTTTGTGGCAAAGAGTCAATTCCTTTTTTGATAAATTTGATAAATTTGATATATTATAACGTTTAAATGTTAGCTACTGAATGTGTCTAATTTTCTCAGTCATTTATCTTTGCAACCTGATGTCGTTGCATGACCTTTGACATTTCAAACTATAAATTTTGCTAGAACAAATATCTTGATATATCAAATTTGTTTTCACAATCAGATTGCAATTAGATTGCTATAAATAGGGGTTAGAAAATTATAGTTTGTTGCGAGCGTTCAGTTCCTTTATTAATTACTAGCTGAAAGGCCCGGCGTTGCCCGTGGAAAAAAAATATTTGAAGAAAAGGTTGAAAAAATAAATTTAGAAAAAAAAATCAAAATTTTTTTAGAACTTTTCAATTTTTTAGCCTAAAACCCATGGCAGTCCAGCCGTTGGGCCGGCTATAGGCAACATATATAATGAATGTCTTGTTTTATTATTTAGATAAAAGAAATCTTGATAAAAATGAAAAATATTTGAAAAAAAACACGTCGAAAAACTAATATTAATTTAAAAAGTAATCATAACGGAAATGAGGGGTGACCATGGGGTGAAACTTGTTTTGTTGACCTAGATAAAATACACAAATATGCTTTAACGAGATATCCAACATCTACCAACTATTCTTCATTTGACTTAAATTGACAATTTCTGGACATATTTTGTTAAATGGACACAGGACAACCTTATGTAAGGATACACAGGATTGCAAATACTTAAATACAAGACCGTAGCCACCCTCTAATTCTTATATCTTGATGGTTAGGACTGAACCACGTAAATACAAGACCGTATAGCCACTCTCTAAATCTTATATCTTGATGGTTAGGACTGAACCACGTAAATACAAGACCGTAGCCACCCTCTAAATCTTATATCTTGATGGTTATAACTGAACCACGTAAATACAAGACCGTAGCCACCCTCTAAATCTTATTTATTGATGGTAGGACTGAACCACGTAAATACTAGACCGTAGCCACCCTCTAAATCTTATATCTTGATGGTTATAACTGAACCACGTAAATACAAGACCGTAGCCACCCTCTAAATCTTATATCTTGATGGTTAGGACTGAACCAAGTAAATACAAGACCGTATAGCCACCCTCTAAATCTTATTTATTGATGGTAGGACTGAACCACGTAAATGCAAGACCGTAGCCACCCTCTAAATCTTATTTATTGATGGTAGGACTGAACCACGTAAATACAAGACCGTAGCCACCCTCTAAATCTTATATCTTGATGGTTATAACTGAACCACGTAAATACAAGATCGTAGCCACCCTCTAAATCTTGTATCTTGATGGTTATAACTGAATAACGTAAATACAAGACCGTAGCCACCCTCTAAATCTTATATCTTGATGGTTAGGACTGAACCACGTAAATATATAACGAAGTGCATCCTGTATATATCAAACTAATTTTCATAATTTTTACATAAATTTAAAATATATAACCCGACAAATAAGTGCAAAAAGAAAAACAAAACAAAAAACTACATTACATTGGGGAAAATGGGTTATAAACATAAGACTCGCTGGACTTATAATCAGGACTTCTAGTTTAGCGTGGAAACTGTAATATTGAAGTTTAATATATATAATTAGACCTGGACTAAAGTGTATATTGGACGGGTTGGATTTATCTATAAATCTCCGATTACAATTAGGTTACTAATATTGCTTATGTTATCCATACCTTGAGCAATCGATAATTTAGATCTAGCAACCTTAATGTCTACTTAATAACTATAGATGGAGTACAAATAAATCTAGGAAATAAAAGGAGAAAGGGTAGAAAATGTAGATCCACAGCTTAATTAATCCATGGTATATAGTTGTAATATCTAAATCTATAAAATCTCCAGGAATTGAGTTTTGCAACAGACTGAAATGTTCTAATCTCTTCTCAACCTGCACTGGTGTGAACATTTGATATTTTAAACTTAGATTATTTAATCAAACATAATTGCTAATTTGAAATATCTAAGATCTACGGTTGCAAAGATATTGAGATTTGAAAATTAGACTTCCTTTTTAACTATCCTTTTTAAACTCTCAAAAAATAGACCACCAATAGCTTAATGTTTTTTCTCGTATGTTTAATTGCTATAAAAGAACGGAATTGGATTTTAAGACGACTGTTAATCAGAAAGAAATAAACAAACAGTTTTTTCTTAATTAAAGCAAGAGATAAATACTGACAATGGAAGTTATTATTTGCTTTGCTTGAAACTCTAATTTTCTAATCCTGGTATCTGTGCCACCTTTCTAAACCTTTGATACTCCAAATTTGGCTTTTTGATATAACAGAATTTTTGGTTTGAAAGGTTTATGTCATCAAGATGCAAAGGGATTAAAAAATTAAATATGTTCAATATTTTCTACACTCTTTTTTCATTAAAACAAGTATAGTTGATGAACTATCTTCAAACCACCCAGATATTTTCATACTGTTCTGTTTCTATTTTACATACAATTCTGGTACAATAAAGAACATTTACAGTACAATACAGAAAAATAAAGTACACTTACAGTACAATACAGAACGATAAAGTACATATCCAGTACAATACAGAACAATAAAGTACATTTAAATTAAAATACAGTAGATTTACACAATACAGAACAATAAGAGAACAGAAAATATAGCACTTTTGAGTTGATTAGAAAATTGTGCAATTGACCAGGTAGTAATAAACAGTACGTACAACAATATAATCTTATTGACAGGGTAGTAATAAACAGTACGTACAACAGTATAATCTTATTGACAGGGTAGTAATAAACAGTACGTACAACAATATAATCTTATTGACAGAGTAGTAATAAACAGTACGTAAAACAATATAATCTTATTGACAGGGTAGTAATAAACAGTACGTACAACAATATAATCTTATTGACAGGGTAGTAATAAACAGTACGTACAACAATATAATCTTATTGACAGAGTAGTAATAAACAGTACGTACAACAATATAATCTTATTGATTAAAACTCTGTAATTTATTATATTAACACAGTTTTCTTCAAAAATTCTATTGACAAATTCAAATCATCTTGTATTTTTCTATTACTTAGGGTTTATCTTGCTTTTCTTTTCTTTTATTTTGATCTTTTCTTTTTGTTAATCTGTCTATTAATTTATCTATTTATCTATCGATCTATCTGTTTATCTGTTTATTTATCAATCTATCTGTTTATCTGTTTATCTGTACTGTTTATCTGTTTCTCTATCTATTTATCTATCAATCTATATTTTTCTCTGTTTATTTATCAATCTATCTGTTTATCTGTGTATCTATCAATCTATCTGTTTATCTGTTTATTTATCAATCTATCTGTTTATCTGTTTATCTATACTGTTTATCTGTTGGTAGTTGATGTTCTATAAAAGCATAAAATGTTTGACTCTCTCTTCACTTTAGCTGCATTCTACACATTCTATTCGTGAAACCACTCTACACTCTACACTACATCCATATCTATCTATCTATCTGTATATCTATCTATCTATATGTTTATCTATCTATCTATCTATCTATCTATCTATCTATCTATCTATATGTTTATCTATCTATCTATCTATCTATCTATCTATCTATCTATCTATCTATCTATCTATCTCTCTGTATATCTATCTATCTATTTATCTATCTATCTATCTATCTATATAACTAACCAACTATCTATCTATCTTGGTTTCTGTATTCCTATCTTGAAGTATTTAAAAATTCATTTTTATCTCATCTTTCAAATCTTTTTTTTTTTAAATACAGCGGAATGCAAAAAAAAATTATTTCTTATTTTTCACAATTAATCCATTCTTTACTCAAGCAATGTTTATCTATTCATCCTATTCATTTTAAATAATATTCATCCATTCTTTACTTAAACAGTGTTTATCTATTCATCCTGATCCTTTTCAAAATATTCATCCATTCTTTACTCAAACAATGTTTATCTATTCATCCTGATACTTTTCATAATATTCATCCATTCTTTACTCAAACAATGTGTATCTATTCATCCTGATCCTTTTCATAATATTCATCCATTCTTTACTCAAACAGTGTTTATCTATTCATCCAGATACTTTTCATAATATTCATCCATTCTTTACTCAAACAATGTTTATTTATTCATCCTGATCCTTTTCAAAATATTCATCCATTCTTTACTCAAACAGTGTTTATCTATTCATCCTGAAGATACTTTTCATAATATTCATCCATTCTTTACTCAAACAATGTTTATTTATTCATCCTGATCCTTTTCAAAATATTCATCCATTCTTTACTCAAACAGTGTTTATCTATTCATCCTGACCCTTTTCAAAATATTCATCCATTCTTTACTCAAACAATCCATTTCCAAATATTATCCATTTTAGTCCATTTCTTCTCTCTTCGTGGGTCATTATTGCAAAATCATGCAAATTCTGAAAATTTAAAGTTTTACTATTCTTTTATTATTTCTAGACTATATGCTGTGCACTGTGCATATGGGTGTCTGTATGTCTGTCTATTATCGACTGTCTGTCTGTCTATCTGTCTATTTCTCTTGAATCAATTAATCTATCAATGTTTTGCCGAGTGTATTAATGATGAATGTATTCTAGGAACGGTTGCTGGGACCAGGATAGGGACTATACAAGCTAACGATATAGATAGTCATCCACACCTTACATACTCATTTGTCAACCCATCTCCAGGCTCATCCATCAATCCGTCGGAATCATCAGTTCAGACCTCGGAATTCTTCAGTATTGATAAATTTAGCGGAGTAATCAGCCTGGCCAAGAAGGTTGATCGTGAAGCTACGGACAGGTTTATTGTTGAGATTGCTGCTTCCGACGGAGCTCACACTGTTCAGACCAGCGTTGAAATACTTATTGAGGATGAGAATGATTCTGCTCCTGTATTTGAGAAACAGGTTTATACTGGAGTATTCTCCTCTAACATGACCCTCCCTGCTCCTATGGTTTCTGTTCGAGCAGAGGATAAAGATTCAGGACGGAACGGAGAAGTGAAATATAAACTGATTGGATCAGATATTGGATATATCGATGAAAATGGAACAATATATGTAAATAACACATCAGATATAGAGCAAGGTACGGAGATACATCTTGTTGTATCCGCTGAAGATCTAGGTTCCCCTCCTCAACAGTCCTTTGTATCCGTCCGTCTACTAAACCTTCAACATTCAGAGACCAGTCCGCAATTCCATCAGCAGGAATTTGCGGTAATTATAGACCCTAGTGCAAAAATTGGCAGTAAACTTGCAAATCTGGAGGTTCCATTCTCCGGAGGCAATCTATTCTACTCCTTAGCTCCTGGTAGTAATAATCCCTATGTAGAGTTGGACAGTTCTACTGGGACCCTGATACTAAAGAAAAGGATCGATGACCCGAAACTAATTCCTAAAACCTTGGACGCAACATTAAGACGAGACAATAGAATAGGGGATGAGACGAGCGCAAGCATAATCCTCAATTTAGGAGATCTCGCCGACTCGGCGGATTTGTTTGAAAGGAAATATTATGACGTAAACCTGTCTGAAAACACAGGAACAGGGAAGGAGATATTTGGTGTACCCGGGCCCCAGCTAAACTATCATCTTAGAATAGCCTCCGGGAACATAAACGATACTTTTGAACTATCATCTGTAAAGGCGGGTTCATTATTGCTCAAGAAATCTTTGAACTATGAAACCCAGAAGGAGTACAAGTTGATACTTCTTGGTACCATTGCTAACCGTTTTGACATCGTTACAGTGGTTGTTAAAGTCCTGGATGAAAATGACAATTCTCCGTTCTTCCCAGTAAACAAGCAGATTCACTCAATCAAAGAGAATTCCTCCCCAGGCAGTTTAGTATTTGTAGCTCAGGCACAGGACCTTGATATCTCAGATTCTCTACACTACTCTATCAATAGTGATGAATTCACGATCGGAGAAACAAATGGTCGTGTCCTTTCCAAGCGCGTGTTTGATTATGAGACCGAACAGGAATTTAATTTCAACCTCATGGTCACAGATAGTGCAGGAGCTAAAGCTTCTGCAGATGTCATAATCAAGATTGAGAGCGTGGATGAATACTATCCAGCGTTTGAATCTCCATCCTACCAGTTTACCATAGATAGATTATACCCTGCAGAACATATCCTGGGACGGGTTAAAGCTGTTGATCAGGATGCCGGAGCTAGTGGTAGAGTTGTGTACAGCCTCGCAAGTAATGATGGATACTTCAAAGTTAATGCAGATACCGGAGAAATCCTGGTTTCTAGGAACCTAGATATGGGGTTGGTTTCTTCCGATTTGGGATCAAACAGACAGTTCCAAGATGTGAACTATCTGGTATATGCGAGCACAGGAAGAGAAGACAGTTTAAAAACCTCAACCCTTGTAATTTTCCAAGTAAAGATCGACATCCTCCCTCCCGCCCCACTTCCCTCCACAGAAAGCGGTATTGCAACATGGGGACAAGGATTAATCATCGCCTTCGTATTTATCCTTGTCATTGTCGGAGCTGGGATATTCTTCTTTAAACGCTTCTCAGTCAATAAATTTATTCAGAAGCGTTTAATAGATCCGAGCAGTCCAGCTGGACTTCCATACACAAACTCGATAAACGACACGAGTACTATGGACAGTACAGTACCGATGTCCCAGTACCCCCCGCAGTACAGTGATATTGTATCCCAGTATGGGCACTCACATGGAAAATCTGGTCAGACCCGGCCGGGCCGGTTAACTCAGTCAGAACTATCCGAGCAGAGCCATCGCTCAGCGAGTAGTGGACGGGGGTCAGCAGAAGATGGAGAAGAGGAGGTGGATCATGAGATTCAAATGATCAACGGAGCAGGACTACCAACTCTGAATGATACTTGTATTGCTGAGGATAGCATGAGTGATATCAGTGTACAAAATGGCAAGGTAGGCAGGCATTAATTAGCATTCAATACACAATATAATTAATCAAAAGAGAAATCAAAATTATGAAAATTTGGAATTTAAACTAAGATTCCCCCCTCCTGTTATACCCATTTTAGTTGGTGATTACGGGACTCAATGTACAATTATGATAATTAATTATATTGACTGTATACTGTGTATATAGGAGTATCTGGCTAGGCTTGGTATAGATACAAGACCCCCTCATCTCTCCCATACCTCCTCATACCAAACCCTAGAGGGACATCAAGATCTTTATAACAGATTACAGGTTGGATATATTTAGACAAAATCCAAGCATATGGATTAGTTAATTTGCTAGTTTTTTCCCTCCAAGAATGTCATACATCTATTTATCTATATTCTATCTATCTAGGATACTGATGCCCTGTCTGAAAAGAACAGTATGGTGTCAGGAAATAATTCAGTTTATGCGAGAACAGGTCACCCTGTATCCATGACAGGGTCTATATCTAGGTAGGTTTATATACTGGTCACCCTGTATCCATGACAGGGTCTAAATCTAGGTAGGTTTATATATTGGTCACCCTGTATCCAGGACTTCAGGTGGGTGTTTATAAGAAGCACATTATCTAGTTAAACATAAAGAACATCCTGTCTCGGAAAAGGATTAAACACTAAAATGAAAATATCTCAATCAGCAGTAAATACCTGACTCTGCTTTTCTTCATACCTGGAGATTAAACAAATCAGCCTCCTTGTCATCCTCACCTAACCTGCTCAGAGGTTTGATTTGAAAACAGCGAGATCCATTAAACATCCAACTTCAAATCCGTTTTCTTGTTTAACTTCGTTTAAAATAGATTTTAAAGACTTATTATCTCAAGGTGTCAATTCGTATTACTAAGTAATGTCAACCATTATTACTAAGTAATGTCAACCCTAATTACTAAGTAATGTCAACCCTTATTACCCTTATTACCGAGTAATGTCAACCATTATTACTAAATCCCCTTAAACACTCCTCTTTATCCAATCTTTTCAGATCTATTTTTTATTTGAATCCATTCCTCCCCCATTATAAAATCTTCCCATTCTTCTCCGATACCTATCATACTTAACATCCTTCCCATCATTTTCCAACCCCTACTTCTTCTCCTTAACATCTTTCTCTTTACCCTTCCTTCGACCTAAACTTCTTCCCATCCTTCTCCAATAGCCTCTCTTCTACCTAAAATTCTGCACATCCTTCAATACCTTTCCTCAACCTTCAACCCTACTCATCCTTCTTCAATTGACCATATTCTTCATAAACTCGTACATTTCTTTTTCATCTCCTGACTGTTATAATCCTCCTATCTTCTCCAATCCTTCGCAAAACCTTTCCTCTCTTCAATCTCCACCAACCCGCTTCAACTACTTTCTTCCCCAAATAAACCACCATCTTCTCAACATTTTCAGTCTCCGCTGCTTCAAAAATTAAAATATCTCTCCTCTTCAATTCTTTCAAAATTTCCTGTTCTCCTATACTTCCATTTCTTATCCTTCCATTTATACAAACTCTAAATACACATTCAAGTCTCCTCTCTTCCCTTAATCCATACCATTTATTAGTATATAATAATAAGGGGGGGGGGAGGGGTCAATAGTTATAGATATCAATGCGTTCAATAGGGTTTATTCAGGCAGAATACAGGATGCAGTTTAAGGGGAGGGAGGGGGTCACTTAGTAATTAGGAATGTGTAGCTTGAGGCAGAAAAGAGGGGGGGCAGATTAATGAAATTTTGGATTGGATTACGTGAGATCCAAGGAATTTTGGTTACTTAAATATAGAATTACTAGCCTTAGAGGGCGCTTCGCGCCCATCTTCTAAATTAATTGTGAACATGTGCTCTTTGTGTACATCGTAAAACAAAACAAAAATAATTCGCGGATTTTCACAAAAAATTTCGTGGATTTTCAAAATTTTCAAAAATTTAATGAAGATCGAATTTTGATGGAGACAAATATTTGAAATTTTGATCATTCATAAACCTTCCCTGTGGTCACGTGATGTCCCACAAAAAATTTGGGCCCGATCGGTTCAGCCGTTTTGACGTTTATTGGATACAAACAAACAAACAGACAAACAGACAGACAAGGCAAATTTATATATAGATGGATTCAAGATTCTAGTATATTATGTCTCTATATCTATATAATAAAACAAGACTTTCATATATTATATTTTGTGTATAGTCGGCCAGACTGGACCGATTGGGCTGAATTTTTTGTGGAGACTCATGGGTGGCCGTGTTAAAGGCTAAAAAATTCGAAATTTTTTGTTCACTTTTTTCCCTCAAAATTTTTTAAAATTTTTTTACACGGGCAACGCCGGGCCCTTCAGCTTATAAAGTTATATAGTTATGAATAAATGTAGGACTGAGAAAAATTTAGCGAACGAATGCGTTTTTAATTAACATTAAATTCCGTTAAGGAACAGAGAGAACTGTTAATTTTCAGTTTGTTAACGAAAGTGAAAACCGTGAATTAAAAATGGGCAACAATTTTAAAGAAGGAAAGGTTACTTATAAAAGTGGACAGTTTCCTTAATTTTTATATAAACCTTTTTAATCCTTTTTATTGAATGATTTAAGTAACATATAGACTAGGAAGTTTAAATTATTCAGTCCTTAACCTTTAATCCAACAATTTGATTCAATTCGATAAATAAAAATGTATAATATGTGCGTAAAATCTTTATGGGCGCTCAATTTTGTTGGTACGTTTAATGTGCTATTTGCAGTTTGGCACACGCACTGTTTCAACTAGGAAACAGACCCCTGCCATAATAATGTTGATACTAGGATATAAAATATAGAATTATTTTAAGATCTTTGAATTGTTATTGTTTACATGCTCTCATGAATGATACACAAAAGGCAGAAAAGCCAAATATATTTAAGAATCACAAGATGTTTTCAGTGATTTCTTTTTTAGAAACAACAACACTTAGGATTTTAAATTAGAAAGAAAAATTCTTCTTTTCTAACTCCAATATCTTTGCAACCTGATGTCATACTCATAGACCTTTAATATTTCAAACTATATATAATTTCTGTTGGATCATAAAGCCTAATAATAAAATATAAAAGGTCTCCATCATGTTGTAAGACAATAAAGCCTAATAATGAAATATTAAAGGTCTCCATCATGTTGTAAGACAATAAAGCCTAATAATGAAATATAAAAGGTCTCCATCGTAAGACAATAAAGCCTAATAATGAAATATAAAAGGTCTCCATTATGTTGTAAGACAATAAAGCCTAATAATGAAATATAAAAGGTCTCCATCATGTTGTAAGACAGATTAGAAAATGTTTTTAAAGTTTTTGTCGAACATTCCGGTTTCTCTGTTGTACCGTCATGTACTTTGTTTTTAATTTTGAAATCTCTAGTTTAAAATTATAAAAGATGGATATTTATGTTAATGTTATATTTCAATAATATATTCATTTAGTATGGTGCACAGTGAAGAGGAGGTTGCAGGAAGCTATAACTGGGATTATCTCCTAGATTGGGGACCACAGTACCAACCTTTACAACACGTTTTCCAGGTACAATTATTAAATGTCGTCTTACTAATCATAGTGTAAGAATTTAATTTTGAAGTGTTTTCATATTTTATATTATTTTAGGAGATTTCTAGTTTGAAAGATGAAGGATCTCAATCTGTAGGTATCCATGTACCTCCTCTCCTAACCTCCCTCCCACCTAGACACGCCCATTCAGTCTCAACACATCCCCGCTCACCTGTCTCCCAGGAGATGCTGCTTGGCTCCGCCCTTTCTCCAAATTTCTTGCCCGCCCTCTCACCCTTAGCTACCCGGTCACCGAGTATATCTCCACTAGGACCCATGACCGGTCCGGTACGGGGTGTTACTCGGACAGTTCAGCAGCCGAGATATCAGTCGTCTTTGCATTCTGATTATGCAGAGGCAGCAGAGAATGAACTAAGAATTTAAGTACAAAAAATACAAAGTTAAAACCCATTTTTACGTTGAATTTCTCACAACCTCGGCTAATAAGTGAAAATATAGATAGTTAAAGATCTAATTTAATTGTGATATATTTAAACTGCAGAACAGAGCAGGACTTTGGACATTTAAGGCATCTGTTCACAGTTTTATCTTGTGTAATAGAAAATTTTAAAATATGAATATTCAGCTGTGATAACTATTCGTAATTTATACATTTCAATCTTTGTAATGTTTGCCATTAGCATGATTCTTATGGTTACCATTCCACAGTAATTGTGTAGCCCCCTCTTATACATACAGGGTTTCCAACAAAGAATGAGTCTTCAGAGACGATTGTACTGACAGTTTCCTTATATTTACGATTCCCTTTAGAACGACTTTATTAAACGCAGAATACTTATTTTTACCTTGATAACGTCGAATTCAAATAGTTTTAGGTCGTCTTTACAGTCTCATTCTGTGTGGTTCACCCTAGGTACAAGCATATGTTATATGTGTTACCAATTAGTATTCATCCATGTTTTATATAAAGTTGTGCCAACATTTTGGAAATGGTGACTCAATTTTCTTGTAGAATCTCTAATACTCTATTGTTGTTGCTACGATCAAAATAAATGTTACCTGACCTTTATTATTTTCCTTTTCTACGTCAAGTGTTGTTAATTGTTGCAACCTTAAAAAAGAATTTCAAGTGATCCCACTGTTCTATGTCCGATTCACAGCGGTATAAACTGTTTTCAGTAAGATTATTTGTACTTATTTGTGCAGTGTAGAATGTACATTGTAAAATGTACATTATACACTTTAAAATGAAGACAACTTTTTAAATTCAGTTTTGAATTTTCGAATTAAAGAGAACCTTTTTTCAATTTATAGCTTTGATCGTGACGTTTATGTGCACGTGCAGTGTCCCTTCTTTTTACCAGACTGATATAAATAAAAATTGAAATCAAACGTCGTCTTCATTCTTTTTGTAGAATCGCCTACCTCTGTATGATAAAGTAGCCAGCCTTTCGTGTGCCGTTAATATAACCTAAGCTTTGAAGACCGAGAAGTTTCGGAGATTTCATTTAATTAAACAATACCAAAAAGGTTTAAATCTGTTAGTCGTCTATCAATTGTCATTTTTAGTTGGACACTGTGTGGGTAAACATAACAAAAATTAGTTAAGGGAGGGGTGGGGGGGGGGTGTTAGAAAACGATAAAATGAATTAACTTAAATGAAAGTCGACGTTACATTAAGCTCAATGAGGTTTACATATGACCGACAGAACTTTGGCGTTGGGTTCATGGAAAGCATTAATGTATGCTACAGGAAGTCCCAATTAAATACGAAAGACTTACAAATCGTATGCAGTCAGTTAATGTAAACGACATGGGGCGGAGAAAGGATTTAAGCGAGGCGGGTGCTAGATTCATTTTGGGAACACAAAACAATTAAGATTTAGGAACAAAAAAATTATTTTAAAGATGGATATTTTTCCTGTTTTGCAATTCTTGCAATAGGTTTTCTTTCCCTTATAAGTGATATTGAGGAGTTATTCTTAAATCTCCCCCCCCCCTGAATCTGTCAGGGGGTGCGAAGGTCCTGCCCCCCTGCATCAGCCCCTGTAATTAAATGAAACAAATATGTTCGCGAATTTTTTCAAAGACGACATTTAACAACGTATTCGTAGGTCGCCTTTTCAGCTAGTTAGAACACATTTTAGGATAAATTTGAAAACAATAGAGCAATTTCTTAACTTCATGCAACGTTAGTTACAGTAATCTACAGCTCGATGCTTTTTTACCATTATTCAGCTACAGCGAACGTTGGAATGGAGCCGAAGGACGACGACCTTAATTATCACATTCGGTCAGATTCCACAGAAGAAAAAACGGATAATTGATTAATTTTAACATACTTGCAGATTATTATTCTTCACTTGAATTAATGAAAATGGTTTATAGGGACTGCAGACGAGATTTCAAGTAGTTTACTCGATTCACAACTGTACCCTTCATTAGTGGACTTCTACATAAATCAAGAATTGTCAGAGCTGAAAACTTAACCCTATTCTGCCTCAGGGTTTTCGGATTATTGGTCTAAAGCGCTGTTAAAATTTTCGGACTTTTCTATCTAACACATGCCTATCACATAAGTGGGGCATGTGACCCGAGTCCTAAATCTTATTCCTACTTCCGGTCGCTGGATTTCGACTTTTTTTAGCTCTTTGTAAAGCTTAAAACAAAAGGAAGCAGATTGCACTACCACTTATGATTATTGATAAATACCTTTCGTCTTTAAGAAACCTCTCATGCCATTCGCTATGTCAAAAAACTGTAAAAAATCTTTCACTTAAAGGGAGTGTTCGCGAAAAATGAAAGGGGGTATAGGCTTAATGCGATAAAAAGCGCTTTTGATCGCTACTAATCTTACTTCTATCTGTTGCGTCTATAAGGAGAAAATTGTTGAAGACGTCTCATACCGAATAACTTAGCGTCCATACAAATAGAGAAAATTGCAACATACGACTTAGACCGGAAACAAATCAATTTAATTTCCAACAAATTATTCAGATATAGTCATCGATTATCTTTCGCCACATTTGTATATAGTTGATATTTTATATTTTTAATTTCGTTTTATGTAAAGATATTTCTCTGACGCTGGATTTTCGAACATTCCTGGAAAATATGAAAATGTCGTCTTCATTATCATAAATCCTCGAAACAGGAATAAAAGTAAATATCAGATCCTAAAAAATAGAAAATATTATGAAAATCAACTAAATACAAATGCGTCGAAAAATTAACGATGATTATCGGTTGGAAAAACTGAATGATTTGTTTGGAATTAAACTGATTTTTTTACGATCCGAGTTATAAGTTGCAACTTTTTGCATCTGTATTGACGTTACGTTCTTCGGAATAAATCGGTTTTAACAATTTGCTCCTTATAGACGCAACAGATAGAAGTAAGATTAGTAGCAATCAAAAGCGATTATTTTTCGCATAAAGCCTTTTCATTTTTCGCGAACACTCCCTTTAAACATAAAACACAAGTTAAAAAACCTCCTGTATTAGACAAGCACATTTTGAAGAATTGCGCATACTCATTTCTGCGTGTCTGATTAGCGGAGGCTCCTGGCGTCCGGGGTTCCCTCCCTCGACGACAACGGTTCCCAAGTTCTTTATTTGATCAATAATGTGGAGGACATTTTTGCATCTATATGTTTGAAACTGTTTATTTCTCATAATTCTAATATTTTTTTCAAGCAGTAGAAATATGAAAGTCACAATTTTTTAGAGAACCCCTGATAAAAGGTAAACAAACATCCTTAATAACATCAACATGATAATTTGGCTACATTTGATTATTCAATATAAAAATACAATTTAATCAAGTATCATCCATACATAAACAAATACAATATAAATTACAGTATACAATATTACAATATACATAAATACAAAATAACGATCAATAGCTATTATTTCTTATGTGAACAACTCAATTGTTTAAATAAAGTTTAATAATTTACAACACTTTCAATTTTAATCCTTAAACTAAGAAAAACTAAAGATGAACAAAAATGTACAGTTTTATCAAATTATCTTAATGTAACTTTTGATTTCAAGTGATAAGTATAGCTTAGAGACCTTTCAAGTTTCAAGATAAGACCTTTTTATAAATGCATCTTTCTTGATGAACTAATTTATGATTGACCTAGTTTCCGGTTTCCAGTCTGCTTCCGGGTCAGAGAATGAACTTTCTAAACTTGACGAGGTTGAATAATCATTATAATCCAGATCATCTCCAACTACAACAAAATATATAGGTGCAGGATTGTCGCGTCCGCTCGTCTGACAGGTTTATACGTGATGCAAAGTTTATGTAAAATAGCACACTGGGCTTAAACAACAAAACTATTTGTATTTCCATAATTACTTTTTCAAGTTCTAGACACGATCCATCCCCAAAACCACTAGATACACTGTGGAAATGTACAAAAACCCCAAATCCTAAACCTCGATTGATTGATTAACTCGAAATATACAGCTTCATGCAGCTGACTGTATACTACATGATCTGTGATTCGAGTAAAATTTTTTTAAATGTTATCGCCCCCCCCCCCCCCCGAAGACGGGTTCAAAGTATCAAATACCTTGGCCGTAGTTTTTCCCCAACTGACTAATTTTGAGCCAGATTTTCAATAAGAAAAATCATGTTTATAATAAATTTTTTTAAGTAACTTTAAAATCGGATAAAAACAAGATCGGGTAGGCTGTGTAAATGTAATATATTTGAAGTATTGTTTATACAACACCTCTAAAAGCTGGTTGTTTGAGAGGAGTAGATCCTATCAGGGGAGTAGTTATAACACTCCTGAATAATTATGGTCAAAAAGCTTCAAAAGGAAAGATATCCAAACGCGAAGCCCCCCTCCCTCCCTATCACTATTTGGGGCATATGCAAATTTCTTGTACATAATGTACAATGTACTTATATCGTAAATCACTTATTCCTTAACTGTAGTAAAATAATTATAAATCTTAAGGGAACTCTACCCCTGTTAAATATACGTTGCTTGTAGAAAAAAAGACTAATAAATCTTAAGGAATCATTCCCCCATTAAGACCGAGTATATGTTATATTGTTACATAATTATGAAGAATTGTTTTCCTACATTTTAGCCAAAAAAAAATGATATATATTTTACCTGTTAGATTTGACAGATTTGATAGAATCCTGCCTCGATGTTCCAGAGGAGTGTCTAGACCTACCAGACTCATGCCTTGACCTCTGCAGGGAGGACAGGGCAGAACTCACCTAGAGGACGTTAACATATAAACTCATCTAGAGGACGTTAACATATAAACTCATCTAGAGGACGTTAACATAAAAACTAACCAAGAGGACGTTAACATATGAACTCATCTGGAGGACGTTAACATATAAACTCACCTAGAGGACGTTAACATATAAACTCATCTAGAGGACGTTAACGTATAAACTAACCAAGAGGACGTTATTATATGAACTCATCTGGAGGACGTTAACATATAAACTCACCTAGAGGACGTTAACATATCAATAGTTTCACCAAGAGGACGTTAGCACGTATATAACAGGTTAGCATATCAATAGGTTTTCTAGAGGACGTTAGCATATTAATAAGCTCACCAAAAGAAGGTTAACATGTTAATATGTTTGCCTAGAGGACGCTAACATATCAAAAGGATCCCGGTACAAATAGGACAAAAGCAGGATAGAGGTTAAAACAAACAAAAGGTTGCCTATTTATTCAAATATAGGAAATAATTTTTAATCTAAGCTTTTGATTGAAAAATTGAATTTAAAACTGTTTTGTCGAGCACTTTTTAACCGCCCCCCCCCCCCACCCCAAAGGGCGTATACAGGGGGGCTGTGCCTCCCCCTAGACGTGTCAAGGAGGGGCGTGGCCTCCCCTTCCCCTAGAACTCAGAGCTATTTACTTTTCAAATCTTAAACTGAGGAGTGAAGAACATATAGTTTGCAGTGCTGTAACCTAATTTTTCCTTTTAAGTTCAAGGAGTTTTGTTTGAAGGAGAGATGCAATAGAACTTGAAAGGTGATTGGACTATATGTGTACCTTTAAAAAAGGAAAAATTACAATGTAAAAGAATGGATACAAATTTTAAATAACAGGCAATTTCGTAAAATATATACCTAACCCATTAAAAAATTATGCCTGAAATACTTGAAGCCAAATGTATTGAATTTTCAGTTCAAATTTTGCCCCCTCTAGATTTATTTCTGTGTACGCCCTTGCGCCCCCCCCCCCACTCCCCATACCAGAAATGTGACTTAATTCAAAAACTAGGATATCCCTGAGCCAAAGATTGGCTATAAACCCAGTATCGGAAATGAGTGAAAATGGTGAGAAATATCATTTGATATGGTTAGTTTTGTATTTTTTTCAATTTCTATTTCTAGTAAATCTGCACAAAAATACTGACCACAAACGATACTTTCTTGCAGGCGCGTAGTGGGGGGGGGCGGTACCCCTGTGCCCCCCTAGACATGCACCCCCTATCCCTTAGAGCCAGAGGCAGGCTCTAATTTATTAAACAGTAAACTTAAATATATATTCAGATTTTTTACTTTTCTTATCAATCGAAAATGTCACAATTTGTCCATTTTATGATTATTTCTCAAATTCTTTCTTGTACCTTAATCTTATTTACAATATTTTTTTCGCGGGGTTTCATTTAAAATGATTGGTAATTATGGTCAGATGACTAATAGTCAGCCTTCAGGTCGATTAATATAGATTTTAGACTTTATTTTTTTTAATGCCGGTTTTTTAGGGAGGTGCACAAAATAAAATTTCGTCAAAAGTGCACACCCCTAGGCTAAACCTCCACTACGCGCCTGCTTTCTTGAAATTCCGACTCTGGGTTGCCTGGAAAACAATAAAATGCAACTACGTACCTCACTATGAAGTGGGGGAGTGTCTGATAATAGGTTTGGATCTGAACTCGTCACATCGAAGATTTCTGTCACTTTAACCTAAATAAATACAAACATACTAAACAAGTTTTGTAACCATCGAATCTAAATTTGTATACAGAATTTTTTACAAAAAAGTTATGAATCTGTTGTGGACGAAAAACTTCAACAGAAATAATTAGTCCATTTAAAGTATAAAATCACACTCCGAACAAAAATAAATATACAAAGTTAAGACTGGAATAATGTATTTTAGTTGTCAAAGAAACGAATAAGTATTTATAAAATCTTTACAAATTATAATTTTTTATTACGACGGACATAATAAAGTAAAAATACTTGTTAGGGTATAATGTATGTTGAACCTGGTTATCTGCATCTGTATAATAGAAAGCCATGACTGCATTCTGATATTGTTTTACATAACGAATATGTTCCAGGGCAGGAGAATCATCATCTACAATACAAAACGTTAATTAAGTAAATAAAAAAGAGAAAAAAGAAGAAAATCCTCATCTACAATACAGAACGTTAATAAGTAAATAAAAAAGAGAAAAAAAAAGGAAATCCTCATCTACAATACAAAACGTTAATAAAGTAAATAAAAAAGAGAAAAAAGGAGAAAATTCTCATCTACAATACAGAACGTTAATAAAGTAAATAAAAGAAATAAAATAGAAAATATGATAAAAGCGTCCTTTCTACAGAAAATTGTTTGCAACAATCTAAAGTTAACATAGCCTAACATCTTAAAGTTGGCATGCCAAATTCTCAATGGTACCTTTAAAATTTTCGCTGGAATAAAAATGAATAAGATATTTTTGTTTTACTATATAAATAATTGATGATTTTGAATTGTAGTTTTCTCACATAAAAGTGACTTGCGGATGTATACAGCAGAGATAAAGAAAAATACGACCCGTCGTGTTAATACATAATAGAATTCAGCTATTGGCTATTTCTAAGATTTAGGTTTAAAGGTTTAAAGGGTTCCGTTATGAATAGGAAATCGGACTCTTCGAATCACTGATCACTTGAAATAACGTTTACAGTCCCTTTAATAAATGCTGAGTTGATTGTACCTAGATCTGTTAGGTTTGATATACTGCTACTCCTGCTACCCATCCTAGAGACAGCTCTGGAGACAGACCGGCTGGGTACTCTAGAGGGTCCACGAGATGTTACCCGGGATACACATCTAGATACAGGTTCAATATTAAATATTATCTAAAATCAACCTCTAGATCTACAATTCTTCCCCCCTTCCCTTACTTAAACAAAATCCGTTTCTTAGTTTTATCATTTTTTTGGGATAGAATTGTACAATGGAAAATTAATACCAGTATAATATTAAATCGAAATATTTTCATGGAAAACTTGTTATTTTTGATTTATCAGTATTACTATTCATAGATCAACTGTAACCATTGATTTATTATTATTATTTATGTAGAAATTGTAAATATTGATTTATTATTATTATTTATGTAGAAATTGTAAATATTGATTTTTGAGCATTAATGGAAAGCTCGTAAGTATTGATTCATCAGTATTCATAGAAACCTTGTGATTTTTGATTAATCAGAATTCATAGATCAATTGTAATTATTGATTTCTCAGTATTCAGAGAAAACTTGCAATTATTGATTTATCAGTAATCAAAGTATTGTAAATGTAAATATTGATGTATCGGTATTTATAGAAAATGTTAATAATTGATTCATCTACAGTCTACACTCTTCAGTATGTCCCAATAAATTAAATGAAGTGAAGCATGTTTAAAGTCTTCGATCCACGAGACAATTTATTCATAAATCCCATGACGTTTCCCTTGGTTGCTCTGGGATTTTCAAAAAATGGTCTGCCTGTTTTGTGCCTTCAAAAATGCCCAAGATATTGAAAATTGTGTCCTATCTTTTTATAAACACTAAATTCCCATGTGTATTTGGTTTAGACGGGATGTACCTTGAATGTGCTGTGGAGGTGGAGTTGATTGCAGCATTGAAATTCTCATTCTGAAATCTCAGGGCTTCCTCCTGAACAATAGTATTCATGTTGAATTTGGTGAATAGAAAAATATGGAAAGATTAAAACAATAGTTAATTGAAAATATTAGGAAGGTTTAACTGTTTCAAATTAAATTTCTAAATATGATGCTTTAAGTTAATGTCATTTTTCTACCTAATTATGCGGAAAATCAATGTCTATTATCTACCTGACTATTTGGAAGATCAATGTCATTTTTCTACCTGACTATGTGGAAGATCAATGTCTATTATCTACCTGACTATTTGGAAGATCAATGTCATTTTTCTACCTGACTATGTGGAAGATCAATGTCTATTATCTACCTGACTATGTGGAAGATCAATGTCTATTATCTACTAGACTATGTGGAAGATCAATGTCTATTATCTACCTGACTATGTGGAAGATCAATGTCTATTATCTACCTGACTATGTGGAAGATCAATGTCTATTATCTACCTGACTATGTGGAAGATCAATGTCTATTATCTACTAGACTATGTGGAAGATCAATGTCTATTATCTACTAGACTATGTGGAAGATCAATGTCCATTATCAACCTGACTATGTGGAAGATCAATGTCTATTATCTACCTGACTATGTGGAAGATCAATGTCTATTATCTACCTGATTATGTGGAAGATCAATGTCTATTATCTACCTGACTATGTGGAAGATCAATGTATTCTAGTTCTGCAGTCAATTCTAAGCTCAGCATCTCCTAAAACGAACGAAAAGATTTTTACCTCTTTCTTAAAATAATATTTTGACACTAATCCTGTGTCTACCGAAAGAATTCTCAAAATTAAAGGGACAGACCGGCTATGTAAGGTAGTTAAACTGAGTATACAGTGTTGTGGAAAGCTTCTTTAGGATTCATTTGATATATATAAAACTTTTTAAAGATCTATAAATCCAAAGTTTGAGCGGAAATTCGACGTTAAAAACTCCTACTTTTGGGGTGGATACGTTTTCAGAATCGTTTTTTTTTAATTATTAAATAATTCAGTGTATAGCTGTGTTTTATGTTCCTAAGACTATTTAAAATCATAACTTGTATGTAACAGTAGTCTGTTTTCCTATCGTATTCCATAGTTTTATGGAGTTAACTATTTACCAAACCAAATATGTATATGATTAAAAAATTAGATATCCGATGAAAGTTTCGCCCGGATCCTTTAAAAACTGATTTGGTGTAGTTGCGAGGTGCCTTTTTTCATTCCACAAACACCCTCTGACAAAAGTTCTCGGATCTTGACGAAATTTAATTGATTGATTCGGACATATATCTAGATGTATTACGAAAGTTATGTGAACATTAAACAAACCTTGATTGATTCTTTCCTGCATATTTCTTTTTCTGTCGCTAAATCCACTTCATCTTCATCTCCATACTGGGTTATATTAAACTCACAGGTAAACCTTAAATAAGTAAATTCAAGATTTATAATCAATCAATGCATCAAAGGCTTAATCAATGCATTGCACTTATAATGCAAATATCAATACAATGTGCATTAAATACTTTATCAATCAATCTTTGCGTGATTTTGTACATCAATTACTATTATTATTTAGTACACAAATCAAAACATTATTCAATAAATCAATTAATGTATTCTTTAAAGCATTATTCAGTAAATTAACTATTATGCGCTTCTTCTTCAAAATTAAATCAGCCATACAATATTACACTTTTATTTTATATATGAATAAATTTATAATATGTCAAAAAAACAGCACTCCTTCGACCAAAAGAAAGATAGCAAAAAAAAAATTGCTGTATGTTAAACTATAAAATAAATGTATCAACTGTTCTACCTGGCATGATGGTGTGGGGGTTTGTAAATGTACCCACTGCTCGTCATGTATGTACAGAACTGTTCAATCAGATTCTCCGCAGCACCGTACAGTTTCAGGTCATGTGCCAGCCTAAAGTACATGCAGGATTCAATGGATTATATATAGTATCATCAGTCGAAGAGGAAACAGATGTAGGTATAACGCTAGCAAACAACCCAAACCTGGCTTCAATGTGCAGCAGCAGCTGTGAAAGCTAAATTTGTCCTTAGTCAAGTCTCAAGAGCATTTCACTTCAGAGATAAAAGTGTGTTTTTGAATCTATATAAACAGATTGTACGTCCACACCTAGAGTTTTCTGTACCTGTCTGGTGTCCCTGGCAAGAGGGGAACAAATTAGTTCTGGAAAAAGTACAAATGAAAGCTGTAACAATGATTTCAGGTCTCCAAAGGAAGGAGTATGAGGATAAGTTAAAGGAGCTAAATCTACAATCAGTGGAAGAAAGAAGGATAAGATATGACATAATTCAAGTGTAAAAGCTCATGCACAATTATGATGCTGAAGACAGGAGGCAGTTTTTCAAGACTGCCAGTATAATCCCAGTTTACCTAGGTAGAAGGCTGGTCAACCTATAAATCATCCTGCCAGTATAATCCTAGTTTACCTGGGTAGAAGGCTGGTCAACCTGTTGACTATCCTGCCAGTATAATGTAAGGGTAGAGCAGCTGGTAGGGTCAACCAGCGTATTATCTTAGATGCAGGAATCATCCTAATAAAACAACATAGTCAAGAAAACGTACTTATAAAAAGGTTTTTTTTTAAATGACGCTATATTCTCGAACAAAATTGTATTTCAGGCCATAAATTCTATTAAAGCTTGCTGTTCAAATTAAAACATATTAATTTGTTTCCAAAAAACGTTTAGGGAACAAAAGCGAACAAATGTAAATTATTTCGAATCTTACTTTTAAAAAAATGATTGTGCTGACCTGATCCAACCAGTGAAGCCTGCTTCTGCTTCTGTAATCGCGTTCTCAAACACAGACCAAACATGTTCAGGAACTGAACTATCCTTCGCTACTTCTCTCTGGTTGAGAAAAAAACAAATATTTATTTATTTAAAAGATTGAAATATTTCGGGTTTAGGACATATGAAGGAAGATATTTGCAAAAATCTCTTCTACAATTTAATCTGAATTTGTATCGTATTGTATCAACATAGGACTTCGCATCCATCTCAGAGTATTTTGTATGTTTCAAAAATTTAATTCAATAGAAAAGTAAACAAGTATGATATGTACCATCTTAAGGGCAGGAATCGAATCAAATCAAGATGGTTTTTTGTCTTAATTAAAGTTTAAACATTGAGAGGACACCTTGACACTCAATTTATACCTGGAGTTAACATCTCAGAAATCTATACCTGGAGTTTACAATCTAAACAGTTAGGATCATGATTCTTGCAGGTTCCCATTTCCTTATCCAGTTCTTCCTCATCATCCTCTGCAATATCAAGAATACATTCATTATCTTCTGTTATATCAAGAATACATTCATCATCCTCTACAATATCAAGAATACATTCATTATCCACTACAATATCAAGAATACATTCATCATCCTCTGCAATATCAAGAATACATTCATTATCTTCTGTAATTTCAAGAATACATTCATCATCCTCTACAATATCAAGAATACATTCATCATCCTCTACAATATCAAGAATGCATTCATTATCTTTGCAATATCAAGAATACATTCATTATCCTCTGCAATATGAAGAATACATTCATTATCCTCTACAATATCAAGAATACATTCATCATTCTCTGCAATATCAAGAATACATTTACTATCCTTAAATTATCAAGATTACATGCATTATCCTCTACAATTTATTTTGATCTTGATTTATATCTCCTTAAGAAATCTATAATCAGTCATAACGAATAGTATGAGTGAAACGTTTTACCTATTTTATAGTTGGAGTTGACCGTAAGACATCTCGTACATGATATTAAACATCTTTTCTGGAGAAACCTTAACCACAACGCATTGAATTTTATTCAAATACAAAGAATGTCAATCATTAAATAAGTTAGCAAGTTGTTAAAAAAATAAAAAATAGTTACGATAAAAAAGTAAATTTAAAAATAACTTTATCATTATTAGATTTTCTAAATCCTCCCGGCCTCCCTCGGATTTTAACTTTATTCTCAAGAATCAGATAATTTAAATATAAATAGCAATGAACCTGAGAGCATCTTCAAACCCCTGCTTGCAAACCCTGAACAAAATAAAAAAACGATTGATTAAACGGATAAAAATATTAAATTAATTTCCAAACAAATTCAGATTATTCAAGTGAATTTACAACAGTAGCTTTTGAGCCTTAGTCTGAGAAACGAGTGGCGACAAATTACTGCCATTTTCTTGTTCTACTTTGCTCTAAAAAGCAATAAAATCAAAGTAGTACCTGGCAAGTACTTCTGGGTCAGGTGGGAGTAGAACATTGCCTAGTCTATACAGATTCTCCTTGGATACCACAATGGAAGTATTCGCTACGCTCACCTTCACAAATATCAATATTTTCACAAGAAATCAATCAATTAATCATCGCCATTTAGGAGGAAACAAAAATCAATTTAAGCAAATATATCATTTTCGAAAAAAATATGAAGGGTCTCTACAAAGTTCAAATTCAAAAATTCAATTGCATAAAAAAAAGAAAACTTAAATTTACACTAATTTGCATATATGTTAAAATAAAAAATATAATTATATATATTAATATATTTACATATGTATATATATAATAAATAATTCTATATACGTAAAACCTGACGCTTTCAAGAACCCTTAAACTTTGCTCAAAAAAGAAAACAAAAGCAAGTTTATTCTTCATTAAAAAATATTTTTTTACAGAATAAAGGGTCCTCTACCTGGAAAACCTTCCAAGCAGTATCATCAAGAGGACAGATGTCTGAGTTCCCCGAGAAAGGAGAAACTGTGATGGTCTGACCGTTCAGAATTGGAAGATTATCACTATATCCTCCATCTACCATTAGTAATAAAAACATTATATATAACAGAAAGAAAAGATGAAAAAAAAATCAGATTTAACAGTTTAGCAAAATGTTCTCTAACTGAAAAAAATTATTATTTTCTTTTGTGGTTTCCCTAAAGTGTGATGTACAAATTTATTCAACAGAAACAAGGAAGGAAATCAAAATACGTTAAAATTACGACAGATCGTTAAAGTTTAAAAACTGACCTATGACCCTAACCCCTCTGTATCTAGGGGGTAACCAGCCAGAAAACAGAGGAATAAATGTACTGGCCAGAACAACCTATAGGATTAACATTTATATTATTAGTCATAGTATTTAGTCGAACGAAATAATAATAATTTTACTTTCTATTTTGTAATCTTTGAATGTGACGATAGTTGATCTAATTGCTCTATTATTGATGGTTGAACTCTGAATTGGTTTATGGTTCATGATCACCAGACATATTTTGTAAAAAGAAGAAATGTCTGAAATATGTTTAAAAGAAATGTTTTTCCAGATAAAAACAAACATCAATGATCTGCCAAGCAAGGAGAAAAATATATAAAAAAAAGAAATGTTAGTAAAGCTACAGAGAGAAGTAAAACTAGGGAAAACAATAGATTAGATACAAATTAAAAAATAGTAGCCGAAACAATCGATCCAATAATGCTCAATACGAAATATCAAAAGTTTTTAAATCAACATGCTAAGTTAATTGCATAGACGGTTATTAAATATATTTATGAATAATTAATGTTTTAACTAACTAAACAGAATGCATTATCTTATCTATGATACAGTGTATGAACTAGGAAGCGTGTACTTTATAATGTAAATATATAAATTGTTCAAAGTTCATTTTTATTGAATAATGTCCCGGTTTTAAAACTATCCTTCGTATTTGTCAACTGTATGGTTATATAACTGTTTAAATATTCAAGATTAAGAACTCATTTATTTTTTACTTCCATGAAAAAGAGAATATAGGTAAATTCGATAATAACAGGGCACTGTTGAAACAGCCTCTTGGGCCGGTTTCTTCAAAATCTCTTTTTTCAAAAATGGTGTCATAAACTTTTCAATGATATGATAATTTTTTTATTTATTTAATTACTCATTTCATTGAAAAGCAATATTTGCAACAACAATAAGATCATACTTTTACACATGGATTGCTAATTACAAGTAGACTTTTTCCAAATGATGTATAACAAATATGAGAATCATATTTTAAATTTATTACCTGAATAACTTCTTCCTTGTTTGCAAATTGATTGACTAGAATGTTGCTACCATCATAAACCTAAAAAATTAAAAAATTAAAATATCAAATTTATTTAACAGTATCTGCACTGTGTACTACTTTTATAATTACTAGAATTTCAAGGCGCTTCGCGCCCTTCTTTCTAAACTTTTAGGGCGCTTTGCGCCCATCTTCTATTTAAATTGTGAACATGTTCTTTTTGTTTAAATTTTATATCAAAGAAGAAAAAATTTTTGCGGATTTTTGAAAAAAAAAAATCGCGGATTTTCAAGAATTTAATTTTTTTTACAAAATTAAAAACCTTTAAAACACACTTTTTTATTTTTAGCATTCATAAACCTTCCCTGTGGTCACGTGATGTCCCACAAAAAATTTGGGCCCGATCGGTTCAGCCGTTTTTACGTTTATTGGATACAAACAAACAGACAAGCCAAATTTATATCAAGATTACAAAAGGAGAAATACTTCTAGAAAATTCGAACAAAATTAGTTTGTTGAAACTAATGAATTTCTTTAAAATATTGGCATGTTGTCCAATTTTCACAAAAATAGGCTTTGAAAATTGCTGTTTTTAATACACGGTTGTACAAAAGATATATTTACCTTTGTTAAAGATATGTGAAGTCTACCCTGAACCTTAGTATGAATATCCTCGGGAAGAATCCTAAAAATATTAATGAAATAATTATTTATTTGCTCATGATCATGATACCCAGGTTACGTAACATCTAAATTGGGGGGAAGGGACATTATAATTGTTTTCAGGGAAAACTACCACTGATTTTTTTATTAAAAAGTATCTAAAAAAGCAAGTATTTTTCCAACATTAAAAATAACAATTTTTTCAATTAAAAACCTTTAAAAGAATACACCTTTGTAGAAAAAAAAGGATAAAATTAGACCCTTGAGCCTAAACTAATTAAGTTAAGATACATGAATTTTTGTAATCACAAACGCTTACGAAACTAAACATTTCAACCATGATATAAGTTGGACTTTGATCCACATTTCACTAAGAACAGTAAGGATAATGATGATTTAAAACGTATTCAAAATACAGTCACTGAAACAATTCAGTTAAATGTTGAATTTGAAGATCACATGTAATGCATGTTCCAACCAACCCATTTACATTTCATCTTTTTGAAAAAGGTTTTGCATTAATTTTTCGCCCATTTTTTAAATTTAAATCCTTAATTTAAAATTTTGTTAATTAGAGGCTTAAATCGTAAAATTTTATAAATTATTGTTTGATGTTAACGTAAGCCTCAGTTTGAAATATTATGATATGCTAAGATATAGGGATTGGAAAATATGAATGTGTGCCTGTGGAATTACACAAATGATTTTTTTGCAAAATAAATTGTTTAAACAAGAACTATTTTTCTAAAAAAAAACTCTAAAATAGGAAAACGCCTTTTAGAATCAAATTAAACTTTAACAAGTCCAATGAGCATAAAAACAGCAATTGTGCAGTGTAAACAGATCTTTTATGTCATAAACTGAGCAAAGTAAAACCTTTGACTTAAAAAGGTGTCGGAAATATCTAAGTTTTTTTTAATTTGAAAACTTGCGGCTTTTTTAAAAACAAACGCACGAAAGAAGATGGTCAAGAGTTGGGTCCGTCCTAGAGAACGATTTTTGGACCCCCTCCCCCCCCCTCTTATCAATTTTGTACTTAACTTTTTAATATTGAGGGTTAGGTTAGTTTAAGAAAATTTCTGAGCCGAGCGCTCCGGCTAGGGGGCCTGCGCTGCGGCTAGCACAGGCTAGGGGGCCGAGCGCAGCGGCTAGGACAGGCTAGCTAGGGGCCGGCGCTGCGGCCACATGATCAATTTTACAAAATGTACATAATTGATAGGAGGTGGGGAGGGGGAAAGGGTTTTGGGGACCAAAAATCGCTCTCTAGGAATACAAAAGAGATGACACATTTAAGATAGAAAAAACGATATATAATCTTCACATCTTTGATTAGAATTAAGGTTTAAGTAGTGAATCGTTTATGGCTTCCCTCATTTGTGGCGTAAGTGGAAATATTTACCTGTTTAATCCTTCGTAAAGAATCTGATTGATATTGAATGAGGGAGAGAAAGGTCCGAGGGTTCGAGCTCTGGCTTCACTGGCAACACGGAGCACATTACTCGTCATCTCACCTGAATACTTCAGCTAGAAAAACAGCTTCAGCTATCCTTTATTTCTTAAAAATCAATCAATAATACCGCAATGATTGGAAATGGATGATAAATGATTTAATAAACAATTTAATGAAAAATAAATTATTGATGATTGATAGATGATAAATTTATTAAAAAACATGTTGCATTGGAAACCAAAACGATTAAAAAAATGATATTACCGAGGGGTACATCTGCAAGTAAAGCGAGTGCTGCAATGGACCCTGCCGATGCTCCAGAAACCTAATTTCAAAAATAAAAAACTAAATTTTACACACTGTTAATATTTCTTCAAACACTTGCTGATTATGCGTTATCGACGTGTTTTAAAATACGATAATAAGTTTAAAACTATCAAAAAATCTCAAAATTATAAATCTAAATTTGTTCAGTTATTTATTTTTTCCTACTTAGATTCAGGGAACACATATATTTTTCAGAATTATGATTTTGAAAATTTGTGTGTGGGAGGGGGTAGGGGGCTGTAAAATGGGATATCAACAGGCAAGATGTTTTTTCCCTTTTTGCCACGTTCAATTAAACACACGTACTTTCCCCAATTGTGTAAAAAACATTAAATATAATCCTAATTTACTGAATCAGCAAACAACTTACTTTGAAGAAGGGGGGGGGGGGGATGATATGTCAAAAAAAAATACCCTTTCTTACATTGTATAGGTATAGCTGAGGAGCGTATGTCTTGAAACAGCTTGCAACACCGACATGATATAGGCCAAGGAACCCACAACCAGCAAAACTAACATTCATCACTCCAACCTGAAAATATTCCTGTCCATATATATTTATAGCCTTGTCTGTCTGTTACTGTTTTTATATCTGTCTGTGTACAAAAAAACATTACGACTGAACAAAAAACCTCATGAAAGGTTAATGGCAAAGCAAAATTAAAAAAAAAAGTTCGTTCAACATTGTTCTTATACATTCTGAGAATATATTAATGCAAATGGAAAATCCGCGAATTGTTAGAAAAGAAAGGCACAATTATACAAGAAAAGGACTCCCTTCCGCTTTACACAAATTTCGTTTGCTAAACTTTTCTTTAGAAGGTAGATTGATATATAGCTAAAAATGTAAATAGGAAGAGGAACTAATATTAATAATATTCCCTGAAGGCAGATGGGTCAGCACTAAGTATAAGTGCGGGCTAAACAAGGATAGATAGACAGAAAGATAGCGGATTAAAAGAGGATAATTGATTTTTCTAACGTACACCATCTGACTCCACCGCCCCCCCCCCAGCCCCATTAAATGGAGCTCGACCCCACCCCCTCTCTTCTCTTTTTAAATACCGCCCTTTCTCTGGTAAATTTCCTTTCGTTCCATATTTTGCATCTTTGTCTTTATAGTTGGCTTGGTTTCAAAATTACAGAAAAATATACTTAATGCATAACAAAAAATGAAGAAATTTTAGGAATTCTTAGCATTTCTAGGCACAGACAACTTTCCGTCCACAATATAGCGTACAATACAGTGTACAATTATATAATACTAGAAATTCAAGGCACTTCGCGCCCTTCTTTTTAGGCTTTTAGGGCGCTTCGCGCCCATCTTCTGTTTAAATTGTGAACATGTTCTTTTTTACATTTAAAAACAAAGAAGAAATAAATTTTGCGGATTTTAAAAAAAAATTCGCGGATTTAAAAAAAAAAATTCGCGGATTTTCTAGAATTTAATTTTTTTTACAAGATTAAAAACCTTTAAAACACATTTTTTAATTTTTATCTTTCATAAACCTTCCCTGGGATAACTCGAGGTGCAAGAAAAAATTTGGGCCTGATCGGTTCAGCCGTTTTGACGTTTATTGGATACAAACAGACAAACAGACAAGCCAAATTTATATATAGATAAGTTTGAATGTTCACAATTTTATTATACTTAATGAACAGAACCAACCAATATACTCAAAATTTTAACAAAACATAATTGGGACGTATAATCTGTTTTTATGTTTGCATGTTTGGATGTCCGATCATAACTTATAAACCCATAAACCAATTTGTGTAAAATTGTAATTAAGCACTCGATAAAACCATCGAATGATCTTACTCTGGTTTTATAAGTAAAATTCAAGTCAAAGTTGTGTCCCTAAGTTAGTATTTATAAATGTCTAACTTCAAACTGCAGGTGTTGTAACATAAGAAACCAGAAACCTTTCTGGTCGATTTCCTGTTTATTCGCTGCAGATAACGCCCCACCCCCTAACATCCTGTAAGCTAGGCGTCTAAAGAGGGGCGGAGGGGCGAGTACTGCCCCCCCCCCCCCCCCGGCACATTACATTAGGCTTCCAGCGTGAAATTACGAACAAAACAAACATTTAAAAAAACATCCTGAAAATCCCCATGACATGATCGTACGAATTAAATTAATTGTTAAAGTAGCTAGTTTTATGATCATATACTAGCTGAAGTGCCCGGCATTGCCAGAGGAATTTTAAATAGAATTTAAAAATAAAATTTGATTCTTTAAAGAAAAAATTGCAAATTTTTGTTAAGCCTATGTTACCCCGGGGTACCCATGGATTTCCTCAAAAAAGTTTCAGCCCATTCGGTCCAGCCGTTATATATATTTATTTATATCAATATTTTTTTATTATGTAGATTAACATTAAAGCTTAAATTTTAATTTTGAAGTCGAGGCCGAGGTAAAACCCAAATAGTTAAAAGAAATAAAAATGTAGGGTTTAGTGAGATTAGTATTCAAATCAAAAAAGGAAGCAACTGGAAAAACTACTTTTTATTTATATTTTCTTTTTATCAATATAACCAGTGCCTAAATCCGGATCCATAATACCAAAAACAAAATACCAACAAAGGCAATCGAAAAATGCATTAATAAAAAATTAAAAGAGAAGTAGAAAAAAACAGACTAGACCAGAAATGATTATTCAGGTGTATATTTCTTATGAATCAGAAGACATTTTTCATAATTTTGTAAAACTATCCTCTATAAATCAGTAGCGCATTGCTAGTTAAAATATTCCAAATTATTAATCAAAATAAACTAGGAATATTTCATTAAGTATCTGTGTTATAAACTATATATTACAATCTTATCTCACCATTAATATTGTTTGTTTACAGTAACAGTATCAAAGTGAACTGAGTATCTAACAAGATTTTAAATTACGATCCCCCCCCCCGCCCACTACCGAACCCTTCCCCTTCAATATTGATCGATTGGAATCGACAAATAATAAAATATATATTAAAAGAATAAAAAATTAGCAAAGTTCACATTTATCAAGTATTTTAAAATTACAAAATTTAGTGATTTTAAATCACCCCTGATATAATGACCACTCCCCAAATCAAGCACACTCACACGTACCAATGCAAATTCTGACCTTGAATAAATTCTACGCATTATCAATGTACTGTGCTCTTATCTGTACACTAAAGAGTACAGGGGTTAAAGGACAATTGCAAAAACAATAAAAACATAGAAATTATGTTTATAATTTGTCATTCCCTTCTCCAAAACCCATTTCAATAAGCAATAAGCATTTCTCGGAAAAAAATTCACATTAACATTTCTCCAGTATCTTGGAAACCCTTCAAGTCCAATTAAAAAATGCAGTCTTCAGGATCCAAATCTGCAATATTTCAAATCCCTAGATACGGATCCAAATGTAAAAAAAAATTGGGCTTTCTCTTAAATTTAGACAAGTTATGTTTCACCCTGAAGTGACAAAAAATGTCTGGTTTATGAAAAAGTTCGATCAAGAAACAAGATATTTTTTAGGTAAATTCAATATTTCAAGAAAAATAGTGAGAAAGTTGTATCATCCGGATTTAAATTATTCCTACACACACCCAGCTTAGAATTTGAACAAATTAAGATACAGAGCTGGAACCCTTTCATCCGTACTATTTGCAAACTCCGACTGTGTACGTCCGAAGTGCGGTGAAACACGACAGTACGGTGAAACACGACACCTCTCGGCGAAAACAAATGGAGAGCATAGTAAAATTAGATTATGTGCTGAAGCCTTTACTTAGCGGCCAAACACTAGAGTGCGGAGACGTGCAAAGTACGTCTTAAATACGCCGGTAAATTTGGGACAATTCGGACTCAGAAGCTAAAAAGAAATCTCCCTGATCAATGACGACATGCATGCAATCCTTCTGAAATATATCAGGAAATCGGTATAATATTCGAGCTTTTTCAATTTTTACGCAAAAATACGCACAAATAGTAAAAGAACTGAACTCTACTTAATTTTAATTATCAATCTGCGTGTAAATAATGCCATTTATTGTAAAAACGAAATGTATATTTAAGTACATAAAAAATACCCAGAACATGTCATAATCTGAACTTCGTGACGTAAACAAGCTGGATAATACTTGGTTCTGTTGAAAGGATCTGATAAGGGTTTTTTATCCTGGTGACAGATTTAAAATATAAGACCTGACAAACCTGGCATTAAAGGGCTGACAAACCTGACATTAAAGGGCTGACAAACCTTACATTAAAGGGCTGACAAACCTGACATTAGAGGGCTGACATACCTGACATTAAAGGGCTGACAAACCTGACGTTAAAAACAAACCTTACATTAAAGGACTGACAAACCTGACATTAAAGGGCTGAAAAACCTGACATTAAAGGGCTGACAAGCCTGACATGAAAGGGCTGACAAACCTGACGTTAAACGGCTGACAAACCTGACATTAAAGGGCTGACAAACCTGACATTAAAGAACTGACAAACCTGACATTAAAGGGCTGACAAACCTGACGTTAAAGGGCTGACAAACCTGACGTTAAAGGGCTGACAAACCTGAAAAAAGGGCTGAAAAACCTGCCATTAAAGGGCTGACAAACCTGACATTAAAGGGCTGACAAACCTGACATTAAAGGGCTGACAAACCTGACGTTAAAGGGCTGACAAACCTGAAAAAAGGGCTGAAAAACCTGCCCATTAAAGGGCTGACAAACCTGACATTAAAGGGCTGACAAACCTGACATTAAAGGGCTGACAAATCTGACATTAAAGGGAGTGTAAGGCGTAAGCGTAATTTCAAATAACCCTCCATCGAGTTCTCTACAAAAATTGACTAGCACATTTCTACGAATTATCGGAGCTAAACATTTTGAAACATAGGAAACCGATAATATCTTCCACATTATTGATCAGAAAAAGGTTTTAATTGGGTACAGTTGTAAATCGGCTTTGCCATCTTTGGGCCACTTGACATTATGCTTTCAGTCCTTAGCTATATGTACTTTGTACCGTGTTTAAAACGCACAATATCAATATTTTAAGAATGAGTTGAACTGATGGGTCAATAGAGACAGTGGATCAATAAAGTTTCAAAAATATCCCAAAAAATCTTTCTTATAAAGAATTTAAGAGACTAAACTGTCCGCATCTATTTAAAACTGAATGCCAAAATTACAACGTTTTTTCAATTTGAAGAAAGGCAGTCATACTTAATTTATCCGCTTGCAAAACCCTTACAGACCTAAGAAACTGAATATTAATATTGAAGAATATCAAGCAATACTAAGGCTTATATCCAGTGCTTAGGATCCGGATCCGTTGGATTCGCAAGATTTTCCCTTCCTGGATCCAAATCCGCAAATCCGTATCCAAGGGGTAAAATATCAACAAAAAACTGCAAAAAACTTTTTTACTCATAAAACCCAAAACTTAACTTTAAAAAAAAGAGAGATTATAAAAATTTCCTCATTTCTGAATGGTTCATCAAGTTTTAGGATAAAAAAGCGAAAAAAAAACTTGAAAATTATTTTCTGTTAAAAAAATTCAGTAAATCTTAAAGAAATGACCTGGATCCGGTTCCATTTTTTTCCAGTGCGGATCCAGGATCCTGATCCGAGTCAAAATTAAATTATTAAATGGATCCTGAGCACTGCTTATATCGGCAATTAGGACTTTTGCAAGCTGTAAGAGGAGTACAAGGGTAGGCCCCTTTCTTGCAGACAAGGGCAGAGGGACTACTGAAAGACCATAAAGATTAAGGGTCCAGAGGAAAGATAGTCACAAGGTAATTACGTTGATTAACGTTAACTTGTAACATAGATATCTAATTAGAAATTAGTTGGTATAGGCTCCTCTTTGATTACGGCGATAGAGTAATTAGGTCCTTGTTGAAACATACGATCTGAGCTTGTGTCCATTTTTGACATTGATAGCTGAGCTTGTGTCGGTGTTGACATTGATAGCTGATAAGATAGTGTTCATTGATTTGGCATTGATTGCTTATGAGCTTGTGTCCCTGTTGAAATTGATAGCTGACGAGTTGCACCTGGATTGATACAGTACTAGAAGCAGTTTTAAGAGTACGGCATTTATTACAGTAGGACTACGTTTTTAGTTGACAAAAAGACTAGTGGATAAAGTACAACAAATCGCTGTAGACTGTATTAGGGGACATATAGTGAATATGATTGAGCCAGGGACTAACCAGATACTGAGAAACGCATAAAAAAGATATACCAAAAAATAGGAAAATAAGTCAAAGGAACTTAAAAAACAGAAATTTGTTAGCGCTACGATTACACTCTTTCTCCGAATTGACTAAAATACCTCATATAGATCATTTTACATCTGTTCAAAGTACAACATTTTAAACACACAGGAGCAAACCATGTGATATAAAAAAAAATTGGTATACATTGAACACAGAGCCAAATCTGCAACAATTAAACTGTTTTTTTTTTCAACTTCAACCTCTTAAAACAGCGCTTTCATTTTGTCGCCCCCAACCCTTCTAAAATAAATTTAGCCCCACCAAAAATCGTATACTAGGAAATTACCCAAATCTTTAAGTGCAGAAATGAGTCCTTGAATCTGTATATTTAGTGTAAGTAGTTGCACTGTACGTTCAATTAACGTGTTTAAATCATTAAAATATGTCTAAAAGTTGTCTATATTTATCTCTAATATAAAATTACTATTTCAATTAACTAATATAGCAAATTTAACATTTCTATACCTTTTATGATTATTTCTCTTCTTGAGCCCAGAACATTAACTTTTGATTGATTTATTTAAATCAACAAGATATGATTATCGCACATAATTAACCTCACAGGTCAACGAAAATTATAGTTATAAGCTGATTATCTTACAATCTTATACATTTAATTATTAGTCCATAGTCCGTAAGGACTTACTCTGAAGCACTGGTGAGTGTGATTGCAAGCATATTTCTGTCTGTACTGTACCGACTGTGATTGGAACAGAACACAAATCAGCTGATGGACTGTTTTCAAGGAGTGTGAAAAAGAACGGAGATACAACTTGCGCGGCCCACCCTGCCATATGAGTATCCATGCTTTGCAGACGGGTACTACATTTGTATAAGAATAGGTTATTGTATACGTGGTAATTGTACATCAAGTATTCCTTATTCAAATGAAGTACCCTCTGCAAAGCATGTATAATTTGAATCATATGATAGGGCGGGCCGCCTCAGTTATATCTCCCTTCTATCTCCTACTCCTTGAGTCTATGACTGTTTTACGTTGGAACAACGACGTTATTGCGCAATAGATTTTACTTTACTTGACAGGGCTAGAAATTAACTCTTTTTAAATTGAACATTTTAATGAAAAAAATCTTCAGAATATTTTATTATGCTTTAAATTAATTCTTAAAATTCCTCTTCACATTTTCCCTGGTCCGAGGGGGGGGGGTTGATTCGGGGGTGGTAGAGGATCTGTAGATTTTAGAAAATGTTTATTAATTACTAAACTAAATTTGATTGGATCATAATGAAAAAAGATTAGATATGATTTAACCTTGAGTATCTTGTTCATTAACCTCCCCCCCCCTTCGGCCTTCCTTTAAGTTCAGCTATGCCCAACTCGCCAACTGCAATTCCTGCGATCAAGCCCCTCTAGGCTCTAGCTCTCCACCATAATAGGCAGCAGGGTTAAATTATTTTGTAGCAAAAATTGTGGTAAACTTAACTTCTTAAGTAAAGACCCCAGACAAGAAAAAGCGTGACATTTTTATGGTCCCCCTCCCTGGCCCAATTCAGTCACCAACTGTGTTCTAAAGTCTACAATTGTCCAAGCTGCAGCATCTAAACTCTCGAGGGGGGGGGCTGTCTCACGCCTTTTTGGGATAGAACAGGTTAAGACAATTTTAAGGCCGAAAATGTTACTCATATGAAATTTAATTATAGGAAGTTAGTTAAAGTAAGTGTAATTAATTAGGAAGTGTATCTATAGAAATTTTGTAATTAGAAAGTGTAACTTTTTAAGGAAGTAACCTTAAAGGAAATGTAACTTAAAGAAAATGTAACCTTTTAGGAAATGTAACTGATAGGAAATGTAATAATATAAAATGTAACTTATATAAGATTTAAATATAGGAAGTGTAATTATATTAAGTGTAATTATAGGAAGTCTATAGCAATTTTGTAATTAGGAAGTGTAACTTTTTAAGAAAGTAACCTTATAGGAAATGTAACTGATCGGAAATGTGATTATATAAAAATGTAACTAATATGAGATTTAATTATAGAAAGTATAATTGTAGTAAGTGTAATTACATAAAATGTAAAGGTGTTATATTATTGCATTGATCTAGTGTCTAAAGTTCACTCAATAAAGTTTTCAATATATCAGCTAGGGTTTCCATTTGCAAAACTTTTGCGCAATTTTTGCGAAAGAGAGCGCAAATTTTTGCTTTTGTTGTGCTACATTTTTGCGCGAAAAAAAAGCACTTTGCACAATCCTTCGCAAACTTCATTTCGCTTAAAATTGAGCTATTCCGCTTTTGCGTTATACTGTGTTTGCAATTATGCTAACCGCTCCTTTGAAACTAAGGCTAGAAACAGACGCGTATCATTTTTTAAATGTATATGTCTAGTCTTACAAAAAAGTATATGGTGAGTTGGCGAGGTAAAACCGACCAAGGTGTTGCGTCGAGGCTGTCCTGAAATGTGACGACTCAGAATTGTCTATATCTCAGTGGCATAGAGAGCATAAACCTTTGATATTTCAATCATCGTAAAAATTTACCACCGGTTTTGCGCAAATTACGCAAACAGAATTGCGTAAAAACGCGCCAAACTTAATGCGCTTAATGCAAAAGATGCCCAAAATTCACCAAACAAAGAAGTCATATGCAATCCATTATTTATGATTTTGTCTCCATTTAGCAAACTCTGTATTACAAAAAGCTCGTTAGTTTAATGATTTTACAACCGAGTTGATTAAGAAAATGATTTAACCATCACAACAGGGGGAAAATGGAAGAATTATTTTGATCATAAATAATTAAGTGACAAATTTTAACATCATTGTGCAAATTGTTTATTACGTTGTTTCATCTTTATTTTCAAAGTTCTTCTTTTGTCTTTGTTTTTCCAGATTTGACCGGAATATTCTTTCTGACAAAAAGATCATCAATAGTTCCGATTCGTTCACGATTCTCATTCGTCCCAACATGTCCGTTCTCAATATGTCGATACCCTACAGATTCCATGTATCTTAACACAAGTATTATCAGTATTATTTCTATTATTATTATTATTATTATTATTATTATTATTATTTTATTATTATTACTATTACTATTATTATTATTATTATTATTATTATTATTATTATTATTATTATTATTATTAATATTATTATTAATAATTCTTATGTTTACCTAATGATATCTAGTCTAGATCCCGGGAAAACTATTCCTCCCATATGTGTTTCTATACTCAACGCCTGGAAAATAATAATAATAATTGTTTGTATAAAACTATTAAAATATTATTAATCACTTTTTACCAATAATTTATGCATGAAATATTCGAGCACAACGATTAACAGCAACAAATTGGCCGATAATTGAACAATTCTATTCAGACCTTTAACTGGATATCAATTTTATATCTATAATGTTTGAACACTAACCTGGATATCAACTTTATATTTATTTTGTTTGATTACTAACCTGGATATTAACTTTATATCTATAATGTTTTAGAACTAACCTGGATATCAACCTTATATTTAATGTTTGATTACTAACCTGGATATCAACCTTACATTTGTAATGTTTAAGAACTAACCTGGATATCAACTTTATATTTGTAACGTTTAAGAACTAACCTGGATATCAACTTTATCCCAAGGGATTGTTTTTAAAACAGGGAATTCTGCCCCTTCGATATCCAAACTAGATATAAATTTATTAATGAATTATGTTTTAAAATAAAGATTGCACAATTATTTTACATAAATAACAGATTTAAATGTTTTACAATTATGTATTCTGAACTAGAATTCTTAAAAGAATAAGATTTAACAACAGTATTCATTTAACCCTATTCCCGCTGGGGGGGGGGGGTCAATTTGACCCCCCCCTGTAGTTTTTTTTACATAACTCAAAAAGTATTGGTCTGAGGCTGTTGAAATTTTCTGAATTTTCTTACATACCCAAAGCCCTCCCTTTAGGCCTAAAACCGGGCTTTAATACTAACTGCCTGAGTCCTCAGGCACACTGCCTGAATGACTGTTTTTGCCTGTAGCAAACTAAATCTTTGTTTTGACCCACTTTCACTTGTCAGATTTTGATAAAATTTAGCTTTTTGGAAAGCCTATGACATAAGGAAACGGATTACACAAGTTTTGCGAAAAAAAAATTGCAAATTTTTTGCAAACAACCTGTCAAAGGAAATTTGCACATTTTTAGTTTTTCTTGATTAAAAATCAGGTTATTTAAAATTTTGCAAAATTTTTTGCATATTTGAAATGGCATGGTCAAGGGCTTTTAAAAAATGTATAATTTGTCATTTTTTGGACAAATTTTTTTTTGCAAACATTTTTACTATAAAACTGGATTTTGCGATAAAAAATTCAATTTTCGCAAATTTGCAATTTTTTTTGCAGATTCTAAAAGTAGAGCACAAGAGCTTTCTAATGATGTATCATTTGTCATATTTGGACATAAAACATGGGAATTAGAGGGGGGGGGTCAAATTGACCCCCCCCCAGCGTATCCTGGTTTTCAAGTACCCCAGCGGGGATAGGGTTAAAAATATTATAAAATATTATATCATTTAAAAAGTTTTTAAAGGTTTTAAGATTTTCTTGTCTACCTGATATAGTGTACTGTCGGATTACCCAGGGCCAATAGTATTGTGTACAAAGGCATGCACTGCATTTTTACTATAGTTGAGCTAAAATAAAATGGCCGTCATATGTTTAATAAAAACAATGTTTTTAAGTTTAAAATATATCTGTCAATCTACAAGAAAAATGTTTATATATCAAATGTTAAACGAATTTACACTCTGATTTTAAATCCCTCGATCACACAAGATTGAGTATCAGTTTAAATTGCCTGATTTGACCAATAACTTGAACAAAAGCTTTATTTATTGTTAGCAGCAACATTTTAGACAGAAATTGGATTCATATTTACACATACAAAAAATTAATCAAAACACTTTTGACTCTGAGTTCGGATTTAGATTTTTTTTTTCAACTTCTTAATCTTTTTATGCTAAAACTCCCATTTTTGAAGAACAATTTACCTTTTTGGGTCAAAGAATTCATCAGTAATAATTCCACCCATAGAGGATGAGACGCCATTTTTATCCTTGGTTATAGCCTAAATATATTTTTATCCTTGGTTATAGCCTGAATATATTTTATCCTTGGTTATATCTTGAATATATTTTTATCCTTGGTTATATCCTGAATATATTTTAATCCTTGGTTATAGCCTGAATATATTTTTATCCTTGGTTATAGTCTAAATATATTTTTATGCATGGTTATAGCCTAAGTATATTTTTTTGCGTGGTTAGAGCCTGAATTTATTTTTATCCTTGGTTATATCCTGAATATATTTTTATCCTTGGTTATAGCCTGAATATGTATTTATTCTTGGTTATATCCTGAATATATTTTTATCCTTGGTTATAGCCTGAATATATTTTTATCCTTGGTTAGACTGAATATATTTTTTTAGAGCTGAAAACTTTAAAAATGTGGATATCATGATCAATGCTTGATCTCCTCTTTTTGTTAATCTGCAGATTGATATAATCTTTATTTTGATTTGAAATTGTCTAAAATTTAACCAGTCAGAGTGTCTTTTTCATTAACAGAAATACCAATCCGAAGCCGGAATATTTGCAAACAAAAATTGGTCGGAATCCAGCAGGTTTAAAAAGAAATTCAAAAGATTTTACAGTAAATATTTAGATGAAACTATCGAGATTATGGATTGCCAATTCTAAAGTTTTCAGCTCAGTTAAATTATAACAAAGAATTTTATTATTAATCTTAAAATGTTTCTTACATCTAGTTCGAAGTTTACAAGATGAGGTTTGGTTTGGGTCGCCAGACAGGTCTGTATTGAGTGTGCCTGGGAAGTAATAACTTGGTTCAGTTTAGCCGGATATAAAGTAACTAAGTTAACTTCACACAGAGATATTGAGACTTTTTTATGATCTAAAAATATGATCTTTGCAGTTGTTTAGAGTTGAGAAAGAAATTTTTAAGAAAGTACATCTTGCACTTTTTACATACAGTCATGAAAACAAATCCTACTAGTATGTGATAAAATCTTGATTTTATTTATAATCCTAAATCCTGCTATTAATGGGATATAATCTTGATTTTATTTATAATCCTAAATCCTGCTAGTATGTGATAAAATCTTAATTTTATTTATAATCCTAAATCCTGCTAGTATGTGATATAATCTTGATTTTATTTATAATCCTAAATCCTGCTATTAATGGGATATAATCTTGATTTTATTTATAATCCTAAATCCTGCTAGTATGTGATATAATCTTGATTTTATTTATAATCTTAAATCCTGTTAGAATGTGATATAATCTTGATTTTATTCATAATCCTAAATCCTGCTAGTATGTGGTATAATTTTGATTTTATTTATAATCCTAAATCCTGCTAGTAATGTGATATAATCTTGATTTTATTTTTAATCCTAAATCCTGCTAGTAATGTGATATAATCTTGATTTTATTTATAATCCTAAATTCTGCTAGCATGTGATATAATCTTGATTGTATTTATAATCCTAAATCATGTTGGTATGTGATATAATCTTGATTTTATTTATAATCCTAAATCCTGCTAGTTATGTGATATAATCTTGATTTTATTTATAATCATAAATCCTGCTAGCATGTGATATAATCTTGATTTTATTTATTATCCTAAATCCTGCTAGTATGTGATATAATCTTGATTTTATTTATTATCCTAAATCCTGCTAGTATGTGATATAATCTTGATTTTATCTATAATCCTAAATCAAAATTAGAATTATGTAAAGGAAATATCCGGGTATTAATATGCATTTCCGGGACAAAATATTTTTACATTTTTTATTTGAATGCAAAGTTTTACCTTTCTATGTTTCCTAAGTCCATCCTGATAAAGAAGGGGGTGTGCTTCAACAAGTAGACCAGTCCATCCATGGTTTACCTTCAGAAAAGGGAGGAGTAAAAAAGGCTAATTACATTTCATATAGTGACTGTACTAAAAGGTTACATTTCTTATAAAGTTACACTTCCTATAATTACGATTTCTGTAATTACAGTTCCAGTTGCAGGAAGTGTAACATTATAGGAAATGTAACCTTATAGGAAATGTAATTTTAGCAAGTGTAATAATAGCAAGTGTAAGTATAGCAAATGTAATTTAATGAAGTGCAACTTTATAAAATATGCGAAGTAAACAACATTCGAGTAAAATCTGTAGAAAATGCCAATTTACTGTTCTTTAAATCAATGTAATAAAAAATATAATGATATAATTTAGTCAATTTTTGATCTGACTTAAAATGTAATTTCGAGTATTTCTACAGTGCCCATGTAATACACAGTGGTACCTTTAATATTTTCATCTGAGCATTTGTTAAAATAGTCTTTTTAAGATTTGTTTCCCCTGAAAATTAATAACTTTGAATTGATGCTGGTTCTCTATAAAAGTGATGTTGCGGATTTATACAGCAGAAACAGAACAAGAATTCAAAAAAACGACGATATTTTCCTCGTTGTTCCTCAGACAAAGGTGTAAAGTTTACCGTTGTGGATCGGGCATACAAGTCTTTTATGAGGGGGGGGGGCATTTGAAATTTTCTATTTTAACCCTCCAATCTTTTTTATCTGTTTCTTTACATCAAACGTCTGAAACTGACTCCAGAAGTAATTTTTCATTAATGATTCAAAAGTTGTTTGAATTATAAAATAGAATAAGAATTTGAAAAATAAAAATTCTTTCATATTGCGCCTGAATTCGGTCAAGAAAAAAGTCGATTGGGAAATACACAAACTGCAGGATTACCTCAAAGTGTAGTGTATCAGAATGAGCCTCAAAGTTTGATGCTCCGGCCTCAATAAAAAATCCGTTTTTAAGTTCTTCTCCGAAAACCAGACGATCAACCTCCAGAGGCTGGCCGACCTCACCACTATGAATTTCAGAGGAAATAGAAAAAAAGTTGGATTAGAAATAGATAAACTCAAAAAATGTAAAAAAAAATTTGCTTTAAAAACTAGTCTCTTCTTACACTGATTTCATAATTCCTTTATCAAAGATTTAAAGAGATTAGAAAAGAAAAGTAGATTTAAAAAAAAAAATATTATGAGGAGAGTGTTCAGTTTCTGTAACAATTTTTATAAACACTTAATGGATCTACAGTTTCCTTAATTGATCAACAGTTTTCTTCGGAGGAAATAAAAAGATTTGGATAAAAACGAGGACGTTTTCTACACATCTATATATAAATTTAGCTTGTCTGTTTGTTTGTATTCAATAAACGTCAAAACGGCTGAACCGATCGGGCTCAAATTTTGTGTGGGACCTTACTTGACCCTAGGGAAGTTTTATGAAGGAAAAAAATTTTAAAAATTGTGTATAAAAGTTATTTTTGAAAATGTGCGAAAAAATATTATGAAATCCGCAAACTTTTTGTTTTGTTTTTGTTTTATACTGTACAAAGATAAGATGCTCAGAGCCTAACAGCCTAGAAAACTCAAAAATGGAAACATATTTGTTTTGCTATACAGGATTTTAAAACTTGTCGCTGACTCTAACACTGATTTTCTAATCCCTGTTCTTCGCAACCTGATGGTGATACAACTCTAATTTTTTAACTTTAACGTTTTGATTTATAATTTAAAACGTCAAAGGTCTATGGCATCAAAGATTTAAAGAAAACTAAACACCCTAGAGATTACTAAGCACAAAAAAAACACAATAAAGGAGTAGGGGGAGAGTGTTCCGTTCCTGTGACAATTTCATAAACACTTTTTGTATTCTTTAAAATTTTATCTAAGAGTATGAGAGTAACATTTTTGATTAAATACCTGATATGGTCTTGAATGTCTTCAATAGGAAAAGTAAAGTTATATTCTTCGCTATTAGGTTTTACGAGCATGCTCCTGTTGCATCAATTAAATCAGAAAATGTTTTTTCTAACTAATTTCAAAGGTTGATTGGGAATTTTCAAAATAGCAGCCAGACGATTTTTTTCTGATTTTTTATCCCGTCTTTTTACCATTATGTATTCTTCTTTTATTTAAGGGATGAAAAAACTAAGATCGGGTGATAATTTAAAAGTATTTTATTCTGATTTTCCTGACATGATCAACTAGTTCTGGTGCATCAGATTCAAAACAATTCCAGGATTCCTGAACGCTATATGATCCTGAAAAAAATTGAAAAAATACAAAATATGGGTGGAATCACATTTAAAAAGAAGAAAAAGAAACCCAAAGGACCAAATTGAGGAACTAAACTGAGTCAAAAAGGTTTTTAAAAACGTAATTGCTCACCTTCTATTGACGGGTCAAATTTATAATCCATTTTGTACATTGAAATCTAAAATATAGCAAATGTATTGATAGATATTAAATATGGTGAAATCAAACTTGTAAAATGTTTTATTTATCCCTGCTTGATTTATCTTTATTTCCCGGTCTCAGCCCCAATTCTCTTTATTCCAGATGTTAGTCGAAAGTCACAATTCACATTAATTTGTTTTTAACGGGGGGAAATGGGGGTTCCTTTTTCCAAGAGTAAAAAGTCCCTTTTCCTTGTCTTAGTCTATAGTCCAAAGTCAATATATACTCTAAAGGCATAGTCGTCAGCCCCAAATCCTATAGCCCATAGTCCCTTGTGTTCCCATTTTCTTAGGGTCCCTTGTCCCTTCTGGTTCCTTGTACCTTATGGTCCCTTGTCCCGTATGGTCCCTTGTACCTTATGGTCCCTTGTCAATTATGGTTCCTAGTTTCAAGTACCATTCAGTCTTTATTCCCAATAGTCCCTACCGTATTCCAAAGTGGTTTAGCTTCATGAATTAGAACTTTTACGTCTTCTCCTTTTACAGTTTTTGCATCGTATTCGTACAGAGTAATTTCTTCAGGCATAAATTCACAACCATTCCTGTAAATAGAGCTAGCTGTACTCTATACACAATTATTGTACAGTGAACACCATAAAACTGTGGTCCAGGAAGACGACATTCGGGCAATGTTATGTGTATTTGATGTTTTTCAAAACAAAATAGCTTTATCGGTAGTTTGATAATCAACAATAAAGTAAAACTGGTTTACGTGTATAAACTGCACAATTGCTGTATTCCGTGTTTATTGGACTAATTAAAATCAGAACTATATCATCATTTATCGAGTTACTTTTAAAATAAGAATTTATTATTACTTGTAGTCTATGGATCTGGAGTGGATTGGAAGTTTTGTTCTGTCAACCAAATTTAAATCTAAAATTATTTTTTTTTTGTAAAAAACAGAAGAACCTGTGCAGATAAACTGATTAAACGGAGGCAGAAAACTTGGCAGGATGAGAAAACAATTTTTTTCTCACAAATAAATATTTTTTCGGCAACAACAAAATCATTATTAATAGAGGTAAATAAATGATTGAATTCTCATGGATTTGTTGCAAGGCTCTCCAACAATGAAAAAAGGAGAAAAAGTTTTTAAAAAAAATGGCGATAGTAAGACATAAGAATCGAGAAAAGAAAGACTAAAATTAGTTTTAGGAAAGTTTAAATTTGTTTCATATGATTGTTATTATGAATATTTTGATTATTAAACAGGGTGTCCCAATAAACAAGGAAAATCAGTGACTACTTTGATATCGTCTTTGTAAATGATTTTTTGATTTAGTATGGTCATGACTACTAAGAAAGCTGTAATCCGTAAATATTTCGTCTGCTAGAGATAATAATTTGTTTGTTTATGTTTTGATTGCATTCAGCTGTACTTGGTAAAATGCGAAATTTATGGATATAAACAGAGAACAGTGGTTTCTCTTGACTGTTAATCATGCAGAAATGTTATATAATATCATTCAACGTCGCAGAATAAGAAAACAATCTTCAACCGTTTACAAAAATATACTTTAGCAGACATAACTTTATTTTGACCTTTGTAATTAGGTATAATACAATGCTAACTCTTAACAAAGACGATTTCGAACTCCTCGCTCAATTTCCACATGTATTGGGACACCCTGTACGTGTACCTTGATCAACTATTGGATCTTCTTCAACATCAGTATCAGTATCATCGTCACCAGATTTACTCTCAGAGACCACTGAATATGTTAATGTACAGTGAGACCTATATAACTCTGGAATATAAAGACGACTGTTAGACTTCAGTTATGATTTGAAGTAATCCTATGGATATGAAACAGAACACAGACTGTACACTGTACACAGACATATTTTACTTAATAAGTTGATTTTCAGCTTCATGGTTTCTTGTAAAACTGTTTGTTGTATAACAACATGAAATAATTCATTGCCTTTGTGTCCTATTCAACAGTGTTATTGGTCCAACTGTAATTGTACAGTTTATTTAAAATGTCGTCTTCTACACTCACCTGTGGAAATACTGTTTAACACTGAGAAAAGCACAAGAAAAATTGCATATTTATATATCATGTTATCTAAATAAAATAAATAAATTATCTTAAAAGCAATTGAACTTCCTGGAAGGAAACTGAATCTAGAGTTAACAGCGTTAAATAATTATATTTGTATAGTATAAGCCAAATCATTTAATGAAAAAAACATGATTGAAATATAATTTGCCTATGTTTATTTATTGACTCACCCCCCACAAAAAAAATAAACTTGCAAAATAGATAGCGAATTAATAAGATATTTCAAGCATTCTTAAAAATATCTGACAGGCTTACGGTTTCCTTTAAAACTAAGTTTCTCTGCAAAATTGCCAGTCATTCCTTGCCTATATATAAATTATTATATACCTGTACTTTTACGTTAACCTGTAGGGTTCAAAAAGTGTTTTCTAGGAAAGACCCAAAGGTGTTATGCGTCAAAACTATGGATCAATTACGGAAAATTGGCCGTAAACTCAAATAAATTAAATTATTCTTGTTTGTTTGCATTTCCAGAAACTTGCGCTTTACCGCTTAGCATAACCAGAGTTCGCTGCAGGCATGACACCGGAACTAACTTGTGCATTACACCATTATAGCGTACACATTTGAGATTCTTGTTATCAACAAACCAAACACTTCACACATTTTTCTCTCATAGGCTTAATTTTTACCCGATCATAATAAAATTAATATCACAATGTCTCTAAGATGTAGAAAAAAAAATTATCGGGGCCAATATGCAAAAACACATTTGCAAAGTTAAAAATGACAAGAATCCATTTAAAAGTATTTGCTAAAACTCTGAATAGCTTTGATAGTTACCAGAATACAAGTTTAGGGTGGAGGTAATTTGACTCAACACCTACTAGGAGGATACTATAGCCCACTATTTCCAGGACCATGTTTAATTTCAAGAAGGAAAGTAATTACCGTATCCTAAAGCACCTTGTGTAAATCATCTCCTTAAGTCGAGCCGAAGATCTTGCAGCTATCAATCACGTGACACAAGCCAAAGATTGGGTCTTAAAGTCCGGTTTAAGGAATTACGGCTTGAGCCGAAGTTTTTAAATCACGGGCTCTTGTCCTTTAGGGCTCAGCTTGCTTGCAGGACAAATTTGTAAACAGCCATGCGCTGTGCAGTCTCTAATGCTGTCAGTAATAGTTTAAATTAAAACTTGGTTTACACCTTACAATGTCCATGAAGTTTTTCAATGTTCGGACTATAATTGAGAGTAATTGGGGCACTATAAACAAGAAGGTTGCAAGGAAGAAATGAAAAAATCTCTGTCAACTAAGCATAGTAAGGTGGGAAAAGACTCTCCCTCATAGGTTAATCACACCCCCCAAGAAACAAAGAACAATTATTCAGAGCATGGTTGACTGTTCAGTTTTCAACTTGAAATTCCTTGAAAATTACTAAAAATAAAAATGAATTTTTGTTTGCATACATTAAGTAGTTGCTCAAACTTTGATATACAAGTATTAAGTAAACAACTAACACTTGTCACAGTTTTTTATTCTGTCAATCCACCGCATCCAAAGTGGTATTTTGTTTATTTAATCCTTTTACATAACTTTAGAATGCTTGCACTTGTGTTCTACAACAAGGATATATAAATGCCCAGGATTTACAGATTGATACAATCATGAAGCAATTCATCACTTTATCCTTGCTTTTCTCTGTTGCATTTAGTTTTACGGTAAGATATCTATACTTTTTTCATTTCAAAATTTAATTTAGGGAAAATTTATTAGACTGCATCAAATTAAATTATTACGAGAACTCAAAGTCTCAAAATAAATTTTATGTTCCCTATCACCCAAGTTAAATGTTACTTGACCAATTATACGTCCGAATCACAATGGTATCCTTCATAACTTAGATCAATAATAAGAGTTTGGCGGTAAATGTGTTATACAGGGTGTCCTAATAAACATGGGAATTCAGTGACGAATTCGATATCGTCATTTTAAATAATTCTTTGATTTAGTATAGTGATACCTGCTGAGAAAGCTTTAATCTGTAAGAGTTTCGTCTGCTATGTTCACATTTTGTTTGTTTATGTTTTGACTGTATACGGTTGTACTTAGTAAAACAAGATTATTGTAGTATACAAACAGAGTAAACATGTCCGTTTTCACATCTTTATAGTCTTTTACCCTTTTCATAAAATAATGTTATGGCTATTGAACTTACGTATTACAATGCTAATTCGTAACAAAGACGATATCGAATTCGCATGTTTTTTTGGACACTCAGTATATGTAGACAGAGCTTTAAAAGAAACGTTGTCTCGAGGAGTAGATATTAACTATGATGATTTAAAAGAAACATCGTCTCAAGTAATAGTTATAAACTATGATAATTTAAAAGAAACATTGTCTCAGAAGAGTAGATATAAACTATGATAATTTAAAAGAAACATTGTCTCGAAGAGTAGATATAAACTATGATAATTTAAAAGAAACATTGTCTCGCAGAGTAGATATAAACTATGATAATTTAAAAGAAACATTGTCTCGAAGAGTAGATATAAACTATGATAATTTAAAAGAAACATTGTCTCGAAGAGTAGATTTAAACTATGATAATTTAAAAGAAACATTGTCTCAAGGAGTAGATATAAACTATGATAGTTTAAAAGAAACATTGTCTCAAGGAGTAGTTATAAACTATGATAATTTAAAAGAAACGTTGTCTCAAGGAGTAGATATTAACTATGATAATTTAAAAGAAACGTTGTCTCAAGGAGTAGATATAAACTATGATAATTTAAAAGAAACATTGTCTCAAGGAGTAGTTATAAACTATGATAATTTAAAAGAAACATTGTCTCAAGTAGTAGTTATAAACTATGATAATTTAAAAGAAACGTTGTCTCAAGGAGTAGATATTAACTATGATAATTTAAAAGAAACATCGTCTCAAGTAGTAGATATAAACTATGATAATTTAAAAGAAACATTGTCTCGAAGAGTAGATATAAACTATGATAATTTAAAAGAAACATCGTCTCAAGTAGTAGTTATAAACTATGATAATTTAAAAGAAACATTGTCTCGAAGAGTAGATATAAACTATGATAATTTAAAAGAAACATTGTCTCAAGTAGTAGATATAAACTATGATAATTTAAAAAAAAAATAATGCGAAAGAGGCACTTAAACCATAAAGCACCAAATATGAATTAGATGAAAGAGAAGGAGAGGATGATGGGACATAAATTAGGGGTTATAGGAGAAAGATAAAGAGTGGAAATGATGCAGAAAATAGGGGTTTGACGGAATGAAAGGAGGCGAGAAGGTTCAGAAATTAGGAGTTTGACAGAATAGACGGAGGTGAAGAGGTTCAGAAATTAAGGGTTTGAAGGAATAGACGGAGGTGAAGAGGTTTAGAAATTAAGGGTTTGAAGGAATAGAAGGAGGAAAAGAGGTTCAGAAATTTGGGGTTTAGGAGGTAGAGAAGAAGTTTAAAAGTTACATAAGTTAGAAATAAAAAAGGAGAAAACTCGAAAAAATAAAAGTTTGAAAAAAGAGAAGGAGGGAAGAAAGATACAAAAATAGGTGTTGGGAGGAAGAGAAAGAAGAGAAGAGGTTCAGAAATGGAAGATGGGAGGAAGTACAGAGATTGTGAGAAATGGAGGGAAAAGGTACTAAATAAGGGTTTGATAAATAGAAGGAAGGAAAAAGATAAATACATATAAGTAAGAGCAACACAGAAATTGGGACTGGAAGGATCAGAAGGAGGGGAGAAGGTATAGAACAGAGGTTGCAGGAGGAGGAGAAGGTACAGATAAAAGGTGGGGAAGAAGAGAAGGAGGAAAGACAGTACAGAATAGAAGTTGGGATGAAGAGAAGGAGGGGAGACCGTACAGAATAGAAGTTGGGAAGAAGAGAAGGAGGGGAGACCGTACAGAATAGAAGTTGGGATGAAGAGAAGGAGGGGAGACAGTACAGAATAGAAGTTGGGAAGAAGAGAAGGAGGAAAGACAGTACAGAATAGAAGTTAGAAGAGAAGGAGGGGAGACCGTACAGAATAGAAGTTGGGATGAAGAGAAGGAGGGGAGACAGTACAGAATAGAAGTTGGGAAGAAGAGAAGGAGAGAAAAAGATTGGGAGTAGCGGAGGAACAGTTTCATAAATAGGAGAAGAAATAAAAATATTTGTAAAGCTCTGCGCCTCAAAAATTATAAAATTTCCAAATATTAAAGCATATAAAGTATTAACGCTATTTTCGAAGGATTTTGAATAATCGATCAGTATATTACTGAAAGTATGTCATCTCAGACGTTGCAGTAAGTTCTATGTTTCCAGAGACAGAATTTAAAGAATTTGAATTTGAACTAATAGTCGCAGCGTTCGGCGCCCTAGCCTGTCCTAGCAACAGTGCTCGGCCCAGAAATTGTCTTAACCTAACCTAACCCTGAAATAATACAAAAAAAATATTTTTTTCCATTTTTACCCTTTGTTGTTTTACCCTTTGTCGCGTTTTTGACCGTTTGTCGTTTGACCCTAGGTCGCTTGACCCTATGTCGATTGACCCTTGGTCGTTTGATGTCAGTGAATGTTTCCGNAGAATATTTTAAAAAATAACAAGTAAAGTTGTGTAAATAGTGTAACAATAGAATATTTTAAAAAATAACAAGTAAAATTGTGTAAATAGTGTAACAATAGAATATTTTAAAAAATAACAAGTAAAGTTGTGTAAATAGTGTAACAATAGAATATTTAAAAAATAACAAGTAACATTGTGTAAATAGTGTAACAATAGAATATTTTAAAAAATAACAAGTAAAATTGTGTAAATAGTGTAACTGTAAAATATTTTAAATAATAACAAATCATCTTTTATATCCAATAAGAATACATTTCTATACTACTTTTTAAGCGGTGGAATTTTTCTAGTTTATAAAAAAATAATAATAATTGCATTTTTCAATAACTTATTCAATAAACCTTATATTCTAATAGTTAACTCTTATTCAAACAACAAACTGCATGTCTTAGTTAGAAAATTAATATGTATGGATAGATCTAAAATAAGGATTAATTAAAACATAAGAAAAAGAAATAATTATGTAAACTTTTTATATCTTTCTTTTAATTTATCTTTATATTAAGAAAGTGTTTTAGAGCTTCTAAGAGGGATAAAAGAGATGTAGATTCTGTATGTTTCATATTTTTTCCTGTATGTCTCACTTACCCCTATGTGCACCGCAGTTAATATAGTATATGACGTGTGTATTTGAAAAAATATGATATTAATGCACACATTATATATTGTTCTATGACTGGGATTTACATGGATCTAGTTTGCAGTGAGTGAGGTTGTCCGTGCCCATCAGCCTTTTTTTATTCGCTGGGCGGAAAACGATCTGAGGGATTTTTAAGAAAATGATTAAACAAAGATCTGTAAAATAAAAAAAATTATTTTAGAGAAGTAAATCCACGAGGATGGTTTTTCTTGTATTAGTTCTAGCTCAAGTTCTCCTCTCCGATGCCAGGGTGAGTAAACTACCTACAGAAGCTCTGATTCAATTCCTCATAAATCTTTAACTTTGAATCGGTGATTCAGCTGATTTTAACCAGTGGTAGGAAGTTTAGCGACTTCTTTCCAATTCATAAAATTCGGTTCCAATGTAATAAAAGAGTCAAATTATTTTCATTTTCTGCTTAACACAAACTCTAAATCTTTTATTTATTTTTAATTCCATGTTATTTTAATAATTTTGATCTCAAATTGAAAAAAGTTTGCCTTCGTCACGAAATTACTATAACCCAATACCATAATTACAATCAATTTTAAAAACACAACAATAAAAGTAATAAAAGTAACAATATTTTTTTATTAAATGAAATTTATTCTCTTAATGGCATATATAATTTCAAACTGGTTATAATTTGAAAAATATATATAAACGAATCATTATTTCCAATTCTAAAATATCTCTGAAGGAATTTGAAGACTTTCACAAGCTGATGAATCCACATGAACTTCAACATTATTTTGGAGTTTCTCATCATCAACATGTTAAACCAGAGTCATACCAGGTTAGTGGGCAGAGCTTGCCAACGGCCTGGTCCAGGTCATTGGGCAGAGCTTGGCCATGGCTCGGTCCAGGTCAGTGGGCAGAGCTTTGCCTGGACCATGTCAGTGGATAGAGCTTGGCCATGGCCCGGTCTAGGTCAGTGGGCAGAGCTTGGTTCAGTCCATGTCAGTGGGCATAGCTTGGCCCAATCCAGGTCAGCAGAAAAAGCTTGGCCTGGACCATGTCAGTGGGTAGAGTTTGGTCCGGTCAATGTCAGTAGGCATAGCTCGGTTCAGTCCAGGTCAGTTGGGCATAGCTTGGCCCAGTCCATGTCAGTGGAAAAAGCTTGGCCTGGTCCAGGTCAGTATGGATAGCTGGGCCCGGTCCAGATTGCAGTGAGCAGAGTTGTGCCCGGTCCAGGTCACTATGCATAGCTGGGCCCGGTCCAGGTCACTATGCATAGCAGGGCCCGGTCCAGGCCAGTGGAAAAAGCTTGACCCGTTCCAGGTCAGTATGCATAACTTGTCCCGGTCAAGGTCAGCGAGCGAAATTTGTCCGGTCCAGGTTAAGAGAAGTTAAGAGGTTGAGCTTTGTACGGTCGCAGCCGTCGACCCTGAAATTGCTTATTTTATATAAAAATATTGTTCTTCGGTTAAGCTCATTATAGTAAATTAATGTAAGACGTTTCAACAATATAAAAATTAAATTTTCAGATACAGCCTTTGATAATTCTTTCATCTAAAATATAGTTTTTATTTATAAAATATATTTAAATATTGGAGGTTGGAAAAATACCAGTTTCCACGTAATACAAGTTTGTAATTATTTTTTTAAATTTTTTTTCATATTTCTCTCAATATATTTATCTAGGTAAGTATGGTGTACAACACTCTTCATAAAGAATCAGCATTATCTAAACGAAGTGGAGAAGATCCTCCTGATGCTGCATATAAGGTATTCTTCAGTTTAACTCAAATAACAAAAGTGTTTTAAACACTCTTTCAAAACTTTGTGGATTTTATTTTGTTAGGGCATTTTTATCATAAAGTAAGTAACAACTCTGCAAACTTTATCCTAAAGGAACTGAGTTCTTGCAACACACTCATGTTTTTAAATCTCCATATCTTTTCAACCCAATGATGTAGATCTTTGATGTTTCAAACTATGAATTCTGTTAGATAAAATAGTGTGAGTTTAAAAAAATTCTTAAATCAATTTTTTTAAGGTTCAAGTTAGATTTTGGGCAAAATTAATATACAAGATATAATTATAATAATACTAAATATCAATATAAAACATTGTTCAGGTTTCTGTGTTTGGAAATACATACAACCTCAAGATGAAAAGAAACAATAAACTTCTTGCCCGAAATATGACTTACAGAGAGGTAAAAGAAACTAAAAATACTGAAGGAAATACTGGTTTAGCTTGCCTTTCCTCCTTTTTGGTGATAATTTTCACTCAAAATAATCAAAGAATTTGATTCCATGCCACAAACTTTTTTAGTGTTTTCCGAACTATCTTCGGGACGTCAGGTATATAGAATCTATTATAGGCTATCATTCATAGATAGAAAAGGGGGGGGGGGAAGATGATAGAGCCCTTGTATAAAGTGAAATTGGTCTGTGTACACGACACACTTCATATGTCTTTTATGTTTATTTTAATTCATAAACTGAACCTTAAAGTCGTCTTCCTTTCCACAGTTTTCTGGTTCTCACTGTAGATAAAACTATTTCTAGATTGATGGACCCATGGACTAAAGATATTCAAATTAACAATGCTAAAAGACTTAGGTACAACGTGTATCATTATTATTATTATTTATTTCTTATCATTAATAATCAAATAACTAGAAAAAATTCATTTTGAGTTTTAAAATTTAATAATTTAGATTTTTCAGCCAATTTCGTAAGCCGTTTGGCCAGCTATAGCTGACGCATATATGTATATACATATATAAGCGGAAAGCTTTATTATAAAGATTGTATCAAAATACATACTTTAACTATAATTCTTATCAAAGGAAGATTTGTAAACCATGGAAATCCTAGCGGAATCCAATAAAACATTACTATTTGATTAATTAAAAAGTTTTAAGATTAGCGGGGTTCAATGAAAAAGGTTTCATACCAACATTTTTTTGGGATTCTGTACAATTAAATTCTAAACCCGAAGAAATATTTATAGTTCAACTAACAAAATTTGAATATGTATTTTGTATTTTTTAGCAACGCAGATGATACAGACTCTTGGGAGTTCAGGTAAAATTTATTATCAATCATCCATAGAAAAAAATTCAAACTTAAAATCTTGTAAAAAGTTTTATTTTATTTTGTGTTTAGTGAATGTGATCACTTCCTTGGAATGGGAGCAGCACTCAGGAAATCAATTGTTTGTTTTTAAAAGAAAATTCATCATAATTTGAAAATTTAAAATTTTAAAAATATAAAAAAACGAAAAATTTGAGAAAAAAACACGCAAAATGTTTATTTTCCAGTTCTTGTGGAGCAGAGGAAGTTCGTGGGCTAATATTTGACAACCAGACATATGAAGTATATCCTATGACAAAGGCAAGACAAATAAATTCAACATTGAAGGCGTAAAATCTAATCATCCTTAATTAAAAGGGTTACATGCAGGATTCACAACAGCGCAGTGAGAAAGGGATGAAAATTGAATAAATTGCTCCTATTTAGATAGAAAAATGACAAAACTTTCCTCTCTTTTGCGTATATACGAGAATCGTTGTGAATAGGTCTTTTAACTATCTCTTTCAATAGAAGGTCACCTGACATTTCGACAAAAGTTCCTTTTCAGTAAAACTTTTTTTCAGAATTCCATTGTCTTTAAATAATTTTCATGTAATAAATTTTAACTTTGATCTAATTGTTTTATTTTATTCAGAGAATGATGGAACTTTTTAGCGCTACAAACAGGTATTATTGCTTATTCTAAAAAAGTACTCATATTAAAAACTTTTTAAAATAGGACTGGACTAACAAGAGAACCACGTGGTCTCCCACATTTAATCAAAATGGCGGACAAAATACCGGAAATGGAAGATCTTGCCGTCGGCTCTTTCAAAACTAAAAACAAAAGAACTGGAAAACAGAGGAGAAACAAAAGTAAATATTTTCTGAATATTTTTCACTCTTAAATTCACACTTTATCTGTTCAGAACAGTTCAGAGCTGGTCATCTTTACATAGAAACAGCTTTATTTCTTGATGCCGCAGCTTACCAGTCCTACAGCTACTTCTATAGTGTATCAGGATTTCCAAATCCAGACATCAAAATACGAGATCTGGTGCTCAGGTTCCTGCAAAATATTTTCTTATATTTTTATGTTTTTAAGTGACCAGTTTTAATAAAAAAAAATGAGACAAGGTTGAACCTTTTCTATTCAGTTTGAACCATCTCAGAAAAAAAAAAGTAGTTCAACTTTGTCTACACGGTTCAATTCTACTTATCGCTATTTATTAAATCGGGTTCCAAGTACAATAGTTAAAGAGCCTTTACTATCAAACCAGTGCAATATTTTAACCTTGAATGTCGATTTTTCGATTTTTTAAAATCTTTTGTTAGGCTACAAGCTGAAGAGATCTGAGTGATATATGTATTTGCAATTTTTAAGGAAAATATGATAATATCCAAAATCCAAAATTTTGAAAAATGTTTCAAGTTTGATCCAAGTAAAATTTGTCTAAATTATTTCAGCTGGATGAACTCAATACAAGCTCTTTACCACTTCCCATCTCTTGGTACTGCTGTAGACTTCTCTATCGTTAGACTAGAGATTCATAAAACACAGGTTATATTCAGATTATCCTTTCTAT